TTTTCAATCAAAGTTTTTATCTTTCAATTATTCCTTTTTCAAATTGTAACAGTTTTGATAGCCGCACTAAATTGATGTTATTACTTTATTTGCATAATATACCAATACACATTAGTGATGCTCGGCTAACTTTTAATTAACTATCGATAATCGATAGCTTTTTATTTATAACTTGTTGATTGTATTTTATTACAAAGTAAAACATACATGTTAACGATCTTGATAATGGAACAGTGACGAAACTTGGCAAATTGCAATTTCGTCCAGTAATTTAAAATATAATCACTCAAACCGGATTCGGTCGGTAAGGGGTCAAAATTGCTGGCTGTACATTTATTGTTTGATATTCGTAGCTTTCACCTCGCGTGTTGAGAGAAAACGTTCATCGTATTAATGCTGAAACTTATGCTCTTGTGATTCAAAAAATATTTATTATTAATCCGTAAGATATACACACTACTTTGAAAATCTTAATCAGTGAATGTTAATGTGCGAATGTGAAGTGTGACCAAATCCCAGCAACTTAGACTTTATCGATACGTCGGACACAACACTGGCGGTGGCGTACGTTGATTTATCCAGCGTGATTGAGGTGCAGGTAAATATCGTTTAAAACAGTCTTTAGACATTCTATTTTTAAAAGTAAATTTTAAATTTGGAACACTGATTTAAAAACAGGTTGTTTTCGAAATTCAAAACTTCACCGCTTAACAGTTTTCCTTATAATTAAACACTTCTCACGTATCAAGCAAATCTAGACTTCAATAAAGCAATAAATCAAAATGACATTTGCATATTTTGAACAAATATTTATTTGGCTAACAGTACTTTAATAGTGTTTTTATAGATTCAAAGATTACATGTCTTATTAAAACAAAACCTAATTATCAATACGAAGAGGAAAATGGTATATATAGTAAAACGTTTATACCATATCAATTGTGTATATTACCTTCTCAACACCGAGTGCGTTTGAACTCAGGCTGTGTGCTTTACGATTATGTACATAATAACTTGCTCAGGTAAAAAATCAATCGCTTTTTTATACTGAACTGGACAGATGTGAGATGTGGCCTATTGAAGGGCAAGCCTGTCCAGGAGATGCCTGTTTAAACGCCGTTTAAATGAACCCATATTATACTGCCTAGGTAATAATCTAATGTATTGGTATTTATGACCCTTGTAAAAAGTACTTCATCTGGAGTTGGTAAAAATTACTATATATCTAAACAGTGTTGGCTTCAGCTTGACTGTCAGCCCTGAGGTATGTTCGAAACCCGGTTGGACTCCAATGGACTTTTTGTGGGCATTTAGCACTTGGAAATCGTGAGGAAACCGTATCTCAAATCCAAATGACAAGTGTAAGAAGGCTATACACTTGTCTACGAAATAAAAATTATCGAAGAAACGGATGGAGTCGAAGACCCATCTAGGGTTGTAGCTAGGGTTCCTAGATGGCCGGGATTCTTGTGGATTCTCCCGACATATGTTAATTGACCCACTCCCGACCAATCTCAAAAACTCCAAAACAAACTTCTCCGAAAGTTATCTTGGAGGCTATCATTTGATTATAGATCGGGCACACGGGTGAGGCTCATTTAAGTAATACCATGAACACTTCAATGCCAGAGAACGGGTTGCCCGGCCTTTAGTCGAATTTCCGCGCTCTTTTACGTTTACTCTATTTACGAACGGTTTTATAAGGATCCATTTGAATCTTCAAAGGATATATTTAAATTAAAACAGTGACAGAAGATAACGAAAAAAGACTTAACAATGCCTCAGTTAATTACGTACAGCGTGGATAACCTATAAATAACAAAATAAATAAATCAGTGGCGCTACATCCTTTTTAGGTCTGGGCTTCAGATTTCTGTATCTGTTTCATGACCATTTGTCAATCTCATAGGCAAATAGGTGATCAGCCTCCTGTGCCTGACACACGCCGTCGATTTTTTGGGTACAAGGCAAGCCGGTTTTCTCCCGATGTTTTTCTTCACCGTTCGAACGAATGTCAAATGCGCACATAGACAGAAGGTCCATGATGTACAGCTGGTGATCTCACGCTGAACACTGCTCTGGACATGCAGCTGCTTGCCGTTTCATGGACTACGTTAAGTTTGATAAATTCTGCATTCAAATGAAATATGAATAAATCAAAACTAGATTTTTTAACCAATACACAAGTAAGTTGTCAAAAATGTAAATACATTAATCATGTACATTAATGAGCAGACATTATTTTATTGACAACACTAACGAATCTCGGCCCATTTCGTATGTTAATGAGATATATCGATCAATTTATGTTGCATTGTTAGATGCTATTACGCATTCCACTATTGATTGATCGACATAACGGAACTTGTAATATCGATATCGATAAATGGTTTTTCGCTTCACTAATGTAACAGGTGTGCTTTTGATTTTGTGACTGATATGTTTAAAGTAGAATTCTTTTTTAATGAAATATAATAATTGTGAGTAAATTCAAAGAAAATATTGTTCCCTTTGGCATAGAGACAGGCCGTGGGGTTAAAGTCAACAGGCGCTAATTAAAGATTTAAGTTGGCGCCTGGTGACTGGTGACCCCAGAGCTGGTGCTTTCCTCGCTCAGCTAATCGCAATACAGCGAGGAAATGCCAGCATTAAAGTTACACGCCACAGATAATTTTTTTTATTTTTTGAATTTTCTATTTATCCGTTTTTTAATTGTTGTAACGACTCTGCACCAAAAAAAAGTACAAAAGAACTAACGTGGTACCGCCCAACTAGTGCTGCACTAGATATTTTTTTATCGACAATTTTCTTAAATAAAAACACTTGCATTATGACGATGAAGGGACCACTCTAATTTCGTTGTTATATCCGGAAGTCGTGATAGGCAGTGGTTTAGATACACGTACGTGTGTTTAGTATATATATATTGATTTATTATTGAAAACATTTGCACTCGTAGTGTTTTTCACTGATACATTTAAAAATTACTCAGAATATCACTTTGAAACTGACCCATAAATTTAACTCGGAAACGGCCGGCTCCTGATCTTATACCGATACCCATGGACCCAGACGGCTCGCCAGTGGGTTGCCGGCCTTTTAAGAATCGGTACGCTCTTTTCTTGAAGGAATCTAAGTCGAATTAGATCGGAAATACTTCAGTGGGTAGCTGGTTCCACATAGTGGTGTTGCGCGGCAATGTCTTAAAAGCTCAGTTGTGGAACGACGGAATTTCGTACTCCGCCTGGATGGGTTGGAAACATAAAACTATCGATAAATTTAAGTACATCACTGATTGAATCTAGGCCGAATATGTGTCGTAATTATTTTTTAATTGCATAAAAAAATGAAATGTCAATAACAGATAACCAGTTTTAGTTTTCACCACACATCCGGTGATAAATATTTTAATTTAAAATTGGATCACTTCAATTTCTTATATGAGATTAATCATGCTTAATTGATCATTGCTCAATTTTATTTTTTCTAAATTGAACACAGACAAAACATAGAATTCGGATACTTTGCTGTCTCTGCTAACCAAAATGTATCCTTGCATCGATACTAAGCCATAAAATCTTCTTAAATGTATCTTTGTCTCGTTAATACTACTTATACGTGGGTAACACTGAATATGTTTAGAACTGGCCAGCTAGAAATATTTCTAGTGAAAACTTTTTTTTAATTTCAATTTTAGAACTCTTTGGTAACCTAATGTAGTATAATGCATTTATTTGTCATTTGTTTTTGTGAATTGGCGGCAAATCTAAAACTCTTGTTACACGTGAAAATGAACCTACCGCGTGAAAATTTTCGGTCCATTATTTATTGTGACTTTCGTTGGCTTGGCTTACTCAACAACAAAGCTATGATAGGCTGCGATTAGCATTTCTAAATGAAGCCCCATCCACTATTTACAATTGGATAACCGACTTTAAGCGTGGACGTATCAATCTCAATGGTGATCCGCGTGAGGGACTTCCTTTAACAGCGACTACTGAAGATAACATCAGTGCTGTGCGACGCATGATAGAGGATTCCCTATACTTTAACCAACGACTAGAAACACCTTCGGATGGACTGGTGTCGCCAAATGTTAGATAAGTTCAACGGCGGTGACTCAAGCAGAAAATCAAGTGCTATGGTGTCCTAGTCAAGTTGGCTCATACCGACTGTCATATTGGGGTTACTAGTTCTCTTAATACTCCATTATTTTTATAACTTAACACAATACTCTTAACCTACATAGTACAAATAATTAAAAATTCATAAATAGAAAAATCAGAAAAACATATGCATCCTACCAATTCTTACATACGGCTGTCAAAAATGGGCACTTACCAAAGCACAATGTGAAAGGTTAAGTGTAACCCAGAGAGTCATGGAAAGAAGCATAATAAAGAAAAGAAGAATTGACAAAATAAGTAACAAGAGTTTAAGAGATAAAACAGGGTCTGCTGACGTTGGATATAAAACAAAAGAACTAAAGTGGAAATGGGCTGGACATACCATAAGAAGAGCAGATAAATGGAGCAAAATTGTAACACTATGGCAACCAAGAGGCCATAAAAGAAACAGAGGTAGGCAATTTAAAAGGTGGGCCGATGAAATCATGGAAAGACTAAGACCTGGACGAAATTGGTATACGATAAGGAAAAATGGAGGACAATGGGGGAGTCCTTTGCCCGTAGGCACACAGAATCAGTTATCGTAGATTAAGAAAAACAATAGTTACAATGTATATATTTTGTATTTCTGATAGAAGGCTATAAATAAATAGAAAAATAAAACAAATTTAAATTTGGTTCCTGAGGCAGTGTTGCAATGCTGGCATTTTCACGCTATATTGCGATACTTATACGTTGAGCGAGGAAAGCACCAGGCTCTGGAGGCACAGATACTAACCAGGTGCTTAAATCTTTAATTAAGCGTTTTAATTTTGTTTTTTATTGTATATATAGCGTTAAACTTTAAAGCTAATTTAATTATAACTCATAAAAATGTCATTAACAATAATACGATGTTCGCGTGTCTTGGTGGTAATTTGATTTCATTTAATGTAGATTATTTAGAAAATCTTATTTTGATGAATTACTGTATTATTAATTTAATATGATTGAATCTTCATTATAATTAGATCTACATTATAATAATATTTTAAATGATAACGTATGAGTGATAACGCCGCCCATGGGCACTCTTAAAGCCAAAGGTTAAAAATTGGCCTTTTTTGAGGCCTCTTTTGTTTAAGTCAAATTGGTTCGGAAATACTTTAGTGAGCAGCTGGTTCCACATAGTGGTGATGCGCGGCAAAAACTGCCTTCAAATTAACAGAAATATTTCATATTTCTTCATCTAATTTTGTTTAATGATATATATTTATGATTACAAAAACTAATTGTACTCGAGAATGGATCACATTATCCATAATTAGCGCCTGTCTAATTTCATAATTATAATTAACTTGTATAATTGCTTGAGTATTGTTGGCCTTGTGACTTCAGCGTGCGACTCTCATTCCTGAGGCTGTGCACCAATGGACTTTCTTTCTATGAGCGCATTTAACATTTGCTCGAACGGTGAAGGAAAACATCGTGAGGAAACCGGCTTGCCTCACCTACTTGCTTATTAGATTGACAAATGATCATGGAACAGATAGATGTGAGGCCCGTTACGCACAACGGACCAATTAGGAGTCTAATTGCGAAAAAAGGAGTCCCACTACCCACTACCCTAGATGTGAGGCCCAGCCTAAAAAGGTTGTAGCGCCACTCATTCATTTTTATTTTTATTGCTTAAGCATTTTAAAATTCCAAAGTGGTTTTAAATACCTTATTCGAATTTCCAATATTATTTTAAGTAACTTTCATTTTAACATTACACACGACTTCTAATGATAAATAAAGTTACAAACAAATGAAGATATAGAGTCTGGCTAATGAAAGAAAATAATTGAATTATTTGCATACTTTCGGATGGCAACACAGAATGTCATTGAATTTCTTAGGTTAGTATGATTTATTGTCTTGATACTCATGCAATTACTCATTTTTATTTTATTACAATTTTTTCCGAATAGTTAACAATATAATACCTAAACTTTGATAGAATATTTCTTTCTTTCGAGGATTTGATTATTCGAATAAAGTTTTTTTATAATAAATATATTTTATTTTCATAATGTAGTATTTTATTTATATTAGTAAAAGACTAAATAGTTACTATGATATAAAAAATAATAAAATCAAGTATCAAGTAAGTGTAATCCACAAAATATGTATGTATATCAAACTTTTAGGGAACCATACTAAAAAAATTGAATTTGCCGCGCTTTTTCGTTACCTTCTTTCATTAGGCAGACTCTATAAACGTTTATTACAGTATTTAAATGTAATAATATTAGTTAAAAATGAATAAAAATAAAAACTAATACTAAAAATTAAAATTATAACAAATTTAAATAGTTTGGTGCATGTGGCAGCGTAATGCTGGCATTTCCTCGCTGTATTGCTTATTCGTTGAGCGAAGAAAGCACCAGCTCTGGGGTCACCGGTACTATCTACCAGGAGCCAACTTAAATCTTTAATAAGCGCCTGTGCACTTGAACCCCACGGCCTAAGAGTCTACTCCAAAGAGAACCAAATCAAGGTTGTTTATTATTTTTTAAATGTATGCTCAAATGTTTATTTTTTTCTAGGAGCGCCTCGGTGGCGGAGGGCTGGGTCTGGGCAGTGGAGGGTTCCGCGGCGGAGGTCAGCCCTCGCTAGCGGACTTCCAGCCGCCCTACTTCCCACCGCCCTTTGCACCGCCTGCGCATCCCGCCACGCCGCATCAGCAACAAGTATGTTGTTTACTTCTCATGAAATTCGGCCCAAATGCAATTGTTGTGTTAATAACTAACTGCCCCCGCAAACTTCATTTCGCCTTAATATGATATTTTTTGTAAGCCTATCTTTTTAGTAGCTACATACCAACATATGGAACACAGACTGTTCGCTATACCGGAATAAAAACCTTAATTTTAAATTTCTTTTTTGTATATTTTTCAAAATTTTCTCTCCATCACAACCTTCCTCTGCGTTCAAGGAATAAATAAAAAAAAACATCAAATTGGTCTAGCTGTCTTCGGGTTTTGCTCTTAGCAACATATTTCGCGATTAATTTTTATTTATTTAGTTAGTTATCTTTACATATAATTTTTAGTTCTTTATAAATACATTTAATTTTTATAATTGATTTTCGATATTAATATATTTGAAAATAGACATATTGTTTATTAAAACGTAAACATAACAATCAAATCAAATTAATTAATTTTGATACCTATACTACAAGTATTATTTCTACTATTTCGTATCAATTGAAAGTATATGTTTTTAATGTATAATAAGCCTATGGTAACTCAGAACAAATAAATTTACATTCTCTTCTCTGACAGGGCCATGGCATGGATTATGGAAGCAGTGGAGGTGGAGAATATGGTCAGCACTACGCGCCTCAGCAATTGCTGCCTCGTCACCACGGTCACCACGAGCCGCATGGCCATCTGCGCCACCATCGTGATCATCATGACATACATTCGCACCATGTAAGTGTTTCTTTAAAAATTTCGGTTTATATTGCCTGATGGGTACAATCTATCACCGCGCTGTATTAAAAAACAAATCAATCAATGGAAAGGAGAGCAATCTGGCAGTGCTCCAGTGCCTATGCCAGGGTGCCTGACGGTAACGTCAGGAGCAACACCGCCCGCCGTTACTATTCGTGCCCTCAGCGATAACTAACTTCTCGAAAAGACGTGACACAGTGTATGGAAAATAATGAACTGCACAGATTAACTGACGTTTTTGATTTTCTGTTGAGTGAACTGACAAAATATCTGCTTCATGTCAGTTCTTATACTATAAGAAATAGTTTTTTTGTAAATATTTTAATCTATTACTATTTGATGTTGTTTTGTTTTTAAAGTGAAACTTCTTTATCGAGGTTGGAAAAAAATTTTGTGTAAAATTTTTTCGTTACGCGTCACATTTTTCGGTTACGCGCCATGTTGCTTTTTGAAGTCAAACTTCTTTATCGGCGTTGGAATGAAACTTCTTTATCGACGTATGGGAGAAATTTTGTAGCAAATCGTCACGTTTTTCAATGAATAATTCTATTACAATTAATGAAATTCTATAATAATCTTCGTAGTAATAAGGTAAAATGAAATATTTGTATTCATGTCTATGATAATAAAAGCCTTTTGTTAAACATTATCTAATTTAACGAATTTCTGTAAAGTTGCATATAGTAGATCATTTTTCGAAAAATAAGATCATAAAGAAGTTTCACTTCTTACGTATGTACACCTAGTACACGCACAATTTATTTTCTGTGTATGTATTGTTTTGTATGTAATATATTATCAAACTATTAAATCACCACAGATTATAGAGAGCTACTGATTACATTTCTACAGAGTACAGGCACTGTGCTTCTATTTATTTAGAAAAAACTTAACAACTGACTTAACTATAAACCAAAATAATTTTAATCGAAACGCGATGAAAAGGTTAAAAGGCTTATAAAGAATACGTATGAACAATACATAGGGTGTGTATTTGTCTGTGTATGTGTCAAAGACAAATAAGGGAGTTTTTTGTTTATTTGATTTTTTACAATTGGAACGAACTTTAGAATAATCTATTAAGCTAGTTAGCTGCGACATAAATATTATAGGGCTATACGATGATCGATTTAATTTAATTCAAAGCGTAAACAAATGCGTAAAGGAAAATCCCGATTTATCACTAACCACACACTTATTTACGTTTTTTTATTTAGTAACTTTAATAATAATTAAGATTGTATAATGAAACATAAGTTCATTATAGAATCAAGTTAATTTTTCTATTACATAATTTTTTTTCCCAAATAGAAGAATATTTTGACAATAACTCTCATAATGGAGCTCGGAGCTACGTAAAATCAATAGAAAATAACAAGAAATGGAATGCACCCTCGCATGCCACGAGAAATCTTCGGATAGTTGGGACCCCTTGTAAGACGATACTGAATTATGTTATTAAAATATCTTCATGCAAACTTCATGTACCTTATACATACATAGGTCTATGGTTTAATTTGTGATAAATGTTAGGGAAAATACTTTAAACTGAATAGAGTCCTGATTTCTTTCGAAGCAGTAAGTTTTAGAAAAGTAACTATTAAAGTTGAATATTTTTACTAATAATAAATACTATATTTATACAATGTATAATCTTTAAATTTGTGTAGTAAGAAGTTTTCACTTCACAAAAGTTTTTATAATTAATGATATCATGTAAATAAAATTGATAATTTTGTAATTGAATTAAATTAATCTCTTATTTAATGATCGATATAGAAAATCATCCAATACACACTAATTTAAAGTTTATACACTATATCATGCCTCCTATCTCATTTTCTTCTTTCTGTCTCTTTTTACTGTCGCTATTTCGTATCATCAACTTTAAAATCACAACGATGAAAAAAAAAAATTAAACCTTGCAATTTTCCGTTTTATTAAGGTACTAAACAATTTACAAGACGCGGAACATTGGGATTAAACTTAAAGCTGTATAGTACTTGATAGAATGCTGCATCATTAAAAAAAAATTTAAAAATCTAAAAATTAAAAAAAAATTTAGGAGTGGCCTAAACTTAACGTTTAGGGGGATGAAAAATCGATGTTGTCCGATTCTCAGACATACCCAATATGCACACAAAATTTCATGAGAATCGGTCAAGCCGTTTCCGAAGAGTTTTACTACAAACACCGCGACACGAGAATTTTATATATATAAGATTAAAAAACAATAAAACGTATAATATATACTTACGTAAATTAAAAATGTTCCTATTTGCTTCTTTCCAATACAACAAGCAGTTTAAAGAAATCGATAAGAAAACTACTATCTAGAATGTTGCCATTATAAAATACTTTTGGCAATTCAACAAAAAAGGTTGAAAAGGCACTTAGATAGATTAGGTCTAATGTCCTCTGCCCTCTTTTGTGAAGTTCTATATTGTTAAGGCTTATTGTTGGAAAACGACATTTCATATTTTGATATATGAATTCTTAAAGGAATTGCGTCTTTGTTTAGGTAATAATAAACTTTATTGATAACAAAATATGGTTGTGACAAAATTTGTCTAACGCTAGTACCCACAATAAGTAGTCTTAGGTAACTGGAATGTAATTATTCCGTGGTACATGTTTAAAACAGTTTTTTTTAAGATTATGAAAAGTTTTCCCTGTGTAATGCTTTCAAGGTAGTTATTACATTTTTAAAGGCAATGTGCCCATAGCAATCCTGCCTAGAGAGTATTTAGACCATAAGTTTTGACAACTCTTATAAATTTCTAAACTATTATTATTGTGACATTATGAAGATGATGAAATTTGCATGTCTATTTTTGTGTGGTTTTTTAGTCAATCTGAATGGAACTTTCTTTACAAAGATTTATTATAAATATTAAGAAAAAATTGCTTAGTGTTACAACTAATCAAACAAAAGTCGTGTTAGAACTTAAGTATGCGTATGAGTATAATATGAATGTGTGTGCGTCCCCTGTATTTGGGAGTGTGGTTGAGAATTTTTTTTATTGGTTTTTAAATACTAAAAACATCTACTTGGATTCATATTAATATCATTAAAAACTCGACGGAATTTTTTTTAAATTTTATTTGGAGAATAATTTGGGGCCTCCAGGCCTCTAATTCCGGTCCTTCGTTAAACTTTAATCGAAAAAGATTACTATTACAGTCAAAGCAAGAATTAAATTTAGTGCATTATAAATTGCACCTTAATCGGAAGTTATGAATGAAAAGGCTTCTTTAATTAAATTTGTAATTTTTGGACAGTTATCGCACGGTGGCTTCAGCTATAGCGGCAGTGATCGGCGGTCGGATTATGGGGTCCGGGAACAGCATGAGTTGGCGTTACATCATGCCCTGCACTCCACAGATGAAACACAGGTTTGTATAGCCCACAACTTTATGTCATACTATCATCTTATTAATTCTAAAATACGTAATATATTGTCGATTCAAAACCTTTAAAAAATAAGTTTTTTGAGGGGAGAGTTTACTGTATATTAAATGTTTGACAGTTACGAAACCTTTTCATTTGTCGTTTATTATGAAAGTTTTTAGTTGTAAGTGCTGACAAATACAACAATACGAAAACCACGAAAATCGCTCCAGTCGTTCTCGAGATATGTGTGCTAACAAACCCGACTTTGTGTTATATTTATTTAAATTACTGAATTAGTGTTAGTGCACGTTAGTCTTAAGTGCTAAACAGTGATAAAAAATAGAACACAAGTATTTCCCTTCATAGAGACTGTTATTGGACACTTTCTTCAAATTCAAATTCAAATTTAAAAGCCTTTTATTGCCAACCTTAAATAACATTACTTTAGCTGTGTTAGATTTATTTCTTAATTAGTTGTAAAAGATAAATAACTAATGTTTATTTAGTTGGGTACCCGGTTATGGGAAAGGCCTCCTCCATATTTGCCATCTGTGTCGGTTCTGAGCGTCCCTTGTCCAGGTTTGCCGGCGTATGTATCTCACTCTCCACCTAGGATGACCTTTTTCCTTCGGCCGTCTCTGGATACCAATGAAGTACGTTGCCCATCTTGTCATTTACTCTTGTTATGTGTCCTGCCCATTTCCATTTGTTGCAGTACATTTCGGAGCATCTATTGTTGTTTGTTTCCGGATCTCTATATTTTTACTTATCACTTATCTTACACCCAGCATCGATCTCTCTGTTCTTTTGGAATACTGACAGTTTTATTTGTTTTTTGTTAGAGACCAGTGGCAGCCGTTTAGGCATGGTAGAATCGTGCTTCATACATTTTTCTTTAAGTGAATTGGTATTTTTTTGTTTTTGAATATATCTTTGTTTGCCCAGAATTTTTTCCATGAGATGGGATTCTCGACTTAGCTCTTTTTCTGTGAGATCGTCAGGAAATGAGTTGGCCTAAGAAATGTAATTTAATACTCTATTACACATGACTCTTTGTTGTATTATGGGTCGTATTGGTCATAATTTTGTTTTGTCATGTTCATTTGTAAGCCTAATTTTTACTTACAGTGTTTATGTTGAAAGCAATTTGAGTTTCATGAGTATTTGACAGTATTACTATGTCATGGCAAACTAGATGTACAGGAATTCTCCATTTTTTAGTCCACAATTTCCCATGTAGTTTCCTGAACATTGATTCTAATAGACTGTTTTTGGTGAGATAGGTCGTTGTTTGACCCACGTTTATTCGAAATAGTTCCCATAACTCTTTTTTATTTGCTAGTCGTATATTAAGTTTTAATATTCTAATAATTTTATTATTTATCCTTGTTCTTTTAATGCTTCCAAAATGTTTGTAAAATCGAATCAAACGCTTTGTTAATCAACGATCCAAGTAGATAGGTTTGTTATATTCTCTATTTTCAATACTGTTCAATGTAAAGATATGTCATAGTTGAAAATCCTTTCCTAAATCCGGTTGCTCTGTGGTGTCGTCTAGCTTTTACCGTAATGAGAAAATTTGTATAGTTGTAGTAAGCTATTGGGGGTAATTATCTATGTTTGGAGTCTCCTTTCTTTATGAGTATTATGAATGTTCCATGTGGATTTTCTCTTCAAGTATTTTATTAAAAATATTAGTCAGTTGGTGCCAATGTTCTGCGTTGTATTAACATTCTGTGTTGCCACTTGGGGTATTATTCTACTTGAAAGCTTTACTTCATCTATAAAGAAGTTCTTAGTTTAATTTGACTGTTCAATATAATTTTTTATAAAAGTCAGTAGCTGATAGAAGGATCTCCTGTTTTTTTGATGACCATTCTTTTGTGGTTTTCTGTTTTGTAGAGCCTTTCCATTCACTTTCAATCAATTTCATTTTTATTTTATTTTTCCTTTCAATATTTTTTCTTTATTTTTCTATAAAGTTTCTTTAGCCTTTTTTTCTCTATTCTGATCCATGTGTCTTAATTCTTTCATATAATTTGGAATATGTTAATGTGCTTTTTTTTTATGATGTGGTAAGTAGAAGTGATTTTTGTTCACACTAAGTTTTATAGTGTTATTTATATTCAGGTAGGATTTAGCTAGTTCTCTTGTACTATTTCCCTATTTGTTCTAGGTAGAAATTTTATCTTAGTTCGAAGAAATTTACGTTTTTTCTTTGTTTTGTAATGAGATATTTCAGCATTCTTGATCAGACGGGAATTTTGGAGAGAAAATTTCAAAATTTTTATGAATCTTTTATCTTTAATCAAAAAATCTATCTCTTTTTGCATGGAACACATTTTGATTTCTTAAAAAAGAATAACGAACTTGTTTGTAAACAACTTGATATCTTTCCCCTCTTTCATCTTCTCCATTCCATATGCCGTTGTTTTTCAGTAGAGGAAGCCCAATTTTTAATTGAAGTCCCCTATATAATATTTTCCCAGTTTTGAGAAAGCTTGAGTGATTGGTTGTAAAATCCACGCTTCTTCTTTAGCTCTTTCGATAGGTGTACTATTTAACACAGTTGTTCACACTGAATGTCTAATCTTACGACTCTGTCTGAGTAAGTTGTGAAACTATAATTTCTTTTTAGTTACTATTGAGATAAACCTACTTGACCACTTTCTCCCTAACTTAAATTTCTATATGTTATTTTTACCTTCAATTTTTCTTCGAAATCCAAAACATTTTATTTTATCTAGCACTTGATCTAATTCTGGTAATCTATTTTCTGGAGCAGCATCTAACGTTGTACGTAAGATTAAATAATATTTTTTAATTGATTTTATCCTCATACCTTGTGGAGGGTTGTGGTATACTCTTCGGGGACCAACGTGGTTTTTGTTAATTTAATTTTGAATTTTCACACTTTAGTGAGGGTTTGGTCTAGTGCTCGGGGACCAGCCGTGGGACACTTTCTTATGATACATTATTAGTAAATTAGGTTAAAATATACGAAAATAATACGTAATCTTAAACCTAAGTCAAATATCTTAAAAAAAATCTTTAATACTGACAAAGTGTAGGTCATAAAATTAGTGTACCTCAATTGATGTTTTGATTGTATATCATTAAATTGATTAAAGAGTTGCGTATAAAATCACATATCATTTGGCTCATTATGTTTGTCAACTGGCATTCCTTTTTATGTACACAATTTCTTCATTTAAATTATAGTGATAACAGGATGTCAGTTTAAATTGAATATGAGAGGAAAATACTAAACATATTGTGTGATAGATATTGCCAGTTCTACGCCCATGATTTGAGAACTTCCAGTAAATTTAAATTTAGAATCATTCTTCTTGCTGTCTAAATGGAATTTTGTTTTTTTATGATTGCTATTTTATTATATACTGCCAGTATTCAATTTAACAAAAACAGGTTTTATGCAATGAATTAAAACCTCTTTTCGTCAGAATACATTCTAATTTCAATATAATCGCTGGTGTATCGGCCCTTCAAAATACCGAAAACTATTATGGCATATTTCAAATTCCATAACACAATTATGCACTATAAAAATACCCTTTTCATATATTGCCAAGAATTTAATAAGCCAAGTAAATTAAAACTCAAGGAATGTTTGAGAAATTTCTCATTTCTCAAGTCGATATGTTATGAAGTCAATGTGTTTAAATTTTATTGAATTTGACGTTGGATGGTGGAAAAAAAGCGGGAAAACTAAACTGTCAATATAAGTTAGAATAGATAATATACTGTATTGGTTTTTTGTACGTTTAAAACTGATTGTATTATTTTTTAATTTTGGCGCCGATACAATAAAACTCAGAAGCTTTAAAACTATGTGACTGACTAATTTTTTTTTCAGAATGCTGGCATGGATGACACCACGGGATTCATGACAGACTTACCCTTATTAAAATGTAAGTATTACAATTTATTGGTACAAAGACATTGCGCTTATATTCGCAAAGTGAGTACACAGTAGCGATATTGTGTATATTATGTATTTAATATTATATATTTTTTCGACATTATCGAATCGTAATATTGTAAGCATAATATATGTATTTCAGTATATAATTAACTTGAAAATCAGTGCGAGCTTTGAGAACGAGGTACGCAAAATTGATCAAAATATATTGTAAAAATGACTCTCGTTTTTTTATTTGTTAACAAAAGCTTGCCAACGCTAGGTACACTGATACATTGATATACTCAAGAAAAACAAAATACAAGATTTAATGCGACAAGCATTAAATTATAAAAAGCTAAAGGAAAATCGATTTCAAAATGTGAACTCTCGTTTAGCTAGCAGCTAAAAGTTGTTTTGTTACTTAGCAAAGTTAATTATATTCTGTAGCACTAAATAGACAATGTAGTCTCTGGTCAATTAGGCATAGATTTAATTCAAATAAAGAACTACTGTGATAGTAATTTAAATTCCGCTTCACAACTACATGTTATTAACTTATCAAATGATGACCTCATAGATAAAACTGTAATTAGGTTCTGTACAATAGCTATCGGATACATGTATCGATATTTTCGATCGAACAAGCGAATATCGAATAGACAATCGATCATCCATTTGATTAGCGGATGCGGAAATGAGATGCTACTTATTTTTTTATATCGCCAGTATTAATCGAACATGTCTATGTTTTATAATAGTAAATTCAGATATAAAGTATGCCAAATACAAAATATGTACTGTTAACTAAATACCGTTTGGACAAGAGACCATTTTCAATTTAACATCTAATTCTTATATGTTTTAAGACCTAATTTCGTAACAGTACAAATAAACCCTGTTTTAACATACAAACAAATTGAAATAAAATTAGTGGATAAATTTAACACCACTGCAAAATCATTCATTCTAGATAAATTGTATGTATTAGGAAGCAAACGGGCAGGACACCTGATGTTAAGTGACACCGCCGCCCATGGACACTCACATTGCCAGAAGGCTCGCAAGCGCGTTGCCGGCCTTTTAAGAATTGGTACGCTCTTTTCTAGATCCTTCTACCTTAAGTCGAATTGGTTCGTAAATAATTCAGTGGGCAGCTGGTTCCACATAGCGGTACTTTAACTGCCTTAAAAAACGCTCAGTTGTGGAACGACGGACGTCGAGGTGATACGGATGGTATTTTGGATTCTGCCTTGACTTCTGATAATGAAACTCAGCTCAGGGCAGGGCCGCGCGGCGTCTTTTGCCTACTAGAACGATGTTTCCCCTAAAATAAAACGGGACCATCTCTTGTAAAAAAAAAACGTGGATTAGAAGTTATACTTCTTTGGCGTAACAAGATAAAAATCTTTAAAAAAAAATGTTCTACGTTTGATGACACTAACAATAGAAAAAACTAAAATGTTGACTATAGCTAACTTCAGAGTGTGCGCGCGCATCGTATATACTGGGCGGGCTTTTCTAGGACTATTAAAGATAAACATTTCCCGAATCACGCCAGAATATCTCGCAGATCGTAGATTATTTCCTACTTACTTGATATTTTGGACAAATCACACAATTTATAAATTGTAGCCTATGTGTTATTCTGATGTACGAGTATAAGCTATATTATTGTAAAGTATCATTAAAATCCATTCAGTAGTTTTTACGTCAAAGAGTAACAAACATCCATCCATACTTACAAACTTTCGCGTGTTTAATTAACAGGATTTTTAATTAAAAGAGTCCGAGTGGGCTTGTATTGCTTAACACAAAGAAAAATAACAATTATGTGACTTTAAGAGTTTTAATACAAAATTTTGATTGAACACACCATCACAATACATTTTTTTTTGTAATGGCAACTCTGACAAAATAATTGGCGGGATCTTTTTAAAAGCTAATGTCAGAACGCGGTGTTAAATAGTCAGCATGGTGCCTGTACTAATGACATAGTAATGTTTATTGTATTAGGGTTACCATATGAAATATTACAATGTGAATAGCAATCACGCTGCGCGCTTGTTTGGGGCGTGGCTGGATTCGTAAATCTATTGTTCGTTTACACTAGGGATTCTGTAATCACCCGTATTTTTCTATTTCAATAACCTTATAAAATTCAAATTATTTCTTAATATAATAAAATATATTACTTGTACATAGGTAATTTGAGTTAAAATAATTTACATATACCAATGGCTATTAGGTCTGGGCTTCAAATTTCTGTATTTGTTCCGTGATCATTTCTAATAGGCTGTCAACTGTATTTTACACACACCGTAGACTTTTTGGGTCTACGAGTGTTAAACGCGCACATAGACAGAAAGTCCATTGGTGCTAGGGATCGAACCTACAACCCCAGGGATAAATGTCTAAAAAAAATAATCTATATAGAGATTCATAAAATATACTTAAAATTAGGCGTATCCCCCGACATTATCGCTCGGATTGTCTGGTTTAGCATAGACTTCAAGTACTTTCCACCAAGAGTCTTGCCCATGTTAAATAGGAAAAAGACAATAATAGAAGCATCATCATTTCTCTGATATCATCTTCACGTAGTAAGTACCTTCTTTTTCTCCTTTGTTATATACATTCTATGACATGCTGTCCAGTGACGTTGGTAGGAAAAACAAATTTCTCTTTAAATTTACTTAAAATTACCAAGCTGAAATGTTCGATAGCGCCACAACTTCGGGTTTGACTTGAAACATGTCTTTTCACTAATTGTTAAATGGTCTAATACAGAACAGAACGTCTTACATAATATTAACATTATTCAAGCAGAATCTTCCAAATTCCGTCTGAAATGTTTTGTTGATATCGCTAACCACATGAACTTCGTTTAACTTGACTCTCTTTTCAATTTGGATATTTGTCTGTTTATCGAGGATATTATGTTCTTAAACAAACTGTTTTACGGTAAAATACAGAACAGTAACCACAGAATATTAACATTGACGTCCCGTATTCAAGGTTGAAAATCAGCAGATTCCAAATTCCGTCTGTAAAAACCATTCTTGGAGTTCAGGCACCTCTAATTCGAATTATTCGCGAATATAAAAGAATAAAAGCTTATCCAGGGCTTGATATATGGGCTGAACAATTTAAAAAAAGCGTTGTTAAGCTAATAAGTATTTTGAAATAGAAGTAGTAAAAATTTGTAGTTGAAAGTGTAATATTTTTATTATTATTTTATTTTTTTGTAAAATCTATGTTCACCGTAATTGTCATGTATTTTAGATTAGATAAATTGTGACTTTTACTCATACCTACTATAGAAAAGTATATAATATATATATATGTGATAGATGTGGTGTACTTTAATAAATATTTAAGACTTATATTACATCAAGTCCCTGACTGAAATTACGCGATAAAAAGTGCATATCTACTAAATATGATTGCTGTTTTTGCTTTATAAAGAATTTGTTTTCGCAGCGATGAAAGGCCGCGATGGCCTAAGCGCAGGGTCATGTGCACCAAACGACGTGTTCTGCTCAGTGCCAGGACGCTTGTCACTTCTCTCCTCAACCAGCAAGTACAAAGTGACAGTCGCTGAGGTCCAACGAAGGCTATCTCCCCCAGAGTGCCTCAACGCGTCGCTGTTAGGAGGAGTCTTACGGAGGTAAGGATTATTATCTGTAGTAGTTTTAATATTGGCGGTAAAATCCGCCCTGACGTATTACAACAGAGTAGTAATGTCAAAGTGTCATTAGCGTTCCACAAATTGTTTATTTTTTGTGTCTATGGGAAAGTATAGTTTACTATTTATAAAAGCTTGCCAACGCTCGGCACACTGATACATCGGTACAAGAAAAATAAAATACAATATTTAATGTCACAAGCACTTATAGGCAAACAGTACATACACGAAAAGATAAAACATTAAACCAAAAAAAATAATTATAAAAACAATTTCGATTTTGTTCCCTTTGGAGTAGAGAATCTTGGGCCGTGGGGTTCAAATGCACAGGCGCTTATTAAAGATTTAAGTTGGCGCCTGGTTAGTACCGGTGACCCCAGAGCTGGTGCTTTCTTGGCTCAACGAATAAGTATCGCAATACAGCGAGGAAATGAACGAATAAGTATCGGAATGCAGCGTTAAAGGTACACTGTCACAGGAGCCAAACTTTTTAAATTTGTTTTAATTTTCTTTTTATTCATTTTTAATTATTTTTATTATTACTTTGGTTAAGAATAATGTTAATACAAAATTATACGTACGTAGCGTGATTAAATTGATAAAATACTTATTATGAAAAATAAAGGAAAATTTATTTCTAAGTCGACAACTATGGATATCCAGACCTTGATCGTTTATCAGAATGCTCAATCTGAATATCGGTGAATTTTGGCCAAAACTCGTTTTTCTGAAAGGGACAAATGTTATACCTGTGTATCAAGATGTTACGAATTGAATTTAATTAAAACAGTGGGAAAATCAACCTTGTTAAATATCTTAAATGCAAACGATAAATCAATTCTTCATCATCTTAAGTGCCTTCGTATGGCAACTGTTTTTTCTAAATGCCACTCAAAAAAAGTAGATGTACGATCGGCCCTTTCACGGGTAAAGGCCTCCTCCAGTTTTTTCCAACTGACTCCGTCTATGGCTTTCTTTCTCCTTTCGCTTCCTGCTACCCTGCTTTATTTCCACCTGTTTTTTGTAACCACCACGTGTACGTAGTCTATGTAAATAACAGTATATTTATATATAAAACTTAATACTTTTCTAGACAATACAGTTAACCACAGCCACATCACGTTTTATTACCACTTACATTTTTTGCGCTTGCAACACAGTACGGTATATGATTTGACTTATTTGATCTGATAGGTTTATTTAGTGGTTAGTTAGTTTTTGTCTGTGGTTTCAAAGACATGCTACATTTTAACTAGCGAACCTGTGGTGTCGGCCATCTCGATTATGTTCGGTCAAGGGTGTCTATGGAGATAAAAAAATTAAGTTTTTAAAATCAGTTTACAGATCTGTCAATGGCACAAATATTAAAGACATTTATCTATTTATGGTCGATAATTCACTATGTTTAGACGTTATATTAAGTATATACGTTAATGTATAATACTATCCTAACAGGCCTATATGTCAAAATACATTTCATCTTGAGAGCTGTCAAAATTACTAAACTAAAGAAATAAATACCTCGTTACTATAAAGTTCCAAAATGCGAACATTGTAACAAATATGGCGCCAATTCGTCTATTTATTTAAAACCACCGGGCATTGCATTAACATCTAGAAATAATAAAAACTAATTGTCTGTAACAGGCAGGCTAAACTATAAATATATGATTTAAAAACGGAAAAATATTGTTTTGAAAAATATATATATCTGCAGAACTGTGATGGAAGGGTTTAATTTCAGGGTACATTTATAAGCTAACATAAACATTCTAGGAATACTAGTATCCTAGGACGGTTCTCTGAAGAGATATTGATGAAAAGTTTGAGAGCCTAAACTTGAGACAATGTAATCAAAACCACTTTAAAATATCAATATTTCTTTACCAATAAACCTTATTTATATGCAAATTGAATTTAAATTCGGCATTGCTTAATTGAAATCAAATTTTTACGAGGTAATTGTCGATCGGCCCGGAATGCAGTAATTGCTACCAGAATTATAATAGATTGTCCATAGACACGTGTAACATAATTTTCATTCTGTATACTTAGAGGCTTAATTACCGCGCCAACGAATGATGTTCGATATTTAAATTTTTAAACAACATTTTTGACTGTCAAACTTTATTTAGAATAAGAACATTGTCCTTGGATTTCTGGTGATGACACTAAACATTTTCTTTCGAAAGGAATAAATTATGTTTTTGATGTTCGAAATTTAAAAATATACTTAAAGTTATACACTGGCCTTTTAAAATATACCTAAGTATGCGAACGGAACTTCGAACAATACTGTGCAAGATTCAAAGCCGAGACTTATAGCTCAGCATGTATATATGTGTTCAAGAAGATGATATTTCAAAAATCCGACTCAATAGCTCCGAGGTATGAGTATCATGGACACCACCACAACAGTAATTGACATATTCATACATTTATTTTTCTTTGAACAAAATATAGATTATACAGTATTGGGGAAAGGATAATGTAAACCCATAACATTATTACCGGGTTCAAATCGACTCAATTCGCTACATTAACCGACTATTTGGCATCGTAATTATTTGCGAGTTGCGCACGCGCCGGTTTTTATTAGGGTCCGATTCGCACATGCAAGATATTTTACGTAGCAATTTTTATCGAATCGTGTCACTGCGTATTTATTGGATATATTTTGTAAAAGCGGGTTACAAACAAAGTTTCAGGCTAAACTTAAATCTTGTTACACATATTTTTACAGAAGTGTTACCAAGTCCCTTTTCGTGTGCATTTTCAAAATATTTAAACTATGCGAAACGTTGGGATAATTTTAAAGTTATAATTAAAGATTATATAAAAAATTTGTTTGAATGTAAGTTTAATAAAAACAATGAAAACAGATTAAAGTTCTTATTTACAGTTTAATTAAAGAGTATATTTACTTTTTTATTGTATCATGTTTAAAAATTATTATAAATAAATAAATCTATAAGATGAATTCAATATGGAACAGATTGAGGTACAATACGATACAATTTTTGTTAACATAATAAGACCCGCCATCTAATTTAAATCGCCAAAGAGTACGAAACAGCCAATTATTCCTGAAAGGAGGTTGTGATGAATTCGATCTCGTCATGAACTTTTTGTAAACAAAAACAAATTAAGAACAACGGTTATTTTGCTACCTGTGGGTTCTCTTTGGTTGACTTTTTGCTTCAATCTCATAAATTCTGATGGATTATAATTAAATAATGAGTGTATTTTAAATTATAACACAATAAACTTTGCTCGCGGTCGTTCACAACTATTAAACTTGCGCTTTTCTTCTCGTGATAGATGACAATTGACATTAAAGATCTGATGATTGTTCAGGGGCTTTAGACAAAATCAGTTTCGACTGGCGTGGCCTATCACCGCCGAAGGAATTTGTATGAGAATGGCATTAACTTTGTCACGTGACCATTGGGCCAAGTCTGACGCAAATTCTTTTATCTCAATACCCGGTTCTCTATATGATAATTCAATGTTAATTGGGAACTTGCATTCTATACATTATCTTTTCAAGAAAATCGTAAAAATAAAAGTCGGTAACGAGTGTTAGTAAAGAGGTAATTCATTTGAATTAAGAATCAATAGAAAATCGAAATAACAGATTGACGGGATAATCGGTTTATAATAAGCATTCGATGTATTGATATGAAAGTATCGATTTTGATTATCAATCAGAATAAAGCACGGCTGTTTGATTTTAATAAACAGGTACCGTTGTATGCGATAAATATAAATTTAACCATAATTTTCTGTGTCTATTAGATAAAACATATCATAAACTCTGTAACTCTAGTAAGCTTAGGCAAGGACCACTTTTAGGGCCTCACTTTATTGCTATTTTTTACAATTTATTGATAAAAACACATTCGTCATTGTATGTTTTATTTTTATAAAATTTAAAGAAGAAAATCTTGAGGCAAAGTTCTTCTGACTTCAGCTGTGTGACCTATGAAGCGAACGCTACATCCACCCACCCTTTTATAGATTTGCTGTAATGACGCTTACGTCCTTTACTTCTGAGTTGGTGCTTCTGAGAAGATCTTTCCCTTGGGTGAGATCTGAGACTGATCAAGAGTTCTGACCGCTCTAGGCTGTTATCAGGATGCGCCCTAGTGACAAATGTGTTACGGTCGGTCTCAAAAGTAGCATATTAGTTTTGACTTTGTTTACTAGTGTGAAAATTACCTACTTGTTTATTAGATTGACAAATGATCATGAAACATACAGAAATCTACCCAGACCTAAAAAGGCCATAGATTTTTTTTAAACTAAGTAGGGAGACCTGTACATTCGGGTCCGCTCATCCGACGGTTAAATGAAATTGTAACTTAAAAATCGTTAATTCGTTACCAAATATTTTATAAAGCAAAACCGACTTATTACTAAGACCTGACTTGTACCTACACACTACATGATAATGTTTGGAAAGGGATGAATAGAATGGGAGGTGGAGAGTGCTAGTGTAAAAGAGTAAGTGCATTGTGAAAATTAAAGATGATTAGATTATTATTGTACTAGAAATTCAGTTTCTTCAAAGCTTCGCGCAGAAAGACACTTGGACTATTGTTTAAATTTCGTTTAATAACTTAGGGTAAATATTAAGTATATTTAGCAACTACAATATTAATTTAATATATTAAAGCTAGGGCAGAAAGAAAATGCTGTCATTTTTGTTAAATATGACAGTTATCACAAGCACTCCACGGACAAAATTATTCTTTAAATAAGTTTTGTTGATTTAAAAACACCTTTTGTCCACACTTAACACTTACTCGAGCGGTAAAACAATGAAGAAATAGGTACGGACCCTAATCCTCATACCTTGTATTCTATGTTGCTACAGTTAAACGACGTTTTTTTTATGTAACAGGAGGCAAACGGGCAGGAGGCTCACCTGATGTTAAGTGATACCGCCACCCTCTCGATATCAAAGTGCTCGCGCGTGCGTTGCCAGCACTTTTTAAGAATTAGTACGCTCTTTTCTTCAACGACTTGGTTCGGAAATACTTCAGTGGGCAGTTGGTTCCACATAGTGGTGGTGCGCGGCAAAAACTGCCTTAACAAACGCTCAGTTGCGGAATTCGAAATTCCACCTCGACGTCCGATGATGGAACTCAGCTGCGGGTATAATTACGAACAACTTCTCTGAGCACTAAATAAATAAAAGCAAAACTAGCTTTCGGAATTTTGACACAAGGTTTTCACACCTATGAATAATAATTTTCAATTACGCGTGAGTGATTTTTTTATAGGGCAACATTTGACCACTTTCTACGCGTCAATCAATTTAGTAATCGATCTTTATCTGTGACTCAACCAAGTGGGCAGTAGCGAAGTCACGTCATTCAAGTTTCCGGTTACAAAAACAAAACTAGACAAATCCCGCGACTTACAGAGTTTGTGATGTGTTAATGCAGTATAGACAATTTGGTAGTTTACATTCATACATTTTTATACTTACATTCTGACTCTTTGAATAGGGTCACAGAATGTAAATATAAAAATAGAATTAAGGCACAGTGCAGAAGTAATAACATTTTTAATTTAGTTAATCTGTGTTTATTTTTATACGTGTTTTGCAATTAATTTAAAAAAATCCTTTTTTTATTTGATTTTAATTTTGATTCTGGTTTTTGTTAACCAGTTAAACTATTTGATTTCACTTATCGTGTCGCCACATAAGGGCATCATTTTAATATTTTCATATTATGTAGGTATGTTGTTAGACAAACACTTATATCCTAAATGTATAGTCCAAATAAAAAAATGAAAATGTTTATAAAGTTTTAAATTTATATATTATATTATAATACATATTTAAAAATGGATAAATAGAAAATTAAAACATATTTAAAAAGTTTGGTGTGCGGTGTATATTTAATTCTAGCATTTTCTTGCTGTATTGCGATACTTATTCGTAATAATTTTCATTAATTAGTTTCATTGTAATTATATTTATTAATAAAAAGATATTTATCGTTTTGAAACGTGCCTTAGATCCTTCAAATTGTTTATTTGTTGTCATTGTTAATTTCCTTTCAGAGCAAAAAGCAAAAATGGCGGACGGTTATTACGAGAGAAATTAGAAAAAATAGGCCTTAACCTACCAGCAGGGAGACGGAAAGCCGCGAACGTGACCCTGCTCACTTCATTAGTAGAAGGTAATTTTTGTAATACTCTGAAATTTTCTTTGTCCGACCTAAGGATACCTCGACCTGTCTAAGCACTTAATGACCGGCCCAAAGGCCAGTAGGCAAACGGGTATGAAGCTCGTCTGATGTTAAGTGACACCGCCGCCCATGGACACTAAAAGCCAGAGGGCTGCGAGTGCATTGCCAGCTTTTAAGAATTGGTACGCTCTTTTCTTGAAAGACTCTAAGTCGAATTGGTTCGAAAATACTTCAGTGGGCTGCTGGTTCTGCATAGTGGTGGTGCGCGGCAAAAACTTTAATAACGCTCCGTTGTGGATTTACGGACGTCGACCTAATACGGCAGCAATTGGTTACGAGAAGTGGTTTCTAAGCTTAGCGGTCTTATATTTTTGATACTTCAAGATAAAAGTAGAACAAATTGCATATATATATATTTTATTATCAACGGTGTTTCACGATTTAAACCCTTAACATATATTTTTATACGTATTAGGTGGGCTGAAAAGTTCGCAGGCCGACATATTATAGATGGCGCTACTAGTATTAATATAATATGATTTTTATTTAGCCCATACTTTTACACGTGTATAAATTTGACAACTCTCGTACTATTAGTTTGTATATTGAGTAACGGAACTTTTGTTTGTTTAATAATGAATAAAAAAGCATTGCTCCTTGCGGAAATAAAAAAAACTATTTAAAACCAAGGCTTGGCTTGTTAAACATTATTCAATTCCATGTTATCTAGTCCAGATTTTCGTTCTTTATATATCTTTATTAAAAAATACCTAAAAACAACTTCCACTTCTAATGGAAATGGCCAATTCATTTGTCATATTGAAGAAATGAACGCAAAGATGTGTTGACATCATCTTCATATATTTTAGCTATAACTAGATGACGAATAACTAATTAATTTACAGCTGAAGCAGTGCATTTAGCCCGTGACTTCGGCTATGTATGTGAAACTGAGTTCCCTGCGCGGGCGTTAGCGGAATACCTTGCGAGACAATACGCAGAGCATGACGCTAGACGAAGGCGGGACCTCTTGCAGGCCACGAAGCAGGTCAGACATTATTTTTTATTTACATATATACTGGATATGAGCTATTATATTATTTTGTTAAAATTAGTTTAACGGAAGTATAGACTCACAGAATACGCTAGTGTGGTCTCAATCTTGTCTAAAACGCGGTCAAATACGTCAAACTTCACACATAAAAAATGGTTTGACAGCTCTCGAAAGCAGATTTAAGTTAGTGACATTCTATAATAATGTTTAAAAGCCTTTTAAGTAAAAAGCTTTAGTTGTACTTAAATTGCAATCAACAGGTCGATTTTTATTCATAATTATTTAATAATTTATTTATTTATAGATAATATTAACCATCGCTCACATATTTATTTCTTTACTTCTCGTTTCAGGTTGTCAAAGAAGTAATGGATCTTCTAAACCAGGATAGGTCTCCACTCTGCAATACTCGGCCGCCGCATCTCCTTGAACCGGCGATACAGCGACATCTAACGCATTTCTCGCTCATCTCGCACGGGTTTGGAGGACCGGCCATTGTTGCAGCCCTCACTGCCATACAGGTGTGTATTTTTCGATAGAGGGCGCTTTCCTAAAAATAGTATCGTTTACAGTTTCACCCATAGACACGATACAGAGACCTCTATTTAAATTACATTGACGGTTAGTATTGCCAATTGTAAAATAATAAACCAGCAATGTTTGTACAAAAATTAATATAACGAACATTCTGACTGTGATGGTGCCACAGATAAGCTGAAATCCTTCATAGAATTTATTTCAAGGAAAAATCAAGATTCAATCATTGCGAATATTTGCTAAACTTACCTTACTTTAATTGTCTTAAGTACTGCATTAAATGAATTATTTTGGAAGTAGCTCAAGAATTATAAAAGAATTTTCGAAATCGATTCAGTAATATTTCAGTTTATATTACACTAACATTACTAATATACAAAAATATAAATCTGTCCTCTTTATTACACTCGTTTCTCAAGCGGGAACTTGCGACCCTTGGGGGGGGTCGAGTTTGTATTAAAAGGGGGTCGCTGTCTGTTGAAAAATAATAAATACAAAATACATATAGGGTACAAAAGATTCGTTAAAAATAGCGCGCCATGTACATATGTCGCAAGACTGTTTTTTTTACTTTTTGGCTTTTTCGCGCGACATAAAAATGGTTGAAAAACGATAGCAGGTATACAAGCACAAATTCTTACTCTCCAATATTTTACCGCATTGAATGTATAAAAAACGTATTACTTTCTTTTTCAACGTTATATTTGATAATTTTAAAATTAGTAGGTAAATTATGGCGCCTATTTAATGTTTTACATTATTTATTTCAGAATTTCTTAAACGAGTCGTTGAAGCATTTAGATAAATTATATCCTCAAAGCGGTATGGTTTCGTCATCGTTAGACAAAACTAAAATGGACCCTGACATCAAAAAGTAGCAGTGTGACGTCACCACAAGAAAGTATTTGTGAAATGACAACATTATATAACGTGCCAATGTCGATATTTTTATGATTAAAATAACATTAAAATGCCTTTATCTAAATTGGTGTAACTATATATTTTTTTGTTATCTGTTGTAAGCCACTTCTGAACACTAAAAATAAATCAAACGTACTTTTTTTTTATTATACAGCAAAAAATAAAGTGCAATTATATAAATACTCACGATTGTGAGAATTATGTAAATATAGATTGATAAAGTAGATGTAATTACGCATTTTATTATAAGTGCCGAGACAAATTACTTCTTTCGTAACAGTGTAACGCTATTATGATGTGATGAACGCTATAGTATATAGTGTTATGCTTGTCAGTTGACCATATCATTACCATTTTGGCTAATCACAGTACCGTTACCAGTAATTTGTCTAAGAGCAACCCCGTTTTGTATTCTCTTCAAAGAAATAGTATTTTAATAACAGAGAGCCATCGCAATAAGTACACATATCAAAGTAAATGTACATAATAAAGTAAGGTAAAACTGTTTTAGAAGCGTTTTTTCACATTCAGGGCTGATATATTCATTGTTAGATATTTTTAAGGGCATGAAATTTCTAATTTGTGAATATTTTCCACCTCAAATGCTAATAATGAAGAATCAGTCTTTAATCTGCTTATTTTTAACATTGGAACCTCCTTAGTTTTAAATTAGATATAGTTTTTGCTAGATTCATTGTGAACGTGTGCCAATTAGTTTTAAAGATAAATTAACCTGTTCTGAGTGTTTTATGTATGTTTAAAAAGAATAATTTAATTTAATTATTTTTTTTGCTATAGCCATGTTTTTAAATAGATGACGATGAAAAATAGTCACTCCAAATTTACTAATTAGTAATGCATTTGTTTTTGTAAATTACCAAGTATTTATTTGTTCAAAGACTGTGTTGAGATTTTCTATATAAAATACTTGATATTGTGTATCTATTTATTGCCATCTATGTGTTTTATAGTATAAAGCTTCAATATTTTTATATATTGACTATATAAGTGAACATAAGTTAGCGTGACAACGATTCACGTCTGGCTAATTGCTCAACCTATTACCCTATAATTTATATTTTACTATGTGTCCTTCTATTCATTATTAATTTTAAGTTATTATTTCTAACTCCTTAAATCGCTATTCATCCGTGCATTGTTGTTTGTTTAGGTAGAGGACAAAATAGAATAACGACTTTAAAAAAAAGCATTTCATCAGAATTTTACAGCGTAGTTCTCAATATTAAGGTGGGGTATAAAATAGTGTGGTCATCTTAAAGGAGCTTTCATATTTATACCCATTTTATACTCAAACATATTTTGTGATGAAACAAATATTCTTCTTGTCTTGTCTTGATGGTTTACTCCTCTACTCCATATTATTAAACAACCTTGTTTATTATGTTTCAAGTAAAATGTGACGTGCCAAGAATTTAAAATTGATTTTGATTAATGTTTATTTTGTATTCGATTTTAATTTTAAGTTATTTTGAAACAGTTATATGTAAATATGTATGTTACAAAAAAAAAAAAGGATTTAATTAAAAGAAAATGTATGAAATTGGTTTTATTATTCAAAAACTTAGTCTACAATATCGCTGCACCGGTAGCGTAATCTTTTTTTAAATCATAATTTTACCAAAAATATTAAATTCTAGTTTTTAGGTTCAAGAACGAAGGTCAAGTTTCCGCTAAAAGCTCTCGCGGTTCACATAGTATAGTCGACTATATATGTTACATGGAAATCGTTACGTTATCCAGTGTGGCTATTACGTTTTACTAATTTCACCGGGACATCATTAAAATAAGATTTCGTAATAAGAAATGTAAAGTAGGAGACGCTAACCACAATATATCTTCGTCTAGACTCTAGTGCACAATCATGTCAATAAAAGAATCTATATTTTTCTAATATCAAAACATTATAATGCCTATTTAATGAAGACACTGCGTCCTTTTTTTTTGGAGTTTATGGCCAGGTATCTCGACCTTTAGGCCAATCTGCGTCCTTTATTATCTCAAATCCACAGATATTTGTGTTAAGCATGCGCTACACGGTATGAAACGGCGGTTTGAAACTTTGGTTTCAAACCGTGTGGATAGTTGTTTTATGCCAAATTTCGTTTAACCTTGATATGACCTTGGCAGCACGCTTTGCGTTGTAAACCGCGACCAAAACCGTTGGTTTGAAACAGTCTAGCCGCTTGTTTAAAACCACGCGTTCGGCAGTCCGCAGTCGTGCTGCGGCGGCGAGCGTAGACGCACGAACGTGAAGTTATTACCGAATTGCTCGAATTATACAGAGAATTGCCATGTCTTTGGGATATGGATGTGAAAAAAAAATCGATATTCGATATACAACGATGTTTACAATGCGATACATTGAATCCGATTCTTTGAAGATGTATTGTTTTTTTGTAAAACATCGAAAGGATGATAAAACTATAACTTAAAAGTAAAATAAATTTATTCAGCAGCACAAGACTACATACAATTAAAAATACAACAAAAATACTGCAATGTGCTACTGAAGAAATCGATTATTTATTAATCGATTTTTCATGCTAAAAAAATAATCGATTAATAAAACAATCGATTTTTTATGCAGAATGTCACATCCCTACGGAGACGTCTTATCAGCGCAACGTTATTTTGGACACTGTTGGTTTTCAACCGTGTAGCCGAAAAGCGCAACTCGCTTTTATTTCGTTTCAAACCGCCGTTTCATACCGTGTAGCACATGCTTTAGTCAAAATAAACCTTGATAAACAATCTTAAAATGATTTACAGTATGTATACTATCAGCTGTCATTTGCCAGTTGACTTATGACTAATGACTTCACCACATGTTTTGCTGTTTTATGACGGAGTGGTTGACACTTGACAGCCAATACTTTGTAAGTTATTTGAATTTTGATCGTTTTAAGAATTAGTTTAAAATTAAGAGGGGGAAAAATTTCGAATAATTATTAATTACCAATTTATGTTACCTATGCCAGATCTTAAGACGTTCACTTGGCGTAAAGCTTTAAAATGATTGATATTACTGATGAAGAATTAGCCCGAAAGTGTTTTCAGTACCCGCAAACATTAGCCGGTAACCTTAATATCGTTTATAATGCAGCCAACTCTGAGATATGCTTGTGGAATAAGCATCAGATATTTATTCACGAGACGTTGGACTTCGAAGATTCAGCTAAGCACATAACTCCAGATTTTCCAGTAAAAGAAATATGTTTAGTAAGCAATTATCTTTTGGCATTAGATTATAACCACAATATTTACCAAGTCTCTTTAAAATTCAAGAGCTCTGCAGCTAAAAGACCTAAACAAAACTTTCAGATTAAAGATCAAAACATATTAACATTAAAAAGTATAAATAATGATGTGATAAGTTTAAAATGTAAAGATAATTCATATTTTATATGTGCCTATAAAGTTGATGCGGACTTTCAGATATTAAAGCAGATTTTGATAAAAGAATATTCAAAAGATATAAAACCACAATTATATCCATATAAGTTAACTTCAACAGAATTTGATATATTGAAGGAATTCTTCAATTGTAGAAATTCATGGAGCAATCATTATTTAATTATTATCTCTGTTGACAAGACAGTCTTTGGTTGCCTATTTAGTTCATCAGCTGAAGATCTAAAATTGGTACAAATCTATACTTGTGCTACAACTATATCAGACTTAAAAATATTAAATAGAAACTGCCCCGAAATTATAATAGGCCTCACAACTGGAACCGTAATTCACCTTGCATTAAATAGGGAAAGAAACTGTGATATTGTTCATTTAAACACAAGTATATGTAAATTCTTGGAATTTAACGAAAGCATTATTTATACAGATGGTTTAACTTTGTGGAAGGCTGAAAGCCCATTTAGTGATATAAAATTAAAGCAGTTCCTTGTCAAACAAGTTAAAGATATTATTAAATGTAGAGAACAAATTATTTGCACAACATACCACAATTTTATATACATTTTGAGTGTTGAAGATGAATCATGTTATTTAAAACCAAATTTAAATGAAAAATACTGTTCAGTTGATCAGTTGTTAAATAAGACTCAGTATTACAATAAACTACTAGAGGAAATAAATAAACTAGAAATATTAATTAACAAAATAGAAAGAGAAAGGAATTATGTAAAAGCTATAGCATTATCAAATAAGCATGAAGTGATGGATACAGTGCTAAGCTACAGCTCAACTGTTTTTGATAACTTTGAAGATTTACTAAATATAGACAAGGTTGCATTTACAGATTATCCTAAAGATATTTTTGATAAAGAAATTTTTTTTATTTTAATCAGTATATCTTGCTTGGACCCTGAGCAAGATTTTAAGGAAATACTCTCCGGATTATTAGGCGATTTCAGAATACATATAACATTATCAACAAATGAGAAAATTATAAAAACATACACTATTAAACATGAAGATGAATTAAAGAAAATGAATATAGTTGTAACATTAAAAAGAAAGAATTTGGATATAACAAAAAGATTATTTTCTCATGTTCAACTTATTGCAAAGATACCAGGAGTTTTGGATGAGAATGAAAGTTTGTGGACAAGTTTACATGAAAAAACCATGGAACTTACATGTGATAATTTTATAGTATCTAGTCAAAAATCAAATATCATATATCTGAAACAGAATATCAAGGATGTCGGTGACTCCGTTTTAGACACTGCAATAAAACATTTTTGTACTTTTTTTGAAATAACAAAATCAGAAAATATAAAAACCAATGATTGGGTCTTTTATGTAAAACTACCAAGTAATTATAAAGAAATCCTTAAAAATGACCTTTATAAGAATTTTCATAGCAGGAAACGGCAGTATTTAAAGGAACAAACATCTGAATTGTTTATTAAATCTCAAACTACCCTTCAATTATTAGTAGGCAATGAGAAAACGGAAGTAGAAATAATAAATGATGGTTTTTTTAAATCCAATATTAAAAGTTTCTAGTGCCAATCCTAAAATAGCTCTAGATATGCGCAATTTTTTTTCTACTTTAATATACAATGATTATTCTGGCTTAGAAAATGATTTATTTGCAAATTGGTCACTATATACTACTCTGGAGGTGGGTTATTTCAGCATAGTACTTAAAATTATATTGTTTCTGATCAAACAAAGTTAACTTAAACCTCATAATATCTACATTCTCTGTAGACTTTTGTAATGGCATGATTTTAATCAATAAAATTTCCAAATTTAACAATATCAAGTTAAACAATTCTTCATTTGTCAAGGCAACCTTTACATGTTTAATATTGATAATTCTTATTTCATTTCAGACACTTCAGAGAGAAGTAAAGAAATTTGTTGAGAGTGGAACAAGAGATGATTTCCTAGATTTACACAACACATTTCAAAGAAATATAATTGCAAATTTACCACTTTATTATGCATTTTATTTACTTGGTTTAGACTAGCTTTACTCCTTAATCACTGCTTTTCATTTAAATCCAATTAGAACTAGTTTTTACGAATTCTGAACTGAAACAGTATTCCTCTGGAATGAAACTCAGACCCAGCAAAGGCACTATGGTAGGCAGCAAACAACAAGGGAACCTCCCTTAAATTTAAAGACCTGTTTCTTTATAGAAATCAGCATTGGTAATAACAATTTTCAAACCTAAATTGAATTTAGAACAGGGTAACTTTTGAGACCAAATAAAACATACCATTGACACTAAAATATTGCAACCCTTGTTCTTGTGCCATTCACATTGGCCAAAAAATAGACCTACTTTTCCTTTTCTAATATAACATTGAATATTAATAAAGAGCAAAATTATTATTTTACTTAATGAAACCGAGAGAACTCGAATGTTAAGTGGTAACACGAATTTTTAGAAACTTGCGTTTTTACTTTGATTTTGAACCAAATAAAAGATAATAAATTGTACGATATTATTTATTTAAACCATCCTCCTAAGTAGTTCGTTGATCTTGTCTTCGCGGTTTCCGAAGTCTCCGCCATCAACGTAGTGAATGGTCTTTTTGCGCCATCCTCCGGTTGGGTTGTTAAGCTTGAAGGGCCACAAGAAGTTGCTGGCAAACTGTAACATAGAATAATTGTTATAAATATAAAATAAAGTGGAATCTCGATAACTCTAATGTCAAGGGAAAGGCAAAAACATCGAGTTAACGAGTTTTCGACGTAACAAGTTCGAGATATATATGATTTAACTGCTGAAATTTCGACTTGGAGGCGCGATTTCTAAGCGTATTTTTCGATTTTGAATGACAATTCAACTTAAGTTTTGTAGTATATATTTTTTATGAATGTATTCATTCATTGCACATGTACAAGACAAAAACAATATATTAGAAGCCCCGAACCCGAACATTCATTTTGGATTTTATTGCTATTATTTCTGAAAATTCCAGGTAAGACGTCATTATATTTGACTAACTACGACTTAGTCTCCTTTTTGAATTCGAGTTATAGAGCATAAATATATAATATTATCAATAAGGAAATAACATTTTGCTCGAGTTACAAAGTCTAAATAATTCGAGATACCGCGTATTTAGGGGTTCAGCGGAAGGGAATGGCAATGGCAAATGGAGTGTACATTTGGATAAAATTAAGAATTGGCGTCAACGGGCGTGGTGAAAACTGAGATGGATTTTTGTCAACTTCTAAATTTTTGGAGTCCGGCAGGTTACTTGCCTATACTATGCTTGCCATGATACCTAGGAAATATACTATTTAGCTGAATAACTCAAACTGCCTAACAATAACCTATTGTTTATAGCTAATTTAAGAAAATATCATATAAGAAAAAAAATTAATGAATAACTAGAAAAAACAGTTCACTTTTTTTCTATAAGTACAAATTTACCTTGAACTTGTCACCAACAGTGAAGATTTCGTGGATGAGATCCTCCACACAGATGATGTCGCTCTTTCCGAGTCTGCTCTCAACAATCTTGTTGGAGACGATTGGCATACGCTGACCTTTAACTTTGGCAAAACCACGCTTGTAGATCAACTGAAACATGTTAAACAAATATTGAAAAATAATAGTTGCAAACACCTCATTGTGTTGAATGTCGTTTTAAAATTTTTAATTTAGCGATCACAACATTGATTATTATATACAGACAAACCATTCACGACGACATAGTTCAGAACAACATACCATATAATATATTGACCAAATCAAAGGTCCCGGCTTAATTATATTGTGTTAGGTACTTAATAACAACGTTGTTACGACTATCGGTTTTTACGACCAAATATGAGTAGTCCCTTAAATGTCGTTATAACAGATTTTGACTGTACATATAATTTGTCAGAACTTTATTAATAAGAATGAATAATAAAATAAGAAGAGCAACCTCACCTCTCGCACACTCTTCAAGTTAGGGTAGCCCCAGGTGATGTAGGGTTCTGCAATTCTGAGCATGTTGACAGTGGCCTTGTTAAGCTTCACAAACACACCGTTGTTGATCTGTCTTAGTCTGAAGAGCTGAAGAACCTTACGGACCTTTGGTGAGACCTGGTTGATACCACGGATACGCATGACAAAGGCGAGTTTGGCTTCTCCGGGAACATAGTAGTTTCCACGGTTGCGGGCCTGCAATGAAATTTTCATGTTATACTATAGTCAACTTTCAACCTACAAAAAAATGTACTGCTGCTGCTTTTTTATTAAAATTTTACCACATTATTTGTTGTACACATACTTAAAACCACTTAAAACCGGTACATCACATCATGGTAATTCATGTAAAAACATATTATTGAATAAATGATCAAAATTACATACTCATCACATTCCCAATAAGCCTTCCTTACTTCTATATTCATAATTTCAATTTGTAATTCAATCAAAGTTTACAAGTCTTAATAAATATATTAAGAAATATAATAAGCAAATAAATTTAATGTACCTGTCTGGCTAGCCTAATTTCATCACGTTCCTTTATTCTGTATTCCTTAACATACTGTTCTGCTCTCTTGAAGATTTCCTTACGTTTCTTGACTGCTGCTGACCTTCTTTTAAGTGTTACCTACAGAAAAATAACAACTAAAATATGCTCAAATCTGAATCAATCAAAATAGTAAGAGTAATTTGATCAGAATAAAAATTTCACATCCTTAAATATCAGATGAACTATGCCTTGAAATTAAAGGAGTCATCACTGAAAGCTCGTCTTGCTTAAGATTTTTACTATTTATATGAACTGTTCATATTGTTTGAATGAACCAAACATTCAGCAAAAGTATATAAAATAAACAAGTATGTATGAAGTACACATGGTTAGAATTTTTTAAGGGATACCTGTAATCTGCGGGTTTTAAGAGCTTCCCTGCGCTTCCTGTGTTTAAGGACTGATTCAGGAACAGCAGGCAACTTTTTGCTGTCTTCCTTACCCTTCGCCACCTTCTTTTCGGCGGGTTTCTTCTCTGTAGTCGCGACCATTGTGCTAAAATACAGAATTAATATAAGCATATAAGCATAAGCTTCTGTTGAGAACAACACTGTCCAATAAATTATGAGAATATTAGATATAATTAGTGACATTAACAATCAACTTATTAGTTGTGAATGGTTAGGTTAAGACATGTTTTGAAGTCTTGGATAATAATATAGAACTGCAGTGAAATAATTATTTATTAGAAAAGTGTGTTAAGAACTAGGAATTTTAGTGGATTGACTGGGTATTATGTGCGATTCAGAACATAGGCAATGGACATGGCATGTTTTTCGAGGTTATATTTAAGAGAACAAATAAAAACTAATGTGCATAAAAGCAGATTTAAAAAATATATAAATACCATGAATAATGTCAATTTAATAATTAATTATAATACGAAGGCAAAATAAATAAAAGAAAGTCTATAAAAATACGGCTTGGCCGATCAAAGCATTCACTAACAAGGGACCACTGTTTATAACACTTAAAGCACAAAAAATATTTTATGTAGGAAATATCACTGGATACAGTTCTGACTAGGATAAGTTGACAAAATATCACTATTTAATGTTATAATATCATAAAATATTAATAACCTGCGAGGCAAAACTCCACGCGGCACGTGTGTCAAAGTATAAAAAGAACGTCAAAGAAAAAAGATGTCGGACATCCGCCATTTTAATTTTTTTGATATGGTAACTCGAAAATTTATAACAGATTAAACTAAACCTTACACTAGAAACTCTATGGCTACGTCCGCATAGGCAGGAGGTTTGCTTAGCGCCTAGCGCCTAGAGGCTTGCCGCCTGGCTACTTGCTAGGTGACTACGGTGGCCGGACTAAAGGTGTCTTGGTAGTGGCTGCTTGGTGGTTGGTCATTTGTTTGTCGGCACGTTAGCGACATGTCACTTTCAAAAATAGCTCTGAAACTGCTACTTACAGAAAAATATTCTTAAAATAATAATATTTCTAAAATATACAACTTCACGACCTTCTCTACCATGTTGGGTCCAAGACATAAATAAGTTACGGTCAAGTCATGGGGAGTTTAATGTTCTGTATAAACAATTGCGTAATTATGACGAAAAGTTTTACGAATATTTGCGTATGCCAGAGAAACATTTGATCTACTTTTCAGTAGAGTTAAAGTAAAATTGACTCATTTGGATACTCATCTACGAAAAAGCATAACAGTATTTTTCTACTTCGATTGCTACCTCTTCCCGTAGCTTTAAGACGACTGCATTTTTATGGAATTGATTAGAGGGATTCCACAGAGGTTCCCTTTTAAAAACTATTGAAATTAATATTTCATCCACCACGAAAATGCTTCGCGCCTAGCGACAAAAAAACCAACACGTTTGTTTACTTCGATAACGCTAAGCGACTAGCTAGGCGCCAAGCGCGCAATGCGGCCGTTCGCGAAGACTCTAGAACTTCGTTTTACTAAGCTACTCGCTTGGTGACTGTAGGGCTAGGGTAAGAAACCTCCTGCCCGTGCGGACGTAGCCTATAGGACACACTTTGAGTATCCATAGCAACGATAACGATGAAATTTAATTCGTAGCATGAACGCAACTTTGATTGATTCTCAATTCAACAATTTAAATTAAGTTCGCTAGCGTTTCATTGCAAATAAAAATGGTTGAAAAAGATCCCCAACTAAGCGCTCTAGAAGTAGGAGAATTGGACTTATTCGTCCAAAGTATAGAACCATGGCATATTGAGAGCATTGGCAATCAATCGTACGAGAAGATACATTTAAATTTTTTGTTAAAAAAAACTAAAAATATAATAAATTTTTATTTCAGGTGGCTTGACTGGCACATTCGTCTACAAAAACTTAATCAACAAGCTGTCTTGGAAGGGTCTTCTATACAAGAAGAACTTACAAAAGAGACCCTTATTTCTTATGGAAAGGTAATTAAAAGGCATTGTGATTAACTGATAAGTAAAAAAAAACATGTACAATGTTATAGCAAAATGCCGCTTACTATTAATTATTATCTGTATTTTTAAATGTGGCATTAGTAATATTTAATATTTACCGCTAATATAAACTGTTTTTTCAGTTACCGATTTTAGTAAATGAAGCGATTTGCATCCAAGTATGGCGAACAAAGATATATCCTCAGATTATGAAATTAGAACCGGCGCCTACTCATACTTTTGGAATTTATATGGTTGTATGTATACTGCTATATTTATATTATGGACTATGGAGAAGGGTCCTAATACGTAACATTATTGTTTTTTCTTAAATTCGTTGAATTTCCTAGTATTTAAAGGAGGAAACTTTTTTCTAGCTATATCATGAAGCTGCAGCTGTTGGTTTGTTGGAAACTGTTCTTTTCCACGAAGATGGAGCCCAGTGCATCAAGGACGTGGTGATAGATTTGGTGCATTACGCTGTTGACCAGCTTACTGCATTGATCGCACTTATTAAGTAAAGTTCGAATATTTTTAATTTAGTAGTTAATTAAAACAGTTCATAAACCAGAGAAAGGCTGACCTTGTTTTAAAAAAAATCGATGACTCAAGCTGCGGAATACAAACAACAATTATGAAATGCTTGCGTCCGCTATCAAACGAGCACGCGATTTTGTATTTCTTAGAGAAAATTTTGTTAAATTTAACAGACTCCGTGGCTTAGTTACCGCATAAGACGTATAACGTTGATGTCTTGGATTCAAACCACAGTAGCAAATCTGAGAACGGTAATTCATTTGTTTAGCACTGGTTATCTCAAACCTCTCACCGCGAAGGATATCGAATGTGAATCCACTGCTGAGGAGTTGGAAAGACAGAAGAGGGACCTTCAGTTTGATATTAGTATGAGATGCATATCTATTGTTCGGTAAGTAAGGAAAACAGAAATAATTTACATCTCTCTGCATCGTCTATCAAAATTGACTCCTTGATTAATAATTACTTTGAAAGCAAAAAAAATGAACTGAATTTTCGATAATATTGTTTTTTTTTGTTACCACAAAAATCACACCAATCTCACTATATCCTGTAGCACAACTTCTCTGCCCGTATATGAAAGAGGAAGCACGAAAAACATAGTTATATAAAATAAGACATACGAAAAAGGGTGTTATTTTATCCTTTTGGGTGACTTAGCGCTGTCTTGCGTATGTCAAAACGCATCGGGTTTGACATACGAGAGTCGTAACTTAGCGTTAAGTTTGTGAAAAACATATTATTGTACATTTTTTTGTTTGTTTTATGTGTAAAGAAACTGTTGTCGGCAGTGAGACGGTCCATTTTGTAGATACAATTATGTATTATTAATCAAAATTAAAAAAAAAAAGTGCGTGCGTAAAAAGTACACATATCAGAAGTGAAACTTCTTTGTAAAGTAATTATTACTAAGGTAAAAGCCCCAATAGATGATCATGTACCAGTATATTTGTATATCTATATTCACACAGTTTACACACTGTATACGTGCTAATGATAATATAAATAAAGAAAAATCTGCGTTTACTGCACAAGACGTTATGCGACAGAATATTATTAATTGTCATCTAAAGATCTAATATGTAACTACTAAACGAATACATCAACCAATAGCATGTTTATTTTCTCGATCTCCCTTACTCTCTCTCTCAATCTTTATCACTATAGCTCTCTCCCACCTCTCGCTCCTCTATGGCACTGTGCGTGATGCGACGTTCGCTCTATCTCACTCTCTCTCTCGATCTTTCTCACTTACTTGCTCCCTACTCTCGCTTCATGCTACGTTCGCCCATTCTCACTCTCTCTCCCTTTTCTTCGACGAAAACGCTGCACATCTTCGTGACGCTAAAATTATTATTATTGCGTTTCATCCGTAAACATTTTACCCTCATGCGCCTAAAGAAGTTTCACTTCAATCCTTTTTTTTATTTTTATTTTAACAGCTATTTGACTGAACATATGGAGACAGCAGGAGTGGGTGCGTCCATATCGACCAATTTGTATAAGACGTACGATGTGCCGTCTTTATTATGTCATCTGATTAATTTAACCCCGTGGAAGAAGAGCGGCGGTGATGGTGAAATTCAGATATTTACTTGTAAGTTATTAGCTATTTTATTTATGCCTATTAGTGGCTCCTAATCATGGTTAAGCACTCATTAAATACCTATTGATTATATATTTTACACTTCATAAACTGCATTAAAAAAGGGTGCGTGTACTTATGTACGTGCGTAAGAAGCTATACTTCTTTGGCATTATTAAAAATGTTAAATGATTGTTAAATGCGCACAACCGAGAACCTACGACCTCAGGGATGCCAACACTTTTTGTTATACGTAGCAACTTCTATGCCTTTTTAGTTGGGCGCTGGACAAAGCCAACTTCGGAAGATATGTCTCAGTTGCATCGTACGGAGGCGCAGTTATGGTTGTGCCTTCGCCAACTAATGTTGGAACCTCGTCTCCAACACCACTATACTATTGACGAATGTCGGCGCTCTGCGTTCTGCTCTGTAAATATTTATTTTAGTATTTTGACAATTGTACTTGCTTTATCGTTGGCTTTATTGGTAATAGTAATTTGAAAAACTTGCACCCGTTCTTCGCGTCACGTTACAAATAAATTTTCATTTTTAAATCGTAAGAAAATGTTCTATACAATTTCGTACATTAAAAAACCGAGAAATAAAAAAATTGCATACAACGTATTTTTTTAGCTGCAAGCAAAAATAACAGATGCAATGCTGGACCAAGTGCCCCCTTTAGGTGACCTCAAAATGTTCTTATGTAGACTAGCTGTGGGGGATTACTCTAGTCTCCACAACCGCTCAAATGGAGTAAAGAACCCTGGATGTACGCTAATTGAAGTAGTTCCAACTGTGAGTTAGAAAAGCTACTTATTTATTTATAACGGGTGGCGCAAAAGTAATGGCACTAAAGAATATTTGTTTATTTTTTCTATATGACGATAGTTTTCTTTCTGTTGTTGAAAATTGTGTGTGTGTGAAAATAAACATGGACCGTTTTACTCCCCAAGAACGTGGAATAATAACGTAATTTCCTGCAAGATCACCCGATCTGACGAGTCCAGACTTCTTTCTTTGGGGTTTTTTTTAAATCTCGGGTGTATGTGAACAAGCCACAGACTCTCGCAGCTCTAATAGAAAACATTCATCAATAAATAAGGAACATATCGCAGGAAGTATAACGGCAAGTTATGAAAAATGTCATAAATAGGGCTCAAATGTTCATCAACTCTGGAGGTCACCATTTAAAAGACATCATCTTAAATCCTAATGGTACGAAATTTAATGGCACAAATATACATTTAAAAAAACCTTAATCTAATTTAGAAAAAATGTTATAGCTGAACCAAATAGGGTCATTACTTTTGCGCCACCCAGTATAAGCTACATATTTTTTTGTATAGGCCGACAACGCACTCGCGAGAATCCTGGCATTGAGTGTCGATGGGCGGCGGTATCACTTAACATCAGATGAGCCTCCTGTTGTCAGTGTATTAAAGTGTTTAGTCAATTGTTTTATCAATTGATACATTACATTAATATTATTACAAGTGTAACTTTTTGCGCTGCTTTATCAACTTTAGTGAAGTCGATAGTTGTTTTTATAAGAGAAACGTTTTCTTTTTTTTCTTGACTCGATCGCTTTCATTGAACCGAAATATCGAACTTATTTGTTCGCAGATTAAAAATTCCTACTTGAAAGAGGTTCACAAGCGAACAAAAATAATAGCTAAGGCTCAATTGGAACACTTTCGCCTGGATGGCTCCGAAGGATCCAAATCCTTGGCGAAAAGACTACTAGAGTCGTATACGAGTGATACAGCGCTGGCTTTGGACAGTGGTGGTGCTAAATGTGCCAAATGCGGTGATAAAGCAAGCAAGAAGTGTTCTAGATGCAAGACCGAGTGGTATTGTGGAAGGTAAAACTGTGTTGCTAATTATTTTCTTTAGTTTAGCGTTGGCAACACATCTTTTCTCACATATAGTTTACATGTACAAATACAAAAACACAGAGTTTTAAATTCGAAGCAGTACGCCCGTTCATCTACACAAACAATTCAGGTGTATGTTAGGAATTCATTTTACGACAAGTTACATATATGTATGAAAATGAACGGGGCCTTAAACAAATATTATACTAAAGGTATATCTATGTCTTCATATTATCATGTAAAATTAACATGTCGCCAATTCAGAGAGGAAGTAAAAAGCTGAATATCTTGTGATGGTTGTCCATTTAAATAATTTATGTTTTTAAGAGCAACAGTAACAAGTTTTGTGCATTATTTTTCAGGGAATGTCAAGTTCAGCAGTGGCCTAAACATAAGGAATTATGTGACCAATTTGCTAAACTTTGCATGTAATGGGTATTATTACTAATAAAACTAGTTGATTTTTTTTGGTTTTTTAATTCTATCATAAACCTAAAGATTAGCTTGAAGATTTCAAGTAGTCTTTTAGCACATCCAGGGCTGGAGTCTCCTCACCGAAGTCCTGAAGTAAAAATAAAATATTAATTTATTTGTTAAGATGACAAAGCACACCATCTCTTTTTAGTATAAATATGCCGCACACTAAGGAAAGTCTAATGTATGCCATTTAAAAAAAATAAAAGTAACATGTCTGAACGATAAGAAGGTAGTCTATGCGCATTGCAGCAGACACCATAGGGGCGTTCATTTTATATAGCGCCGCTTTTGCACTGGTAGCCCATGAGAACTAACAGTGTTCGTGCATAGCGCAAATTAGGGTGTGTGCGGTAAAGGCTTCATTTCAATTATTCACAAAAGAAGTGTCAAGATCACAACTGTTCAACAAATATAAATAAAAAAGTTAATTTAGCAATGCCACAACCTCATAATCTCATAGTTTCTCTTTCTGAACAAACTACACATATATATTTTATATTTAACTTATTTTGCCATATTAAATTGATTGATTTGTTTGGTTAAAACATTGTTTTGTTCTAATTTCAAATTTATTATCAAAAAGTTACCTATTTGCAACATTCAGATCTGGCAATCAAGTCATTTATTTAATAAATTATTTAAATATGATCATGACTTACTTTGATAACTACACATGAGCATCCAACAATTTTTCTCGCTTTGCCATCCTTGTCAATTTTGCATAGACCAGCCCATTCACCGAGTTTCTTGTTGTTGTCAACCTATAAAAATAAATTCTAATAATAGTTTTGCATCAGGCCATAACCACCTTATAAAATATGTAATTTAACAAATGTCTGCATGCTAGGAAGGTTGACTCAGCATTATGTGAGGCACCATAGGGGCACACAATTTAATGTTTGCTCCTAAAGGTCATTCTTGACAATTTATCAAGAAGACTCGTGCGGAGCAGCAAAATACAAAAGTATCTGTTGAATGAAATATTAAATTTAATAGATTGTTTTTAGTATTCAAGAAGTAAGTTCACTTTGATATGAATATAATTTTATAATAATATGCATGTACATTCAAAATGTGTTATGGAATAGATCTAATTTATATATTAAATTTATTCTATTATTTTGGTTTATTCTGGTGTTTACTAGAAATACAACCTGAATAATAGCTATTATACCTTGACAAGAGGAATTTGATGTTCATTGCAGAGTGCCTGAACTAATTTCTTGTATGCATCTTCATCGCAGTTCTCAGCCAATACACATAAAACCGCTTGTCTCCTAAAATTGGAAATGGTATGTTAATCATATATAAAACTTCTAAAGTATGGATTATTTAACTTTCTTAAGGTCAATTAAAAAGCTTAAAAATGTCTAAATTGTAAGTAGAAAGTTTATACCAATTAGTTATAATAATAACAGCTGTTAAATAACAGTATAATATATATAATAAGTTTTAAGAATAGTGTAGCACATTTGGGAGGCCACAGTCTAGACAAACTATTCAGTGGTACTATGTATGTGCATTTATATTGGCTTTGAATGAGGACTGCAGTAAATAACACAACAGACATTTCCACAAAATTTGTAACTAGAACAGTTACAAATAGGGTGAATATTTATTGACATTCATAGCCTAAAAAATAGCATTCTATTGTACATAATGCACTGATTTTACATGTTTTGAAAATCAAAAATATTATTTGAAACAAAATATGAAACATACTTGTCCAGAGCTTTGGCTGCCTCATGGAGACCATGTACTAGACCACCGTGGATGAGAGCAGTCTTCAAGACTTCCTGTAGAGCTGTGTTCACATCCATAGCACCGCCGCTCAACACGGGGGCATTGGGAACCTCACTAAACAAAGAAAATATAATTACTACCGTAGCTTGACCAAACCACTCGTCCTCATGTAACACGTTAAATAAATTCTAACTCATAGATAATATCTCGTGTGGGTCAATGCAAAATTCTAAATATATAAGATAAGAAAACTATGAAATAATTAGTAACTTAATCTAGTAAAATACGATCAACAAGCAATGTATAGGTTATGTTGACATGTACTTATAATATCATAAAATAGAAGATTAAGAATAAAATCTACCAACACGAAGCAGAATTGATGACTACTTACGTAATGAGGTATAAGGAATAAAAATAATATAAATAGTAAAGACAAATGAACACTAAAAACAATACTCACACATCGGTCATGGTGGATGTATTTTACACTTAGTGTACCTGAAATACATAACAAATAACACTGAATGACTGGAAACCATGTAATATCACTTAAATAAAGCACTGAAAAGTTAAAGATTTGATAAATATATTTAGATTCAGAAAAATTCACAATAAACACTTTGACACTTTACCTGGCGTACCGGAAAAAGACTGGAGTTGCCATTTCTGTTGAAAAAGATAAACATGACATAATATACATTATGACATTGACATTTTGCTTTTTGTGATCATGATTCAATGTTGCTATAAGTTAAGTATAAAGTATGTGCTACATATACATATTAGGTATCTTTGGTATGTATATTGGTTGAGAAAAAGAACCTCATTTGTGCGCGCTTATTTTTAAAAAGAAATTCGATCGTCGTCGTCTTTCAATAAATCGTGTTTGTAAATTTTTATTTTGTTATTTTGTAAACTTTTGTTGTTACTGTGCATTTTCGTAAAAAGTATTAACATTATTAATGAAAAAAGTTTTAGATAGACATATTATAAAATGATAGAATATTTTAAATCATATTATTTACATAAACCATTAAAGTAATGACGAGAAATCCAGACATACTATTTATAACTGAATATATCAAGAACGTACTTTATTTCGCCACAGTAAGACAAGGAAGGCATCTCAAAAGCACAGCTGATACGCATTATTTCTGCATCGACAACCAGTTGATTTATGAAAATTATTATTCAGATTTTGGCCCTTTAAATATAGGATGTGTATACAAATACTGCAAGCTTCTTAATGATAAAATAAAAGAATTCCTGAATAAACAACTCATTGTTCATTATACTTCTATTGATCCCAAGAAAAAAGCGAATGCTGCATTTTTAATTGGATGTTATGGAGTCTTATACTTAAGTCTTACTCCAAAAGACGCCTTGAAACCTCTTGTTATACATGGGCAAAATTACAGGTACTTTATATACAATTATAATTGATAATGATTGTAATTATTTCTTAAGGAATCTTAAATATTATATTACTTAAAGGCCATTTCAAGATGCTACACAAGGTGATTCATGTTACACAATATCGCTGATAGATTGTCTTCAAGCATTACTGAAAGCACGTGACTTAGGATTTTTCAATTTTCAAGACTTTAACTATGAGGAGTATGACAGATTGGATAAAATACAAGGAGGAGATCTTAACTGGCTGATACCTGGTATTTTGCTTGCTACGATCCACATTTTTTAAAATTTTCTTTTTTAAAGGGTATCATTTTTATTAAAGGTAAATATCTCGCGTTCATTGGACCAGTGGATTACAGTGTATCACTGTATCACCCACCTGAAATGTATGTCAGTTATTTTTTAGAAAATAACGTGAGAATAGTCATACGTTTGAATAAAAAACTTTATGATGGAAATGTGTAAGTATTTCATTCAATAAAAATAATTGGTAATCTGTATTTTTTTTACTAATATATTTGATATAGTTTCAGCAGTGTAGGCATAACTCACTACGATTTATTCTTTCCCGATGGAACATGTCCTCCACGACATATTTTATTAAAATTTTTACAAATCAGTGAGGAATCTTATGATGCTATAGCGGTTCATTGCAAGGTTACGTATAATATTAAAGTTTCTAAGAAAACTAAGTATCGATAGAATAAAACGCATTATTTAAAAAATAATAAGAGGTTTTGATGGAAGAGTCGTTTAGGCAGGTCTGGGTCGCACTGGATCTTTAATTGGATGCTATCTTATAAAGCACTACCGAATGACAGCCCGTGAAGCTATCGCATGGATGAGAATTTGTCGTCCCGGATCTGTTATAGGCCATCAACAAGTAACTATCTCTATCTAACGAGCATATTCTCCTCTTAATTAATTTAGTTTGTTAATTTTAATGATTAAATTTTCCGTAGGATTGGCTTGAACAACTCGAACCGTGGCTGTTGAAACAAGGAAATTCATATAGGTAAACAGGTGATGACTTTATTAAAAAGTGAAAATTTATCTATTCTTTTTCATTTATTTTAATATTTTCTACTATTATTTGCAGAAAGCGTATGTATGACGATATCAATAAACTTCCGACACACGAATATGGCATCTACTCAATAGTTGAGAAAATTCATAGACAAAAGCCCGTTGTGTTTAATAAGTCACCATCACCTCCACCGCCAATACAAAGATCAGCCACTCGATCAGATTCTTCTTCCTCCACAAGACCTCATGCGTCTAAAACCAGGGATGGTATGTACATATTAAATCTATTAAAAAACAGTGTTATTTACAACAATTACGTTGTTTATGGTTTGATAAACAAATTTAATGGTTATATATTATAATGGTTTTGGAAATAACACTGTTTGGGTATATATTTTGTTATATAATTGTTCAACGAACTTCCAATATCAAACAGTGTTATTTCTAAACAACAGTATATAAAGATCTATCGTGCTTAAAATACGCCATTTTGTACAGAAAAAAATGAAAACGATGACGAAGAAGTTTTTATTACGTCATGCGATTTAACTATTAGGCCTACACGACCACAGACTCAATTGAAGGGTTGTGTAATTAGTACTATTTGGGAAAATGAAGATGATACAGAATCTGGAATAAATCGATCTTGTTGGAAGAAGTATCTCTGTTGTGAGCCTTGTACTAAAGCGTTAAATGATGGTCTGTGGATGTTGGCAGTTCGTTGTACAAAACTAGCGCCAAAGTGGTGTAGCTCTAATAAATGTTGCAACTTATTTGATATGGTTGGTTGATATAATATTGGTTATTCATATGTTTTTTTAACCATTCAATAATGTTTTTAATTTTTTTGAGGCAGTTGCTAATAAGACGCCCGAGAAGAAATTTGACTGGAACGTGAAAGTTAATACTCAAAAAGTAACACAAAAAGGGTATGTAGTACTCGTTTACATGAAGTATGTAAACACTTCCAAAAATTAAACAAATTTTAATTCAGAGACACCGCTGGATCAAAAATACGTCGCGGCAGTGGTGCAGGGGAGCCGCGTGGTTCACGTCCTTTAACCCGCGCCAACACTCCCAAATTTCAAGAAAAAACTAGTACTAAGACGATTGTAAATAGTTTACATTATTTATCAAATTGGATTTTATTCCTTTAAATATTTATTTAATATTTTATACGTCCTATTAGGATTCTAATAAAAATACGACTACATACGGTCCCTTGCCTACATTCCGGACATCAGAAGGTCCAATATTTAAAAACGTGGCTGATGCTAAGGTAAGATAAGACAATCAAAAATATATATATATATATATATACTTTTTATAAGATATAAAAGTTAACGTTTTTGTTTGCAGAACTTTTTGATGCGAAGCAGCTTGTTTAACGAACAGAAAAGCAAACATTTGACGTCTACGTTAACAGTTACACCACAATATTCGTACAAATTTTCTAAATTAGAAAACGAGAAGTTGGGCTTTAGCCATTTAAGGAAACCTTCACCACCACCTACTGGTGCGTTTGAACATTAATTCGGCCATTCTTACAGTAAAGCTATGTTCAGATGGCAAAAATTTGACATTGTGGTATTTTCATACAACTGTTCACATGAGCGCGCGTTAACGCGGCGCTCAGAGAAAAAGTCTCTTGACGCAGGTGATCGCGCGTTAACGCGCGCTTTGATATTAATATAATGTCCGTGTGGCGTGTGCTGTTCAGTTGAGCGCGCGCTTTCATCGCGATCGCATGTAATTTTGTTAATTTTCGTAATTATATTTTGTTTTCGCATTTAAAATTAGTGAAATTGAAGATATTGACATCAACTTACTAATCGATGAAGTAGAAAAAAGGCCAGCAATTTGGAATATAGGTTCGGAATCCTATAAAAACAAAATTTTGAAACGACGTGCTTGAGAAGAATTTTCTACGTTCTACCGAACTAGACTGACGAGTACTCTCGCAACGCGCATTAGCGCTCATGATCTGAACTCTCTTGAAATTTGATCGCGCGTTGACGCGCGTTAATGCACGTTACATGTGAACATAGCCTAAAAGATTACTATGTTTTTAAACATAATTCAGCACGCGTAAAGTAATATGATTATTTGCAGCAACCAAGTTTTCAACTCCGTTTAGACGGCAACTTGGACGCAGCCCTAGCCCATCACCAACTCGACATGCAACTGAACAATCACGAGCTACCAACACTCCAACCCCTTCTACAACTGACAAGTTTATGGCTAGGGATTCAAAAGTCGCTCTGCGAGAAGCCTTATCCAGATTGAAATGTAAGTGATTTTTTCACAGATTACCATATCTTAAATAAAGTAAAGTTTTATTACGCCAGTTAATGATCGCATAAATAAAAAGTATAATAAGAAATTAACTTCATAAACACTATCGTCGGTCTATTTTGTATGAACGTCAAGCGTGCCGCGAGATTGTAAGTCCACAATAGGCGATAAAATCTTTTAAAAAAATATTTAAATCAATGGAATCTGTCAAATTTTAAATGCTGTGGGCAAAGTTTGAGAAATGATGTATTTATCTGTCATCAATAGACACAACAAGTGTCAAATCAAAAATGTCATGTTAGAAAATTATGAAAAATAAAGTTCTAACCTTTAATTATGAAGCTGCAACATATTATATTAATATAACATTGATTTAATTTATAAAATATTATGTAATAGATAAGTTTACACTGCAACTAATAAATACTATTGCCACCTAAGATGGGTGCTTTAGTTTCAAGAGCATTAAGGCCTATAAAGTCATTCAATATAGAAAATAGGGCTCACCGGGTGATATCAAAAGAAAAACCTCAAGTTGCACCAAGCTATCCTTCTACAGTCGAAGATTTACAAAGAGTACAAGAAGCTGTACCAGATATTGATAAAAAATTAGAGTCAAAAGACTCGCATCTCGACGAAAGACTAAAAAATGTTTATGTAACTTCTATGGGTACACCCGAAGATGACATTACACGGAAGAAGCAAGATGAAAACCCTAATCGACCTCTACCTCAAGATAGAAATGCTTTACAAGATTTCGATTTTGGTTTTAAAGAACCAGAAAGAGTACCCTATGGACGTACTACGTTACGTCAAGCAATAGAATATATTACTTCACATCAAATGAATCCTGAAGAGGCCACAGCAGCTAAAATAGCATATGAATATAAACTTAAAGAATCTGATGTTGAAAACATTCTTAAACATTTTAAAACATATGAAGTATATGTTCCTGAAACTAAAGATAGTAAAGCAGTGATTGCTGGGCCAACAACTAATAGACGGAAATTAATGGAACAGTCAGTTGGAAAAATTGAAGCAAAGAAAGATTCAAATCTAGATAAGCAAAATGTGAAAAGTGCTTCATAAGGCACTGCTTAACTGTATTAAAATTATAGGTAAAGAGCAATTTAGTTTGTTATTATCCGGATTTGCTCAAAATAAGAAGGAAAAGCTTAAGCCAGCTCACACTTTTAGCCAGTTCTATATATTCTGAAATTTGATATCAGGTGGGTTAAGAATATTCATTGTCTATTTTCTGGTACAAAACTAATATTAATTTGCCTTAGAATTCTGGCACAAAGTCATTATATTACAACAAGTTTTAATTTTTAGTTGATAATATGTTAGGTTATTGATATGTAATGTAGAATAGTTAGATGAATTAATAAAGCATATTTTATTGTTAACATTGTTGTTTTAATGTCTTCATATTTAGTTACTGTTATGCATAAAAAGCTCTACTATATCAGTGTTGAGTTAAACAAAGTTATCTCAATTGGTGAGTAACAATATGCATAAACTTTGTAAAGCACTCTAAATTATTAATAATTGGTGTAAACATGTTTTTAAATATAAATTGATAAGTGAGTAATTTGTTTCTTATTTGTGCTTTGCTTTAATCATATGACATTAAACACACAGATGGACTATGTCCCTAGGATTGCACCAACAGGTATTTAGCATTATAACATTAGAGTATGCTATTCCAAATTTAATAAACTGGCTACCAACTTCACTTAACTTTTCAATAGGTTATAATTACTCTTACAACTGTTGTGAGTAACTGTAACTTAAGTTAAAACATTGCTTAATCACAAAAATTTGGCTGGTACCTATTATCCCAGCTAAGTAAGCTTCATAAATATTTAGTTCGGTCCAATAAAATAAATGTGTGCCTAAGATGCTAAAGCTATCATTCCTGCGCCTGATGTGATTCTATGGTTGTACAGAAGACATCAATTTCATTAGGCTTTAAAATGTATAGAATAGGCGAGGGCGCCTATGTTAGTGCAAGTTTGTGCACTATATCCTGTGTTTGGCGAATTTCAATAGTGATTGTATCAATTTATAGAACTTTAGTTTAAATCTTCCGTAGTGGCTGGTCCCAGAGATGGATCAATTGGAGCAGCATCATTGGGTGCGAGACGAGACGCGCCACCCGCTAGACGAGCGCCATCCGTTCGCTCAGATGAAAGACCAACCGCTACACAAGGAGATATGTTGAACTGTATTAAGGTAGGTTAAGAAACCCAGCCCCACAGTCCCCGCGTCAAGCTCGACATCCTTGATGCGGGCCTGCGTAAGCGCAACCTCATATAAAAAGAAAAAGTAGGTTAAGAAACTAACTGAAAAAAAGAGTTTGGAATAGTGAAGTTCTATAATTATGGAGAAACATTTTTATGAGTGATATATCTTGTATGAGATAGGTGATGTGAGCCTCGAATTCCAAGCAAAGTGCTTTACAATCTACCGGCTCATATAAATGAAACCAAACTTTGTTTTAGTTCCAGAGAAGATTTCGTGAAATGGATAAAACGACGATTCTCGATAAACCAAGGTAAGATTTGGTAAAAATAGCCGACCATTATCCTAACAAACTTTTATATTTTAAATTAAAATTGTTTTTCTAGTTTAGTTAAATAAACTTATAACTATGCTATAAACTAAAAAAGATAGATGAAGTTATACTATTTTTGGCGCGTTAGGGAAAAATGATGAGAGTAAATTTTTACGTTGCGCGCGCACACCGTCACAAAAATCCAACACCCTGAAGTTAGCTATTGTTATTATTTTAGATTTTTTGAAGTTATGAAGTTAGCTATTGTTATTATTTTAGTTTTTTTGAAGTTATGTTATTATTTTGGCGCGTTAGGGAATAATGATGAGAGTATTTTTATTCTATTGTTAGTGTCGTTTTTCCTACAAACGTAGAATAAGGCGAAAGTTAAATTTTTATGTTGTTACGCCAAAGAAGTAACTAACCTAACCTAAGTTCTCACGCGTGTACATAAGTACACACCAGCTTTTTTTTGCTTCACTTTTTTGTGTTATTTTCATTTAGTTTGACACCAAAAGAGGCAAGTATACGAATCGTCAACTCGAGAGCTAGCACTATGGCCACTAGAGGACATACACAAGATTTGGGGTTAGTTATTTGTATTTTGGTGTTTTAGGCCCGTATTGTAGATCGTCAATGAAATTAGTTTCAAGAGCTGTCACAATTTTTATCTGTATAAATTTTGACATATTTGACTGCGCTGAGGCCAGCAGAATCTCTCATATAGATATTTGTACGAAAATAATACAGCCCAGGGGGTTTAGTCAAGATGCCTTGGGGAGCGTTCAAGTATTACGTCACGCAATTTTTGAAGATTATTGGACCCCCCTCCCCATGTAATGCGCCGTAACGTTTCGTGACCACCCAGTGACTCTTTATACCTAAAAGTTATCATTATGTGGTGTAAAGTACTGGAAAGTCGAATAATATTAACAATAACGCGTAATTCAATCCCCGCCCCGCATCGTAACGTTTTACAAAAGGACCCCCCAAATTCGTTATGTAATACTTGAACGCTCCCTTAGTATAAAAATTATGTTTGCTTAAGACCTTACCAACCGTACGCCTATTTAAATCTTTTTTTGCCAGGAGATCGCCCGATCGTCAAACTGCAACTCGAAATTGTTCAAATCCACGCCCCTCGTCCCCAAAGGGCCGAAGGACGCAAAACACATACTTTGACAGTCGAAAAAATATTTAATTTTCGTTTAATCTTTAAATTACTGCGATTGAATAAAAAATATCTTTAAAAATCTTTTTTATTTACATTCCTTTATACATAATACTATGTAATACAAAATACTATACATTTCATAGACAAACGATGTATTTTTTACTTATGGATATGCAACTTTATTTTATGTTTACAAACAATTCATAACGATTTAAAAAATTCAGTCTGGAAGAGATCAATTGCAAGATAGGACCTTTCTTTATATTGGCAATAAAGTATAGACTCGACACTATGGTTAAGGGTAACGCAAACTATGACATATGTCAAGTTCAAAACCTTTTTGACATACAGGAATAAGTGTTACCCGTAGAAAATATTTCAGAAATTTAATTTAAGTCAAAATGAAAAATCTTATATTAATCCAAAGTTAGGGTAAACCGGGGTCAGGCGGCGGTGGCGCCATACAATTGCCGTCGGGGTATCGTTTTTTGAACGCCGCCATTAATTCTGGATCAACTAGACGTACTCCGTCCACTTGGTTACCTAATGTTATCCTAAAACATATTTTTTTTATAAATATTAAAAGAAAGATTGATTTATGTATACAGAAAACTATTTAAAATTGCATACAAAAAGTATCTTTTTGAAATTAAAGGGTAACTATTATTTCGTACAATTATTAGGATTCCATGAATTCCAACTTATTTGGAATCCTTTTTGACATAGAATCCTGTACTCACCAATTAGGCTGAACATTATGTGGTCGCCCAAACAGTTCTATTTTCCTCGTGCCAGGACTGAGTCTCTCTGCGAAAGAATATATGAAAATTGGTTAAGCCGTTTCAATGTAGACAACATATTTTGTGTCGTATTTTGTAGTCCAACTTAGAAAGTTTATTTAAAGTAAGAAAATAAAATATTGTTACGTTGGGAATCGAAGCCAAGACTCCCAGGTGTACTCAGGTATAATTTAATATTCAAATGAGAAAGGATTTTGGAGTTATAAATTAGTTAATATATATATTCAAAAAAAATTGCTCTTTATAATATTTGACAGCCCCGGAGCTATATACAATTAAGTAGTATGTAAATGTTCACGTTTCTGTCATGTTGTATTTATAATAATATTAATTATTTATTTATTGCAAGAATATGGTAGGTACAAAAATGTTAAGGTACAATCGTAAATCGTTCGCATATTCTGCCACACACAATGGCGCGCAAATTTGTCTTAAGGAATTTTACATTATTAGTCAAAGTCAATTCTTATATGCAAAGAGATCTGTATAAAATGGGCTATTTGCCATAATTATAAAAACCATTAAATTATTTATTTTATTTTATGGAACCTTTACATATTTTTAATCTATTTTAAGTATTTAAAATAAAATATTCATATTCTAATAACCCGCCAAAACGCTTGTCCAAGGTGGCGTCTGGTTTTAGTGAATTGTCATTCAGACATAATGACAGGATTGTTATATTTTGACTAATCTGTGGCGGTTTTGTGTCACGTGACTGACTATGAAAATATTTTTAATTATTTTTGGATAAATAAATGATTATTTGCAAGTTATTTTACTCTACAACGCTTTTTAAAGTCATTTTTATACACATTAATTTTAGTAACACCCATTCCATACACTATATATTATAAAACATAATATATCTATATTAAATAATAATTTTCTTTACCTATAATGCCATATATTTCGTCAGGCTTGTGAGATGTAGCGCGTACTTCAGCAACTATGACGTCACAGTCTAAGCCTCTATTCAAATTATCGGGGTTGCCTTTCATTCCCACCTAAAAAAAATATAAAAAATGCATAACTATATTTGTACGGTATAATAGGGTCACGGAAATAAAACAATAATATAACAATTAGTTTAATATAAAAAAAAGCCGACCAAGAAAAAAAACTAAATTAATTTTTAAACAATACCAAAAACTTCTTTGAAAACAATCAAATTAGGACTTCAATGAAACACAAGAAATAATAAAAATAAAAATAAACATTTGGAAAGATAAAAAAAGGAATAATGTCCATTTCAAGTGTGTAATGTGTGTGTGTTGTAACTGGCCCTAGCTCAACATTATGCTGTGGAGCACACGTGTTTCACAGAATGACCACAACAGTTAGTCTGCGCCTCAGACGCGAAACAAAAGAATGTAATAATAGTAATATTAAAAAAAATAGTAACTATTAACAGTGTAAGTAAAAAAGTCTTGCAAGATTTGTGTGTAAGAGTATAAAGTAAACTTAACTCACCAAACAATGCTCCTTTCCATGATTGAGCCAATGACCCGTTCGTCCCGTGCGTATGATTCTCTGCAACTGGTTCGTTTTCACCCAAATCAGTTCATCCACTCTTTCATAGCCCCACAGTTTCAGACACTCACGACCAAGTTCCATCGCTCTAAACATAATTAAAATTATGTCGAATTATTAAATATCATCAAAATAATTCCTTACGACGTACTTTATAGTTGGAAATTTAAATTAGAAATTTGAATAATTTCATGATAAAAAAAACTTTTATTATGAAATTTGAATAATTTCATGATAAAAAAATCTTTTATTATTGAAGTGAAACTTCTTTATCGGCGTTAAAATATGACATATAGTATGTTTTTGACTTTGAAGTTTGACAACGGATTACATTTTCGACTTGAAATTTGCTAATCGCAATTTGCAGCAATTAATTTGTAAATTGTATGCTAGGCAGTGCAGTGTATCAAAATTTACTGTGTTTAAAGAAATAGTTTCGGACCTCTAAACTTAAAACAAACCAATTATGGCTCTGCGTACAACAAAGGTTTTACATAAGTTTCACTTCTTACGTGTGTACACCTAGTACACGCACACATTTTTATTACTATTATTTACTTTTAAGACATTGAATTTCCATAGTCTATGGCAAATTTCCATTTTACATATCTATGATGGCGTTTGAAATTGGAACAAGGTATGACGTCAGTAAACGGATGTTCTTTATCGAGCAAAGGGGAACTCGGACTTTATTATTTCTACTTTCAAAAAGGCATGGAATTTCCATAGTCTATGGCAAATTACCATTTTACATATCTATGAACGCTTTTGAAATTGGAACAAGAAATATCATTAAAGGAAATTTCGCTATCTGTGATTATATTGTTTACATTAGTGGATTGAGTCAAAATGCTAATTCAATTTCATTTGCAATATAATCCCAAGATGATGGGATTTTGTAAAGAAAAAATATATATTAAACAAGGCGGTATGTTCTTAATATTTTTTTATATATAGTAAATTTATCTATGTACTCTAATAGGGAGATTTATTTGAAAAAAAAGTGTTCCCTAATTTCCTTACATTGTAATTAGTAAATCGCTAACCTTCCAGTTACCCATAGAAATATAAGTCCACTGTCCTGCAGCTGTGGTACACCGAGACATCTCATCTCATCATCAGACATTGTTCCATACGGTAACTCCATGTGTATATCCCACGGCGGGTCCGCCATTATCACCGCAAACTTACCTGTAATATTAATAGTGAATTTATAAGTTTCCATATCTTTATATATAATTCTACACACGTGTACGTCACTTAACTCCTCTTAAACGGCTGGACCGATTTGAATGAATTTTTTTTGTACGAGTTTGGTGGCGCCGTATCCAAATCGCTTTAAATATAATACAGGACAACGTCTGGTGAGTCCGCTAGTATTTTATAAATCGAAACGTTGATTTAAATAATATTGTAGATTTTTATTTGTGTAATACGAGTGTAGGTCTAGTGAGTTTAGCGACTCTCATCCCTGGTATCGTAGGTTCGATTCCCAGCTACACCAATGGACTTTCAATGTGACATGTGTAAGAAGGCTTACCTACTTGTCTATGAAATAAAAATGTTCAAAGAAACGGGTGTAATCTAAGCTCAAAACTTAAGGGTTGTGCCCCTGGAATTGTATTAAAAAAGGGTTTTCTGATTATTTTAATTCATATAAGACTGAAACACTTGAAATTGCCATCAAGACTCTAAAATAAATAAGTATGGGTCTGCCTTGGTAAGGGAGCGTTCAAGTATTATGTAACGAATTTGTAGGGGGTTCCCCTCTTATAAAACGTTACGATGCGGGGCGGGGATTGAATAAAGCGTTATTGTTAATATTATTTTCGACTTTTCAGTACTTTACACCACATAATGGTAACTTTTAAGTATAAAGAGTCAGTGGGTGGTCACAAAACATTTCACTTTTGGGTCCAGAAAAACGTTACGGCGCGTTACATGGGGGAAATTAAAAATTGCGTGACGTAACACTTGAACGCTCCCTAATAGATGTACATTTAACTTACCTAAAAAAGTCATATCCAAATATCTGAGATCGCATTGAATCCACTGTGGAGGGGTCAAAGTTAACACGCCATCAGGTTTTGATGCTATAATTGTACCTAAAAGATATTTCAATATAAATATGTTTGTATATTGTTCCCTTGATGGACGTGAAACGTTCTTTTCTCATAACTCACTAAAAAAATATAAAAAGCACAACATATCACGACGCCGTGTTATACGAACGTTATATGTTAAATATAAAAAAAAACAGTGGTGCTACAACCTCTTTACGTCTTGGCCTCAGATTTTTTAACCTGTATCATGATCATTTTTTAAATCTAATAGGCAAGTAGGTGATCAGCCTCCAGTGCACACACGCCGTCGACTTTTTGGGTCTAAGACATGTCGGTTTCCTCACGATATTTTCCTTCACCGTTCGAGCAAATGATTAATATACTTGTATTAAATATACTTTTAGATCTTGGAGTATAGATTTTTGATATTTCAGTTATAGCCACGCTTGGTATTTATAGCTTTTTAATATTTATTTGGTTTAGTTTGTTGGTTGGGTTCGAGGCTCAATATAAATTGTATCACGTTTTTTAAATGAAAAAAAAAAAACTAAATAAACTACCCCTTAAAAACCCCCAATCTGGCATCACTATGAAGGATGCCAGATTGATATGGTTGTGGGTACTTTTAACTTATCCCTTATCTAGTACCTCCTGGATTTGTTCCAGTTTCCATGTACGACAGGACCGACCCCACCTGACTTCACAAGCACGGTTGCATTCATCCGTTATACTGATTACCGTAAATATATAACTATCAAAGGCATTTCAGTGGAAATAAAGGCATTTTATTTATATTGAACAGGAAAGAATTTATTATTACAATATCTCCTGTTCTATCTATTATATAAAATTCTCGTGTCACAATGTTCGTTCCCATACTCCTACGAAACGGCTTGACTGTGTCTTATGAATTTTTTTATCCATATCAGTAAGTCTGAGGATCGGCTAGATCGGATAGATAATCTTACAAACCGATAAGGGGTGATAACAGATTTTTTTGTTTTTATTTTTTTTCTAGCTAAAAAACCCGGCTTCGCCCAGGAGTAGATATGAGATGACGTGGTAGAGTCGAAATAAAAAAATAAACTATGACGTAAAAAGTAAAAAAAAAGTTTATTGAAAACGTTTTCTCATTATTTACAATACTTGTTTATAAACAAAATTTTTCATTTTATTGTCCGGAGTATATATACATAAATTTTTCGGATTTCCTACTCTTGAGCAAGCTACATATAGCTGACCGTGAGAGAAGCAGGATTCTTTGAGGTTAATGTCACAATATTTTAAAGTTTGTCCTTGGCTTTGTTAATTGTAAAACTAAAGGCTAATTTTATTGGAAATGCAGTCTTTTAAATTGAAATGGCAATTCCGAAGAGATCAGAGGTATTCTAGGTATAAATACTGTCTGTCCTTTGGTCTTTCCAGAAATAAGTTCAGCTTCAATGATATTATTCGATAGCTGTTTTACGATCATTCTAGTTCCATTACATAATTTTGGGGAGTTGAGATTTTGAGTAGTATGATTGGAGTTCCAATTTTCAGACGAAGGAGTGTAATGGCATTCCTGGTACTGTAAAGAGTTTAGAAATTCAGTGGGGAAGTTGACACTTTCTTCAATGGATACCATCGTGTCGATCGATTTATATATTTTCTCTTCACCAGGTATTTTCTTTAGAATATTAAAATTGATATCGTCAACAATATTATTTTTAGTGGCCAAAATTGCTCTTTGAAATAACCACTTTTTTTAATGTTTTGAGAACTAATTTGGATAACTAAAATTATGTCGCTTTAACTCCAAAATATAAGTTAGTAATGACGTATAAATACACAAAATTTAATAACTTTATTATAGCAACAAATTAAATTTAAGACTATTGAAATTGGAATTTTAAATTTCGTGTATACTACACATGCTACAATTGTGCAAGCTTTTGGAAATGCAACCCAAACAATGTTGTTGAATGAAGTTCAAATATTCGATAACAGATGGCCCCACTATACTTAATTTCAAGTTGTAGGGTTGGAAAGTTCCTTATATCTTTAGAAACACGCCCTTTAGATTAAAACGGGAACTTTCTAGCTTTGTAGGGTAGTGTATGTAGTAAAGGGCGAAATTTAAAAACCTAAATTTTTAAATATTTTGAGAACTAATTTGGATAACTAAAATTATGTCGCTTTAACTCCAAAATATACGTTAAATAATGACGTATAAATACACAAAATTTAACAACTTTATTATAGTAACAAATGAAATTTAAGATTTTATTGAAATTGAATTTTAAATTTCGCGCCACTACTACACATGCTGCATGGTCACACTATGGAGACTAACACTATGACTATTGGAGTGTATAGTTTCATAGTTGTCTTGAACAAGTTCAAATATTCGATAAAGATGGGTATGACTTAATTTAAGTTGAAGGGTGGAAAGTCCCTTATATCTTTAAAAACATGCCCTTAAGATTAAAACGGGAACTTTCTTGTTGAGGGGGATAAAGGGCTATCACACCACATCAGTCCCTTTATGTGTGGGACTCCTTTTTATGTTTTATCGGCACGCACATTTTATCGACTTAGTTTTATTATATAATAATATAGATGATACAGCATAAAAAATATATACAACCCCTAATTTTCAACCCTCTACAATCAACCCCTATTTTTAAGTTATATTTCTTTAGGCGCGTTATGAAAAATTGATGAGAGTGAAATTTTACAATGCGCGCGCACCGTGACACAAAATTAACAGAATGAAGTTGCCCACGTAAGATGCTACGGCATTAGACCTAATTTAAAAACAACATTCGAATAATAATATAATTTATGTTACACTTAATGTAAGAGAATAATAATAAATATCTCTCTCGAGGCTCTTTTATCACTGCCTTTCAATAAATTTAAGAAATGTATTAAAGAAAAGCTGTGTAAAAAGGCTAAGTAACTTGACTATAAAGTCAACGATTATCTAGTTGACAAAAAGGCCTGGGACTAGTGCTAGACAGGCTACTTCTAATTAATTTGCGATATTTGTTTTAAATAAGTGTTGTTTGATGATTAGCTGTTTTAAAAGAGTACCGAGAGTTTTTTACGCCGGCTTTTTCTCTCGGCCTACACCCTCTGTCTTCTTTGCCGATGAGTAGGGATGCCTTCAAATTTAATGACGTGGAATAAGTGATACATGTATCTTATGTTCCATAATAAACAAATTATATTTTTATTTTATTTATTTATTTAATTTTTCAAATGTAAACTGAATTTTATTGACTATAATGACTCCTTTTCCAGTCTTTGATTATTTAATTGTAATTAATTATTTGCAAGCAATCAAAAACTATTTTTAATAATGCCAAAAAAGTATAACTTGTTACGCGCGTACATAAGTACACGCACCCTTTTTTCACTATTGTACATAGTTATTTTTATTGAACTAAAAAAATGTTTCCCAGAAATAATATACATGGCAAAACAAACGTTTGCCGGGTCAGCTAGTTATGTTATAATAATTAATACCATTTTGTCCATTCTTCGAAAGTGTGTCCGTTTTGCTCGCTGTCAAATTGGGGTCCGCATTGTCAACCTCGTAATGAACGTATCTGTCAACAATAATTATACATATGATATAAATCATAATAAATAAAGTAATAATAATATAATCTTTGGAACGAGTTAAGGAGCGTTCAACTATTACGTGACGAATGTGAGCGCCTTACGTAGCATTGTTTTTAATTATATAAACGCAGGTAACACAATAACAAAAGTATTTTAGCGACTTTCCGATAAGAAAAGAAACAACTTTGGATGTAAGCAAGAGACTAAAACTACTTCTAAAATGACAGTCAAAATTAAATCTAGTTTTATCTAGTTCGATTTAATATTATTTCGATTTGAACGAATTAAAATATTTACCTAAAAGTTATAAAATCTAGATGTGGTATCTCTATAATAGTTATATATATATTATTTGGACCAGTGATAGACTGAATTTGTTTGATCACTCAAAAAAGATTACTTCTTTTAGTAATAAAAATTTGTGAATAATTGTTTTTTTATGTCACAGGAGGCAAATAGGCAGGAGGCTCACCTGATGTTATAAATAATAATTATAAATAAATAGTAATTAAAGTTAATTCTATATATTGTTTGTGATATTGAAATATTTGTTATTTTTGTATTAGGTCACTTGAGTAAGTAAATATAATAAATAAATAATAATACGTAGCATTTTATTTTTTATTGCACTCAAATAGGTCAAATTTGTCCCTTTTTCGGTGGAGAATTTGTTTAGTAGCAACACTTATGAAATGTCAGAATTCTACGGAGTGAAAAATAGGAGTATAGCTATAATATATATATAACTATAAATAAGATATAACCTCACTTGCAAGTGTCCATATGAAAGCATGTGTTCAAGAACGAACAATCCCCCAACGATTCATCCGTATGACTCTGTATGATTTTCTTGAAATGTAATTTCTTGCAGTTGTACGGTTGTCCGTCGTTTTCTTGCGTTTTGTATGCGCGTACGCATTCCGCGCGCGTTCCGTGCGGACAGAATTCCATTACTTGTGCACCTGTGGTATCATTATTATTTCTAAAACGTACTTATTAAAATAGGAATTCGGGAAGGTCATAATGTGGTTTGGCTACAAATTGAACTAGAACGAAATATTGATTCACCGGGATTCGAATTCAAGTATTACATGCTTTAAGACTATAGCTTAGTTGTCTTTTAAAAATAATGACAGTAGCATAGAGAATATATTTGAAAAAAAAAAACACGTATTAAAAAGAGTGAACAACTATGGAAAGGTGCGGAATTCTTCACAAATTCTTCACAATGTTTTCCTACACTGTACAAGCGAGTGTTAAATACGCACACATGAAGTCTTTTAGTGCAAGCCGTAATGGAGTATTACGGTAATTAGTAGTGTTAGTAATTCACCTGACCTGAGGTTCAGGCACTCAAGACATTAGGCTAACTCAGTACTACACTTGCAGAGTAAATAATCATCTATCAATAATAATAAAAAAATAAAAATAAATCAGTGGCGCTACAGCCTCTTTAGGTCTTGGCCTCAGATTACTTAGCCTCCAGTGTCTGATACACGCCGTCGACTTTTTGGGTCTAAGACATGTTGGTTTCCTTACGATGTTTTCCTTCACCGTTCGAACAAATGTTAAATGCGCACATAGAAAGTTTATCGGTGTACAGCCGGGGATCGAACCTACGACCTCAGGTATGAGAGTCGCACGCTGAAGGCCAACACTGCTCATCAATTTATATAAGCCTTGTATAATTAAAGAATTTTTTGTCACTCTTTTTCATTCCCAAAGTAGCGCAAGTACATTATCACCCGATAAGGACAAAAAGTCAAAACACAAATGTTTGAAGCAGTAAGGCCGTAAATCCTTACCTCCTTGGCTCTTAAACTTGTCGGCCAAAGACTTCTCTTTAGCTGTGGGTTTGCTGAGCAGATCCATTATTTCTTCGCCTACCCTCTTCACAGCTTTTTCTCTACTTGATGGCATTGCTAATAATGACTGAAAAATATTATGTATTCAGAATTACATAAAAAAACAAGATCATACAAATTAATAATAATAATCTTTATTTCTTCTCTCACATATACATACAAGGTTATTATGATTAAACTAAGACGATAACATTAGGAAGTGTATGTGAGAGACTGGTCTCTGTAACAGGAGACCTGAGTGACAGATAGCCAGCCTCTCCACCACCGGACTAGAACAGGTACAATCAGGTCATTGTCATAAGATACAATAGAAGTAAATAAGTAAGTGCTCATAGAAAACATTGCAAACAGAGTCGTAAAAATAAATTTGGTGTGTGTTTGTGTGTGTGTGTATGTGTGAGTGTGTAATGAATACTGTATACAATAAAAAGTGATATTTTTAATTCATTAATTAATATATTTGTAGATTTGAAACCCGATTATAAACATTCTAATTCATTTCAGATACCTATAGAAAGTTACAAACATAAGGACAAAGAACACAAGTGTTTCGCACATAGAAAAAAAAGACGTGTGGCACTCGGGGACTGCCGCGGTTAACCTATTGCATAGCATTTTTTATCAACTTATGCAGTTATAATTATTTATTTATGCAGTATTTGTTTTTTTATATATTATTTCAATCTACCACTCTACCAGACTCAGACTAAAACACCTATATAGTCTGTCTCACTCTAACGCATACCGGCTGCACCGGCCGCGCTCACGCTACGTCACCGATCTCGTCAGAGAGATGGGAATGCGCAGTATGCGTTCTGTCCCACTCTAACGCGTACTTGCCACACCTATATTACGTCATCGTGTGTTAGGTTTTTTTCGTTACGGAATTTCTTGATTCGGTCGCCGCGCTGAAAACCCGCGATAAAATCTATGCAATAGCTTAAAAAAAGTCCTTCAGGCTGTGAACACAATACATTCATGTTAACTTACTGGTCATATACATAGTTAAACAAAAAAAATGTATGTATTCATTTACCATAATATCACTTGTTCCTTTGCCTGCTTTTTTATCATCAGTACTTGTTTTAGATACTTTTTGTTTCGGACCCTCTACTGGTGTTTCTTCACCTGAAGTCAAATATAATATATAAATTGAAATAACAAAGAACACAAGAGAATGTGTCAAATTTTAAGCATTTTTATCTATGGAATTCACACAGGCTGTAATAAAATACAAATGTCAATTGCCAAACCACTTTAACAGTTTAAAAATATTACTACATAATTTATTGCCAAGAATAATTTACATTTGATTCCGTAGAATTCAACTACTATTATTTATCAATTGACTTTAAGCAAATTTTTCTTGAGAAACTGGAAACACAAAATTCATAAGGTCTGGACCTGTATGAACATGACAAGGTAATTTAAAACGGTGCCAAGTCATATTTTTAATTAAGAATGTACAACAAAACCATTTACATTTTAAACACTGTATAACATTTTTGTATTTAATTTCAAAATTCTCGTGTCACAATGTTAGTTACCATACTCCTCCGAAACGGCTTGACCGATTTTTATCAAATTTTATATGCATATTCAGTAGGTCTGAGAATCGGCTACTATCTATTTTTCATACCCCTAAGTGATAAGGGTTGTCCACCCCTAACATTTTATTTTTATTTTTTGGACGTATAATTTAAATTTTTTATAATGTGCCATTAAAAAATACATACAACCCTTAATTTTCACCCCTCTACATATAACCCCTATTTTTTATTATAGTAGATAGTTATTTTTATTGAACTATAAAAATGTTTCCTAGAAATAATATACATGGCAAAACAACATTTGCCGGGTCAGCTAGTTATATTATATAGTACACACATAGTGTATTAAACAACAAGTAAAGACTTGTTCAACAAACTATAAATTTATAAGTTGTAAGTTAATGATAAGAATAATTACCTTTTCTTTTACAAGTATTATTCTGCTCTTCCATAAGAGCAGCTAGCACTGCAGCAAGCCGTACAGACTCAGCACTCACAACCTCAATACCAGCATCTGTTGTGGTCTCTGTACGCTCCTTTATACTGAAATAATAATGTTAAAACAAATATTATTGTGTGATATGTGCACTTTTGTTCTTTACTATGTTTGAATGGAATTTTGATCCATTTTTGTCTGTGGAAAAGTGTGAAAACAGACTATGCTGTCAAAAAATACATCAACACATTGTTAGCCCAAGTTTTACCCCAATTAATTACTTGTTGCCTATGAAAGTTCTTTCAATAATTACAACTCTTCATAACACCATGTATAGTCTCTTCAGTATCAATATATAGACTTTACACAGTGCACATTTAAAGTTTTTAAAATTAATAAATTTGGGTATAGATTTAAACACAAGAAAATATAGTACTAGTTTGACGGCTCATTGGTCTAGTGGTTGGTACCCTTGACTGCAAATCCATGAATCCCGGGTTAGATCCCCGGCTGAGACAAACATCGATGTTGATGAGCATTTGGTGTTTTGCTTAGGTCTTGGGTGTTTAAATATGTATTTATATGTCTATCTATCTATAATATGTATGTATATCCGTTGCCTAGTACCCATAACACAAGCTTCACCAGCTTAGCATGGGACTAGGTCAATAGGTGTGAATTGTCCAATCATATTATATTATACTATAATAAAAAAAGACATTAAGATGTCAATTATATTTACAACTGATTTCATTATTTGTGTCATTAATTCCTAATCTTTTGAAAACTATAAGAGGTGAAACAGTTAACACTTTCCTATTCATTAGAAATAACAGTAGTTCATTAAAAACTTACATTATAAGCTTTTGTGTAGCAAATTTTTGTAACAAGCTGGCAACAATGCCTGTGTCAACATCTCCTAATCCCGGAAGTAAGCCACTGGCAGTTGCTGGTAATTGTAGCTGCATGTCTGACAAAACTTGTAATAGACGCACTTCTAGCGATGCTGGTGGAATTAGTAGCTTGGATTTGTCTGATGCTGCGAAAATTAAACAGTTACTTTAGATAAATAATCATAAGTATTCAGGTCCATTAAATAATATCAACTTCCACACAAAGACAAATTTTCTTGTCCATGTGATTTTAAAAGATTTAGTTCAATTGCACTGATTTGTTTTTATCGTACTTTTTACATTTGACCCTATAAACAATAATTATTTAAATGGTAATACTTTCTAACAGTATTATTAAAAATAACATGATGGGCTTACATTCAGATTTCGTTGCCGGGCTCGATGCATCTTTATCTTTCCTATTTGGAGACCCCTCACTTTTATCGCTAACAGCATTGGAACCTAAAATACTTTGTCGCTCCTTCTTACGTTTCTCCAATTTCTCTCTTAGACTTTTAGTTTTACTTTTTACCGCTTGGATTTCCTCCCAGGTTTCGGACATGCTTACAAACACAGTTCCACTTCTTAATTTGTAGCTTACATATAAGCTAATAATTGTTCAGCTAACAAAAACGTTAAATCCTTAATGATGCAGAAATTAGAGTAATTACACATTATTAATTAAAAATACTCATTTTATAATTGATCATAAATATTTTAAAATATTGCAATCTTCACCACACTATTTCAATGTCAAACACATCTAAATAAACTCACAGATTAGATAATAAAAGCTTAGAAATAAAAAGTCCTTTCATATTTGACTATTTGACAGCATCAAAAAAATAATAATAATATATAATCTGTATGAAACATGACTTAAAAAATCGTTATGTAGTAAAATAACTTAAAAATAATAATTAATTTATTAAAAATCCATAATTAAAATATTGGTTTTTATACGTCACGTGACGATAAAAGGCTATAGATAAGTCGTATCGACTATTATTAAACGCTGTTCTAATTTAAATATAAATATATAATATATGTGTATATTTCTAATTTAAGAATGGTAATTTAAACTTCATATAGAAAAATGGATTGAAATTACTTTTAAGTTTGATTGACTTTTAAGAATGTGGGCATTATAAATATTTTATGAGATCCCGGAAAGTTGATATTATATTATTGCCCTACCTGATACCTCAAATAGAAATGTAGGTATCGTGCAAAGCACAAACGGAAAAATGTTAAGTGTTTAGGGATGTTACTTGAGGGTTGATTGCTTCAGAATTATTTGGTCGATGTTTAAATAAAACTCCCTAATTACCTGTAGAGAAGAGGTGAAGATGGAATAATGAATGATGATGATGATACACTTGGCTTTGCCTTTATTGATTTTATGTCTATGAATAGCCCAAATCAATGTTATAGTATAGGTAATAGTGATGATCGTTTCTTGTATTTAGTATTAAGTAATATGTCTAGTATTAATGTATCAGCCCCCTCCGACTCGTTCAGTAAAATATACGCGAATCATCCTAGTTTATTGTTAAGTATTAAATATTCTAAAATATCTTTTTTGCGAACGAGAGGTAATACTTAACTAAGTTTTTAAAAAGCTGACTATGTGTCTATTATAGGGGATCTGAAAACCATTGATTGGAATGATAGCCTACGCGCTCATAATAATGTTAATGATATGGCATCTGAGTTCTACAAAATCCTTAACACCTTGTATATTATGTTTTAATTGTATTTTTTACATTTTTTAAATTTTAAATTTCTATTTTTTGTTTGTGAAACTTGTGTTTACGTTAATTGTCACACATTTAAGATGTAAGTTTTTGTAAAATAATTAGTAGATTAAGTATTGTGTGTGATGTCGTAAGCCTAATAAATAAATAAAAAAAAAAAAAAAAAAATGAATGATATTTATTTACAAAACTGTGTACAATTATACTTAAAACTTATCCTACACTTCCAACTAATATTGACATGTGGTACCAAGATGCGGAGCGTTGGTTGGTTGCGCAGGTACCAGGCTAGGCGATAAAAACACGGCGCGGCAAAAAGTTGGCCTTGAAAAATTGCACAGCTGTCTGCCACCCGGTTGAGCACACGAGCCTTTTCTTTTATCGCGTTTTGTTTAAAATCTTTATTAAGTAAAGATAATAACAAACACCATACGAGGGAGCCGCCTGTACTAAATATTACGCCGGCACTAAGGTAAGGAAAGTGCTGCGCCTATCCCGGCTTCCCACCAGCGGGACTCACCGGGGGATGCGCATGCGCGGACCAAACTAAGGTGTCCAGGCTGTGCCTGGCAGACTCCAGCTCCCGCCATGGAGCGAAGATCCCGTCGCGACGAGTCTGGCCCGCGCGCCAAAGAACGCTCCCGCTCGCGCGGTGGAGCCGCGCCGCCGCCGCCGTCGTCAACCACAAATACACCCGTGTCGCGTATGGCAGACCGGCCCAGGTTTGACTCTCGCTCGCGTAGCGATCGAGCCCTGGGACCGGGAGCCGAAGACAGTGTAAATAAAAACATTTCTTACGAACAGCTCTCGTCGCGGTATACGGCTGAAGTATACCCCGTCGCAGCGGCCCCCCACAACCCCTCCCCCGCGGAGGAAATTAGTGACCAACGCAGAATATTGCGTACAACCTCGGATGTAAATTTAAATGCAAATTTAAATGTAAACTTAAGTGAAAGTGAAAGTTCAAGTGCCCACGGAGGCGATTTAAGGCCGCAGCTCTCGTCGCGGTATACGGACGACGAGAGCGCCCTTGTCGCCACCCCGCACCGACCTCAACCTCAAATAAATCCTGTAAGTAAAGATTTATCAGACCTATCTTACCAAGGTGACAACCCTGCTCATGGGCGCGATCCCGAAGAGTTGATCGCGTACCTAGAAGGCGACCTGCGGCCATCGCAGCCCGTATCCGCGCGGGCCGGCTATGAAATGGATGCGCTCTTTGTTGCGCAGACAATCATAGGCCGGTACGCAACGGACGGGCTCGCACGTGCGATGTGCGAATATCTCGCACAAACCCGCAGGCGCCTACTGGAGCAGGGTGTTTTAACATCGCCTCTGTCAAGCATTGAACACAATGCGCTCGCCGAGGCGAGGCGAGCGCATAATCTCTCCTTACGCCGCCCGCCGCCGCAGGACTTTTACGAGGACGGCGCCCAAGCGCGTGTGCGCACAGACAACGCCGCCAAACATCGAATCTCAACACACGATGCCGCCGCAACCGCAGGCACCGCTGTCTCAGCGAGACCCGCGTCGTCGTCGCCTGGCGGATGCGCCCATGGGCATGACGCCCACCATGGCGCCCCCGCACCCCATCAAGCGACGGCTCAATCAGAGCCGCAGGACACGGCGGACACAAATAAATTGACGACCGCCCCGCCCATGGGCATGACGCCCACCACGGTGCCTCCCGCACCCCCACAAGCGACGGCTCAATCAGCGCCTCAAGACGCGGCGAACTCGTACGCCGCGACGACTGCCTCGCCGGCAGTAGCCCGCCGGCCCCCCCTCGCACCCCTGCCCCCCGCCGCGTCGAAACCGAAATATCCGCCGTTTGTGATCGAGTCCCTCCCTGACTGGACGGTACACGTCAGGGAGATGAAAAAAAGGCTCGGGCGCACGGTCAACGCGCGCGCTTTTGGGCAGGGGTTGAAAATCATCCCAGAAGACGAGGAAGAGTACCGTTTGGTACAACGGTACCTTGGGGAGTTGGAGAGTAGCGGCGTCAACGTCGTTTACTTTTCCTACTCCCTACCAGCAGAGAGGCAGCTGAAGGTGGCAGTTCCGGCGGATACGGAGCCCGAGGCCATCATGGCAGAGCTGCGCGACCTCGGGTTTGAGCCGGAACACGCTCAGCCCATACGCGCCAGGAAGGGTAGACCGGGGTGTATCTTCCTAGTAATTTTGCGCCGCACCCCCGACCTCACCCCCGCTATATATGGCATCAAGGAGTTGCTGTGTATACCGGGGGTCACGATCGAGTCTTGGCGGGGCAAAAGGGGCCCCGCCCAATGTCACCGGTGCCAAGGATTTAGACACTCTTCGCACCAATGCCACCGGGCCTTAGCCTGTGTGAGGTGCGGGGAGGGACACCACACCGCAGATTGCCCCCTGCCAAAGGGGGCAACGCCGAAGTGCGCCAACTGCAAGGGGGCGCACCCGGCAAACCACAGCACGTGCCCTGTGCTAAAGGAGGAGGCGCGCAATAAGCGCGTAGGCACAGTGGCACACGCCACACGGGGCATGGGCGCCTCGAAGGCGCGCGGCGCACATGGCGCGCCTGGCGCGCCTGGCGCACCTGGCGCAAGTGGCGCACGGGGCGCGCGTGGTGCGCATGGCGCACAGAGCGCGCGTGACGCGCATGGCGCGCCTGGCGCGCATGGCACACATGGCGCACCTGCTCCTGCACCCACGCAACAGAGAAACGAGCCGCGCACGCATGCGCAGGCTGAGCCGCGCGCCCATGGGCAGCACGTTTCGTACCATCGTGATGTAGACATCATCTCCTACCCTACGGAGCCCCTGCGAGGTCAGCGTAGGCGCCCCAGAGGTAGGAGAGGTCGGGGGGGGTTGCAACCCCCCGCCCCCCCGCGCGCGGAATTCTCTGCGCAAGCCGAGGCCGGCCCCAGTAGGGCCGCCGCCGACACCGCTCCAGCCGATGGAGCCACCAGAGCCGCCGGACAGCGAGCCGCACGCCCCCATAGTGGGGGCCCACTGGGGGGCCTAACGCCTTCCATTGAGGCGGCGATCGCAGCAGCGGTTGACAGGGCGGTCAACGAATTAATGGGCGCCCTATACCCGCCTCCGTCCGATCATCATGCAGGACGCCGGGGGCGCAGTCGAGGCGTAAGAAAACAAAGAAGATGAACTTACGCCTCCTGCACTGGAACGCCGCAGGCCTTCGGGGAAAAGGCCACCACCTGCGTCACATCTTGCGTACTCAAGACGTGGATGTGGCGCTCATCTCCGAGACTCACTTGCGCTCCACCGACCGCCTGAGTGCTGCGGGCTACTTCGTCTACCGCGAAGAGAACCAGGCGATCAACGGGGCGCCCATACGTGGCCTGGCGGTACAGATTAGAAGGAGGATTCCTCATCGTGCCATCCAGGCCACAAACTTAACTGGCATCCTGACGCTGGGGGTAGAGCTGGAACTAGGTGGCCAGCCCACAGACGTGTTGGCCATCTACGCTCCCCCTGGCCATAACTTCATCCCGGCCGAATTGGAGGCTACACTCAGCCAGAGGCCAACAATCCTCGCGGGCGACTGGAATGCCAAGCACATCAGCTGGCACTCGCACTCCAACAGCCCGCGGGGGACTCGGCTTCTGCAATACGCCGAGACCCGAGGTTACACCGTGTGCGGGCCAGAAGACGCGACACACTACCCAAGAATTGACACCCACAGGCCGGACATCATAGACTTGGTGGTACACAACCGGCCTGGCCTCCACCTGGCGCAGGAGGTACTGATGGACGAATTCCAGTCGGACCACCAGCCAGTGCTGTGCATCGTCGCGGGGGCACCATCCCCGCCTGCGCGCACCTGCAGGGTCACCGACTGGAACGCCTTCGAGTCCATCGTTGGAGACACCCCTGCACCCGGCCCACCGGACATGACACCAGGCGCCGTTGACGACATGGCGGAGTCCATGACGCGGCAACTCCAGGCGGCTCTGGCGGAAGCTACCACGACGCGTCCGCCGGAGGTCATACGCCCGGACCTCGCTCCCCACGTGCAAAGGCTGATCCAGCAGAAGCGCGCACTCAGGAGGCAGTGGCAGCGCAATCGCTGCCCAGTGCTGAAGACGCAGCTGAACCGCCTCGCCGAGCGTGTCAAGGCCGAACTGGCGACACACGCGCGGCGCACGTGGGAGCACTCACTGGGAGAGGCCACTACAGAGCCTACTCGCCTCTTCCAATTATGCCGCCGTCTCTACCGGACTCCAGAGCCGAAGCGTCCACTGTATGACAGCAACGGCGTCATTACCTACAATGACACCGATCGGGCCGAAATCTTCGCCGAACACCTCCAGCGCCAATTCTCGCCGAACACCGCGACATCCCTTGCGCGTGTGGCTGAGGTAGAGAGCGCTGTCGAGGCTCGGCTGACGAGCCCGATCCCACCCGACGAAGCCCAGATCTTCTTCTCGCCATCGCAGGTGCGGAAGACGATCCGACGACTGCCGCTGAAGAAGGCCCCAGGACCGGATGGCATCACCCACCAGGCGCTGCGCCATCTGCCGATGAGGTGGATTGTCGCGCTGGCGCGCCTCTTCACGGGAATCCTCCGGACCCTCCACTTCCCGAAGACCTGGAAAGAGGGCAAGGTGATCCTAATACCGAAGCCCGGGAAGGACTCTACCCGACCTGAGAGCTACCGGCCCATCACTCTGCTCTCGACGCAGTCGAAGCTGTTCGAGAGGCTGCTGCTGCAGAGGATCCAAATTTACCTGCAGCCAAGGCCCGAACAGTTTGGCTTCCGCGGCGAGCACAGCACGACGTTGCAGCTGACGAAGGTGCTCTTCACTGCAGCCACGGCCCTGAACAAGAAGAACGCGGCCGCAGCCGTCATGCTGGACATGGAAAAGGCCTTCGACCGTGTCTGGCACGATGGCCTCGTGTTGAAGCTCGCCGAGTCTCCACTGCCCCGCCGCATAGTCGCCGTGCTCCGCGCCTTTCTCACAGATCGCACGTTTTTCGTAGCGACGGGAGAGGCTGCGTCGAGACCGCGACCTATCACGGCGGGTGTACCACAAGGCAGCGTGCTGTCTCCAATCTTGTATGCCACGTACACTGACGACGTCCCGTGCCCAGAAGGGTGCACCTTAGCCCTCTACGCAGACGATACGGCGTACGTGGCCACATCCCTAAAAATAAAGCACGCTGCGGTTAAGCTCCAACGCGCTCTGGACCTCCTGCCAGAGTGGCTAGAAAAGTGGAGACTAGCCGCCAACCCTAACAAGACGCAGGCGATTGCCTTTGGCCAGAGTAAGTTGCCGCCGCCCCTGCGATTCCTGGATCAGGACGTGCCGTGGAAGACGCCGGTCACATACTTAGGGGTCACCATAGACCGGCGACTCACAATGCGGCACCATGTCAACAGGGCAGTAGGGAGAGCCAAGGGTGCGACGTACGCGCTCTACCCCCTACTCTACGGCAACATACCCCTCCGGAACCAAGCTCGCGCTCTACAAACTGTACGTGCGCCCACACCTAACGTACGCGGCACCGGCGTGGTACTCCTACACAAAGGAGACCCACCGCCAGAGACTGCGCGCCGTACAAAACATCAATTTACGACGCGCAGTGGGGGCCCCCGCTACGTTAGGAACGCCACCATAGCGCGGGACTTGAGGATGGAGTCAATCGACGAGTTCGTCGCACGGCTCACCAAGGGGATGTTTGATCGAGCGGACGCCTCTCAACATCCCCACCTCAAGGACATCGCGCCGTGGCACTCCAGGCCACCAGACAAGTACAGGTATCCGCGTGAGCTATTCTCCGCGGATACCCCAACCACCGGACGTGACACCAGGGCAGCAACCGCGGCTACGACCGCTGGTCGCCTCGCTGGGCCTCCCCGGGGCCACCGGGGGTCTCACCCGGCGGAGCTTGACCGCGAGCCGCGTAGCTGCCCGACACCAACTACTTAGACGCCAGGGCCAAGTCGAGAATACTCCTTGGCCCCCAACCACCGGACGTGACACCCCGGAATAGACCCCATCGGCTGCGCGCAGCGAGTTGAGGCCAACGCCTCCTTGCGCGCTGCAGCCCCCACCTAGAGGAAAAATCTCAACCCCGTACCGCCCTGTATTAGCAGGGCGCGAGAAAACAATCCACCCGAAGGGGGCATAGCCCCGAACGGGCTTAAACACACCCCTCTAGAGGGAGTGTGTAGTAATAGCAAATGGAAGTTGGCCTTTTTCTGCACGCAGCCGTCGAAGCGTACGAACGTGTTCTTCTCAGAACACTTCGATATCGTAACCTTGCGATAACGCTAATAACTGTCCTTTTCAGGACAAATTATCGTATCACGACTAAACGTCTACAACTGTCCTTTTCAGGACATATTATTCTTGTTTCACGACAAAACGTTTAACAACTGTCCTTGTCAGGACATATTACCGTGTCCTACGACACGATGAAACTGTTCTTTTCAGAACACACGACCGTATCTATTCTGATGTGTTCTTGTCAGAGCACATCACTGTTTCATTACGACACGTTAATCAATCACCTACAGGATTCCCCCTCTAGCGAAGCGTACCGGCAGGCGTATAACGCGGCCTCGGCGAGTTGTCCTTGTAGGTATTGAGTTGTTCCCAATGTCTTGTTGTTTCAGGTCGTTGTCATTTTGATGTTTCAGGTTGTTGTCGTTTTGATGTTTCAGGTTGTTATCGTTTTGATGTTTCAGGTTGTTGTCGTTTTGATGTTTTAGGCTATTTGATGGTTTATGTAGTTCGCTCGCACTTGATGTGAGTTGCTTGTTGCAGGTACTCGGTATTGTGTCAGTGGGCACATCTGGCTCGGCGATAGTGTAGGCGGGTTTGAGTCTGTCAATAGAGATATTGGTTTCGCGGTTCGGTAACTGCAGCGTGAATATCTTGCTGTCTCGTTTCAGCACGCGATAGGGTCCGTCGTAGGGTGCTTGTAATGGCTTCTTTACGGCGTCAATGCGTACGAATACGTATTCACATGTTTGCAGGTCGCGGTGTATGAATATAGGTTTTGTGTTGCCGTGTGGTTGGTTAGGCATTGGTTGCAAGTTACGAATTGCGTCGCGCAGCTGATCGATGTAGGCAGAGTCCATAATGACGTCATCGCGGGTCGTTGATAAGAAATCACCGGGTAAGCGTATGTTGCATCCGTAGGTAAGTTGGGCAGCGCTTACGCCGGTGTCACTTCGCATAGCGGCGCGTAATCCGAGTAGGACGGTTGGTAACTCGCTGATCCAGCTTCTTGCGGTCTGTAGTCTTGCCTTTAATGCGGCCTTAAGGACACGGTGCCATCTTTCGATGATACCGTTACACTGTGCATGGTATGATGTTGTACGCGTTTTTTCAATTCCGAGTAAGCGAGAAAGAGATGCAAATACTCTGCTTTCGAATTGGCGTCCTTGGTCCGTTGTTATTGTAGCAGGGCAACCGAAACGGGAAATCCAACCTTCGTATAATGCTTTGGCGACGTCTTCGGCTGTTATTTCGCATAATGGGTATGCTTCGGGCCATCTCGTCGCTCTGTCGATCATTGTCACAAGGTATCGATGACCGGTGGCCGCGGTAGGTAGTGGACCAACGATATCGATGTGAACGTGTTCGAATCGTTCGGTTGGTGAAAAAATTGATAATGGACTTGTTGTGTGGCGTTGTATTTTAGCGCGCTGACACTGTAGGCATACTTTTGCCCACTTGCCGACATCTGCGTTCATTGAGGGCCAAAAGTAGCGTTGCGTAATTAATTTCCTCGTGGTCTTTATTCCAGGGTGGCTAACGTTATGTACTGCGTCGAATGCGGTACGTCGGTATTCTTCAGGTAGGTACGGACGTATGTATGAGGTCGAAGTTTCGCAGAGTAATTTGATGTTTGACGCGGGCAGGTTTACTTCCTTGAAAGATAAGTTGCTCTGTAAACCGAGTGTTTTAATGGTATCGCTGTCGCGCTCTTGAGCTATTGCAAGTTGATTGTAGTCGATCGGCGATGGACATGTGATTGCGTCGATGCGTGATAATGCGTCTGCGGCTGCATTTTGAGACCCACTGACGTGACGTATATCAGTGGTAAATTCGCTGATATAAAGTAGCTGTCGGGTGCGTCTCGGTGATTCGCTGTTTGTATTTGATTTGGTGTAAGCGAAAGTTAGCGGCTTGTGGTCCGTGAATATTATAATTTCTCGCCCCTCGAACATTTTGCGAAAATGTTTGACAGCCATGTAGATGGCGAGTAGCTCTCGATCGTAAGTACTGTAGCGAGCCTGTGCGTCGCTGAATTTCTTCGAAAAATAGCCGAGTGGTTGCCACGAGTCGTTGATAAACTGGTTGAGTGCGGCACCAGCTGTTTTGTCACTCGCGTCGCTGAATATAGCAAGCGTCGCATGGTGAGACGGATGAGCGAGTAAAGCGGCGTTTTTTATGCTCTCTTTTACATGCTTCATAAGCTTGCGTCGATTCAGCGGTCCAGTCGATCTTAGTTCTGTCACGCTTCTTGATGTTGTGCAGGTAAGTATTTAGCGGCGCTTGTATGGTGGCGGCATCTTTGATATTTTCGCGGTAAAAGTTGATCATACCGAGAAAACGTCGCAGTTCCTCTACGGTTTGTGGCTTTGGAAAATCTGTGATAGCCTGTACCTTCTCTTGGGGTGGCTGTATCCCTTCCGCCGTGACTTGGTGACCGAGGAATTTGACAGTTGGCTGACCGAAAACACATTTTCACGACAAAACGTTTAACAACTGTCCTTGTCAGGACCTATTACCGTGTCCTACGACACGATGAAACTGTTCTTTTCAGAACACACGACCGTATCTATTCTGATGTGTTCTTGTCAGAGCACATCACTGTTTCATTACGACACGTTAATCAATCACCTACAAGTGCATGCTGGCCATATATTGAAGCGTAAAAAACCGTTTGTCAATTTGACCTTTGCATTTATTTTCTCTGTAACATTACACCATACTTTGTATTTTAAGAGCTGTAGAAGCCTATTGAACATCTCAGTTTTAATGAAAACATTAAACAACATTTAAAAATATGAGTTTCGCGCCCGAGTTACGAACTCATGCACAAAAAGTATGTACCCTTTATAAGAAGTGTATGCGAACTATTGAAGGTTATTACATAGCCAGGTAAGATATTATAAAGTGGAATTTTAAAACCACTTATTTATTAATTGATTCCAACCTGTTCTACTGGAATTAACAGTTGGTCAACTATCAGGTATGTGATATTTCAGGTTCGTAGTTCGCTATCACCAAGTGCTTCTGAGAAAACAGTTTGATGATAATAAGTGCGTCTGTGATCCAAAGGAACAGCGTCGTTTGTTACGAGTTGGAGAACGCGAGCAATGGCTAAAAAATAATCCTCGTCCTTTGAATAAATGTATTGGTTTATTACAATTTATATAATTATTAATTATCTGATATTATATAAGACGTGTAACGGTTCTATATTTTTAGTTCCGAGATCGATTGGGCTTGCCGGCGGCGTTGCTTACGCGCGCGTTGTAACTCCTCCAGACTGGGTTCTTGACTATTGGCACCCACTGGAGAAGGCACAGTATCCAGAATACTTTGCTAGACGTGAATGCAGGAAGAGCGAGTATATCGATAAGTGGAAGAAGGGAACTTTGATGTAGTTTAAAATCTATGGCTGCTTTACTTTTATATCAAATTTATTAATATTGATTACCTTACTGGCTATTTATTTAATTGGAATTAATATTCGATTGTCTTTTTCGCCCATAAAATGTTAGGCAAATAATAATTATAAATATTTAACTAATTCTATTTTTTAATTCTTTGTTTATAAAGAAAAATATTATATGCTATATCTTAAAAAATAATTACTGCTTGAAGCTAACAGTCAGGCTAAGTATAAGTAAAGGCTATCTAGAAAAAAAAATTGTATTTCATCACGGTGGTGGCAAACTATAAATCTATATGGATTGATAGTAGAAAACTGGAGACCATTATTACTTGTTCTACTTTGCTGATTTTATTTTTGCAATTATTATTCTTTGATCAATCAATCTTCTCATTTCTATTTGAGTGATCTGTTAATATTAAATAAATATTATTTAATAACCATGGGTTTGTAGAAATAACATCCAAAACATAAGAAATAAACTATTTATTAGTTATATTTTAAATATAAGGATTAAGGAAGTAGTATTGGAGTATAAGACGTAATTATAGAGGTTGATTTATAAAATATTTTCCAAATGTTTGATTTTTAATTTGGTCTATAAGTATAAATACTGGATTTATTTCTTTATTTTAATTGCAACAAATTTAACGAAAGACTCAAGACGAAGTGTCACGTTTGATTGTTATTGGACAAAGTTATATCGCGTCAGCGAAACAATAATTGGTTTATCTATCGCTCTACTCATCGTGTTTAATTGAACACTCGACAGAATACCTATAACCCATTCTCACGATTCGATCTTCAATTTTTATTTAGTTGTCCTGCCTGAGATATAACACCAAATTCTACAATTTATTATATGGTAACTCTAACCACAGAGTACTTTTGACTGTGACGTTCATACTTGACATTTATCTCGTGTGTTCAATCATTCAATGTACATTATTGTCAATTGTCATATTGTGTTTTCAATTTGCATTGCAGAATCTTTCAAAGCGAGGTTATGTTTACAATTATGAGAAAAGTTAAATAATCTAATAAAATGGGTGATAATGTTGAAAATAAATCTATGAGTATGACCGAAGAGGAGAGGGTGGCTTTGTGTCAGAAATTAGATCGGGAGCTCGACGATTTTATTGATGGTTTAGAAAAGAAAAGATATACGGAAGGATGGCCCGAAGATCGGTGGGAGGTAATATTTTACCAGTCTTTTGTGTTAATAAATGTTGAATTTAAAAATTCCTATTTAAAACGGGATGCTATTATCCTAGACAATAATATTATAGGCTATTATTAATACAATTGGACCGCGATTTCAAGTACGTATTGATGTCTTTACCTACACTTCGGAAAAAACATAATAAAAATCCTTTTGTCTAGGAAGAAATGGACAAACATCCATTTTTTATGAAAACTGTTCCAAAAGGTGATGAAATGTCTCCATTAGCTGAAGGTTTAGCAAAGCTCAAATATGATCCTGAAGAGAATACACCATTAGAACTTGCTTCTAACTATAAGGAAGATGGCAACTTTAATTTTAAGCATAAGAATTACCGACTTGCTATATTGGGGTAAGTTGTATTTAATTTAAATTTACTAACATCCTTTGTAGTTTTGTCCTCCATCCATTGCTATATTTTGTGGCTTTACTCTACTGAGCTCCACAGTCTTTTAATGGATTTTAATATAACACATATTTACTATTTCTATATCTTTATTTTACAGATACACTGAGGGCATTAAAGTTAGATCTGATAATGCAGAAATAAATGCAAGTCTTTATAATAATAGGGCAGCGTCTCATTGGCATTTAAAGAATTATAGATCAGCTTTATTTGATAGTGAGAGAGCACTAGCATTTGATCCCAAACATAGTAAAGCCAGGCTAAGAGCTGCAAAAGCAGCTTTAGAAGTTGCAATGTATGACAAATGTGTAGAGCATTGTAGTAAACTACTTGAGAAAGAAGAAAATATAGAAATCATTGACCTTTTAAATGCTGCTAAAAAGAATAAACTACTAAAGGAAAGAGATACAAGGAAAAAGGAGAGAAGAGAAAAGAAAAAGGAAGAAACTAAAAGTGTAATAGTTAAAACAATTATTGAAAGGGGCATTAAGATTTCAAACTGTGAAGATGAAGATGACATTGATTTGTCAAAATTAGAGCCATGTTTACCAGGAGCACAGGACTCAATAGTACATTTAGAAAAGGGAGTGCTTAAGTGGCCAGTATTGCTTTTGTACCCAGAATATCAGATGACAGACTTCATAAAGGCCTGTCCGGAAACTGTTTCTTTGTTAAACCAGTTAGAGCAGTTGTTCCCAGCCCCATGGGACGAGGAAAATAAATATAATTCAGGAACTATCAATGTTTATTTTGAAGGTTGGGATAAAATGCCCCATGTGGTTGATCCATCACGGAATCTTGGCGATTTACTTACAACAAAGTATTTTGAATTAAAAGCAGGGACACCTGCATTTTTTGTTTTGCCACGAGGAAGCAAAGTTGAGAGACAGTTTTTGGAGACCTATATATAAATGTGCTAAGTGCTATTATATAAATGTTATTCATTATTTTGAAATATATACTTTATTATAGGTTTCTTATATTGTCTGGAAATTCCTTATCTTTTTTAAGGATAACTTGAATAAGAACTATAAACTTGATAAGTCTAAAATTTAATTTCCTACTCCATAAACCCATTGAAAATTTGTAATAATAATTTTTAAGTCTAATGTCTGATAACCAGGAGCATGGGGTGGAATATAAGGATTTTAAAACCAAAGAAGTTTTCAAATATTGTATTCGCTTTAGGTATCTGTATCATCCTCCATGTCATAATTCTGATGAGGGTAGAATGAGCCAGGTGAGTTGAAACTACCCTTCTCTTCTGTTAGCGGGGAATATGGATGATGGGGCATGGCACCCATCCATTGTGGGTACCAGTATAAACCCTGAAAACCAATTTTATTATGTAAAGCTTATGCGACAATGTGCTGTAGGTAAAGAAGTCTAATTCTGGATTTATTTTTATGTAAAAGTAGGCAAACGGGCAGGAGGCTAAACAGATGTTAAGTGATGCCGCCATCCATGGACACTAAGATTGCCAGAAGGCTCGCACGTGCGTTGCCGGCCTTTCAAGAATTGGTACGCTCTTTTCTTGAAGGACCTTAAGTCGAATTGGTTTTGAAATACTTCAGTGGGCTGGTTCCACATGGTAGTGGTACGGCACTGCCTTAAAAAAACGCTCAGTTGTGGAACGACGGACGTCCAGGTGATACGAACGGTATTTTTTATTCTGCCTTGACGTCCGATAATGAAACTCAGCTGCAGGTATTAGTCCGAAAAACTCCTCTGAACACTCTTCGTGGTTAATGCGGTAGAAGATGCAGAGACCCCACATCTCTACGCATTGCCAAGGGATCAAGCCCCACGGAAAAGAACTGGTCGTTGACGATTCGAATCTCCTCTTCGTTGAATACGGACATGCGGAAGGAGCTGGTACTGGGGAGCTCCCGCCCAGAGGTGAGAACAGTAGGCACTCCATGTGGGGCTGAATTTACGCTTTATAGCGGTGAAATCTATACCATATTTGAATCACCATAATTTGATTATTGATACTTTGCTTCAATGCGCTGATAAGTATAGCAAAAGTCTTCACATACCTTAGTGCCTCCTGCGGCGTTGCAGGTAAATCTGTCATCGTGTAAATCCACAGTATCCAAATAGCTCTTCCCAGCTATAGAGCCATAGTTTGGTGGGTACATGAACAAACATCCTTCTAGGATATCTACAAACCAAAATTTCTTCATGATTAAGACATTACGAATGTTATACTAGATTCATATGTACTCTGTTCATGCCATGCTATTTTATATTACTGTTTGTGAGAAATTAACACAAAAGTATAAAATTCTTTCACCATTTGAAAGCACTGCATTGTTTAAATTGAAGAATTGGACAATGCTTGAAAACTACTGAGTATACGCCAGCTTTATATTCTCCGTTGTGTCTTTTGGAGGCACGCATCCTCTCCACATAGTCCCGGCACACCCCAAAAAAGGACTCAACCTAATATAATTAGCTACGCAATTTGCAAAACTATATATACGTAATCAATACAATAATCGCTCAGCCTATCTCTTCAATCGTTTACATAAAACCCTTAGCTTGCATAGTCTTACATACCACAAATTTAAAAGAACTTTAAACCATTGGCTCGGTACACTGAACTATGACAAAACAGAATCTACATATTAATTTTTTCCTTAATCCATTTTTATCATGCACACTTTCACTTAGATTTGTTTCGTCTTTCACACACACACACACTCAATTACACGTTCACACATTCATTTATATTTTTTTTTTTACAGTACCCTCGTTTAAAACCAATTGTGTTGGTTATTTTTGTTGAAACTTTGTTAATTTTTAAGAAGAGCGAGGCTTGAGTTACTAGAGAGGCCTCAATCTGAATTCTATTATATATAGCTAAACAAATAAAGAATTTTGTTTTTTTTTTATATTTACCTTATAAATCATAATTTCTTTAACCGTTTTTAATACAGCCATAATTTTTTTAGTTTAAATGTGAACCAACGACTAATTTGTAGTGTTGAAATGGTCTATCTATATAAATCATAAGTAAAATGCAACATACAAGGAACAGTGATATTTTCTTCGTCAAAGCCATCTGGTTTAGGCGTGGGTTCTATGTAGGGCGGTACGGCGTCAATGCCCGTTCCCGGATCACCGGGTATTAAAAATGGACCTGAAATATAATTCGAATTTCCATTCAGGACCTTAAAATTACTATGGTAGCAATCATTCAGGTAAATAAAAAACGAGAGACAAAACGATGCGTCTTTCCATTCGTTCATTCGTTCTTAACAATTAACCAAACGTTTTGTCCTTTGTTTAACTTGGTTTTATACTCACAGGTCTTAACTATATGAGGTCTTTATGGAAAAAAACCATAAACGAGATAAAAATAGAAGAAAGAACTTTAGGCAGATTTTATTTCTCTAAAATTTGCCTAAATTTGAGGGTAGACTGTTGTTTTCTAATATTATTCTTACCTCCATAATGATTAGTGTAATTCCACTCACACACGTGATGGTCGCACACAAGCGGTGTATTCGCTTCCTTAGTATAATATGTGTTACCATTTGGGGTTGTCTGCAAACCAGTAATATACTTAATTTATTTACTTTCGGGTCCCGTTCGGGTTAACAAATTATTTAATTAAAAATCAAGATAATTTGATAAATATGTTAAATGTCTTAAATTAGAGAAACAAGATTAACCTAATAATATTTAAAATATACATACCAGTAAGAAATCGTAATGTCGGTATCTCAGACCCTGAATATTAAAATCCAAAATAAATGAACCGGAAGCGATGATACACGCAGCGGCCGAGAGTGGCGGTAATTTGTACATTATTAGACCGCATTTGACTATCGCCTTGGGTAGAGTTGAGACGTCTCTTTCCCGCTGTAGTAGCTTATTAAAGGGAAATCTGTAATTTCTTCATCGCTATAAGAAATGGCTTGGAACATTGCAACAGTTATTGTATTCAAACAAATTGGCTGTTTTTGTACAGAAATCTTATTTTTATTAAGTTGAATTTTTAAATAGGTGAGTATTACAAATTCAGTTGAATGTTTTGCTTCAATTAGAAGACATATTGATCAATATTATGTAGTACAGTTGAGACGATTTTTTGTAATAGAAAACTGTATATAAAAGTTAAATAAATTAAATTTATAATAATTTATTTCTTTTTGAAAAGTAAAAATTATATTTAATTCTTTAGTGTCTTAGAACAATTTGGATAATAACAAGAAAAACGATATTTATTACTAATTCATACCTAAATATACAAACGCCCATGTGACACTCCAAACCATGCATATAATTGTCTGTCGGGAAGGAAATGCTCGGGTCATCGAGGAGGTAGTACTTTTGCTCATCATGATAATGTAGGAAACCAAGAAACACGAAGGATCTGTCTTTACAGTATGGCGCTATCCCTTTTCCAATGTTGTATATGTCACTATACAGTTCGGATAGGAATAAATACACGTTTTTGCCGCAGTAGTATTCTGAAGAAGAAAGCTAATTAAAGAAAATGTATCAAGCGTGAGTTATGGAACCTAACATTACTGTTAAGATAAATATATATATTTTAATTAATAATTAGAAGCGCAAACCAAATGTTAGCAATCAAAATACACTTGTAGCAAACAAATAATTGTAATACGTCAGTTTAGTAATAAATATTCCCTTTAGTTTTTCCCACACTCATAAATGGTAATATAACTTTCTCATTTCCGGTAATATCCAATAGCTCGACCACACTTATATTCTTTATAGGTAACTTGCCTTAAACTTGACTTAAGTTAATTTTTTTTTGGCGTCTCAACCCCACTACCCCTAATTTTATGTTAGTTATAAACGATTTTAAACGATTAACAAATAATCCCGCCAAAGATATTTCGAAATAAAAATGATTAGTGATATAGTATTAGTAACTTTGATAATGTAATGTCATATGTAACTACTAAGTTAAAATTCCTTTTAATTATGTAAGACAAATTTGCCCGGCATTATTTGTGGCAGAATATGCGAATTTTAGTTTAACATTTTTGTACCATATTTATGCAAATAAATTATTATTATTACTCGCGTGTACGTGGTATCAGCGCTATTAATGTCGCCATGGAAAATTGTTGGAAAATACCTTGACTTATATAAAATTCGGTGGGAACAGGTCCACCAGTGTAAGTGGCTCTCCTCTCAGCTCCGATTGAGTTATGGTTCTCATACATCGTCAACATATTATCCAATACATCGTCAAGGGTTATTAGTAATACCTATAAGTTCTCAGAATTTATTATTTTGCAAGTAAACCGAATTTAATAAAATTATGTACATATTATTATTTTTGTTTCTTTACTTTACACGAAGTTCCTTAGTTTATATGTTAATATTTGCAGAGCAACTAATATTTTTATTTTATAATAATTTGGTAACACCCCTATATTTAAGGTAGGTTAATTGTACATGACTTAAATTATAATTTTCTAAGTGGATGTATTTCTTTGAGAAATAAACCTTTGAACAGATACCAAATTGTCATAGTAAGTCTTTTAGTAAGTAAAATGAACTGTCAAGCGGATGGAAGTCGTGTAGAAAAAAAACTGGGAATAATATTCGCCCTTGAGGAGAAACTATTTATAATTACTGTTCTGATCCTGGGTCATCAGGGTGCTTTAAATAATAGAAGATTTTTGGTTTACTCTATGTTAATCACACGCGTAGGTACAACAATAAAATATAAGCGAAATAATGAAATGTTACTTGCTATGTAACGAATGACTGCAAAATTTGCAAACAGTTGAAGAGAGTGCTCTCAGGCGTAACTCCCATGATTTAGTTAATTGCTATGAAACAAGTTAATGTAAAGTAACAGTTGAAGAGAGTGCCTACGTCTGACTATACTCCGGGGCGTAACTCCCATGATTTAGTGAATTGCTATGAAACAAATGAATGTAAAGTAACAGTTGAAGGGAGTGCCTGAGTCTGGCTATACTCTCAGGGCGTAACCCCGACGATTTAGGAAATCGCCACGCTTATAGAACTAAAAAGGCCTGAGTGAGCAAAATGTAGTCTTGGCTCGTACAATTACTTATTACTTTATGCTTATTTACCTTCAATTCTTGAATATGCAACTTTATAAATCTTCCTAAATGGTCAGTCGCGATGTGGACCCGCTCGTTAATTAAGTACTAAAACAAACATTAATTAAACATATCTTTAGAATATGAAGAATATGGATTTGTGATTATAATAATAAAACCTTATTATAATGGGTAGAATACGATAGATTTGAAGCTTACTAAAAATTATAGATTGAAAAGAGACAAAGCTTAGAAAATTATCAGGAATAATGATGCGATAACATATCCAATGTCTGCAAATAGTGTTAATGCGCTTAAGTTCAAATTTATGCAATATATATATGCTTTCTCTCTTTACGTAAAGAATGCTTCTGTAGAGAGAACACTGACAATGACAACAAAATTGTGGGTCTTTGGTTGTACCTTTGACGAAATAATAATTCTACATCTTCTACCGCATTTACGATGGAGAGTTTTCAGAAGTATTGTTCGGATTAAAGCCTGCAGCTGAATTACGTCATCGGACGTTGAGGGTGTCGAAAATCGTCGAAATACCCACCCGTATCACCTCGACGTCGGTCGTTCCACAATTGGGCGTTTTTATGGCAGGTTTTGCCGCGCACCAACACTTTGTGGAACCAGCTGGCCACTGAAGCATTCCGAACCAATTCGACTTAGGGTTCTTTTAGAAAGAGCATACCTTAAAAGGCCGCCATCGCACTTGCAAGCTCTCTGGCAATGTAAGTGTCGATAGGCGGCGGTATCACTTAATTCTGGGCATATAGGAACGATAAATTATATAGACTCAAAAGGGTGCCCTGTGTATATCTATATTAACTATGAAAGTAAAGAATTTACAGTATAAATAAATCTATTTGTAATTTGTACCTGATCTTCAGCTGTCTTGATCCTCATCATCTCATTTTGGTAGAGCCACAAATTATCCAATTTATCTGTGGGGTCGTGTCCATAAATTTCGAATGCGTCTATTATCATTGCCAATGTCAAATTTTCGTTGGGTTCCAGACAGCATGGGTGGTTTCTTATATTGTATGGGTACTATAATGGATGCCGAGCCGCTAATTAATATTAGATAATCACTTTTTAAAACGTAATAATGATTTACGTCGCTTAATTTTATTTGGAAACAAACAGACTTTTAAAAAATGTGGTTCTTATTCACAAGAAGATGAAGACAGACTATTTTTTATGAAAAGTTTATATCAAGAATTGACATAGTCATATTTCTTTAGCCCTCAGCTAATATTAATGTTATAGTATGGAAAGAAAAAAGATGCATTTTCCCCTACGCTTATGTTATTAGCAACTGTAGGTATGGTATCTACTTATGTTAAACTATATTAACAAATTGTTATATAGATAAGTGTTATAATTGTTATCATTTAATTTGTTACATACAGTTATCTCTAGCCAGATGATACATAGTACGAGCAAGACGCAGGCGTGAATAAGGGCAGCCATTTTCGCAACATGGCGCCTCAAATGGACGCTTGTATGCCAATTAGGCGCCAATACTGCCTAATTTGTTCTTGAATTTATTGCCAATTATTTTTATATACAACCTTTGAAAAAAAATTTACGTGCAATAATTTATAGGCATATATTAAAGGCAGTATATTTTATTTATAACGAGTTTTTCTTTCCCCTAAAAGTATTTATTTTTATTTATCTTTTTATGTGTAATCAATATGGGTGAACAGTAAATTCTGTACCTAACAACATAAGAGTTGTATCATCGGAAATGGAGTACAGGGTCTACGATTTATTCGACGACGGCGAAATTTATATTGATTTAATTTTTTTTATTTAATAAGCAGGAAGAAATAAAACAATATTCAAATAACATCTCATATTCAATAAATACACACCTAATATTTTATTTTATCACAAAACATATTGAATACATTGTTATTAATTATTAAATTTATTGCGTCGTTAATTTTTGCATAAATAATTCCTAAAAAGTATTTAGGTTTTAAAATGACACGGTAATAGACCATAGACTTTATAATTGTGAACCATAGACCTAGCCATGAGTTATTTACTCTCTGGAATTGATAGTTCTATAATATTTTGGCGGTTAAACACAAATGATAGACAGTATACAGCGCAAAATAATTAAACATTAGTAACAAGGTTTAATCTTTTTATTGTCGCTTAAGATGTTCATATACCATTAACGTGGCATTAATCTATGTCTATGGAAGAAAAATGTCAACACACAAAATATTACTATGCGTTTTATCAAACGAATTATTTCCTAAAATATAGCGTTATAGATTATAATTAGTACTATTCTATAATGCTTTACAACAACAAGACGTCTGAATAAGACAGACAATAAGAAACTTTATTATTTATAATATATAGATGTATATTATTATTGTACAATTAATAACATGTCAAGTTATCTATTGAATTAACAAGTATAGTAAACCCTCCTCAAACACGGTAGATTGGTTCCGCGTTTAGAAAACGCGTTGTAAGAGTATTCTTGCTCTTGTTTCACAATTAACTTTTCTCGATAAAGGGGATTTAAATCGAATATTAAAAAAAGACTATAGTGAACGAAATAAGTGCGTACAAATCATTATAAATGACACAGTACAGAAATATTACGTCTCCGCGTTATTTGGAAGAATATCCGTGTTATGCGAGGGATTGAAGTCGCGTAATATGAAAATGCGTTATAAGAGTACCGTGTTATAAGGGGGTTTACTGTATATGACTTCGCAATTAAAAGCGTTATACATTATATATAGTATAATTCTACTGTTTGCAGAAAATGTGTAAATATATAACTTTAAAAATACATTTAAATGGAAGACTTCGTTGTTGAAGATTTAAATATCTGGAAGACGCTCGATTCTTAACCTATCAATGTGAACATACTGACATAACGTCATTAATGTCAATTGTCATAAATATAATCATTATTTTGGAAGACAATGGATACATCAGCAACAAGTTTAAATTCTTAACAGCTAAATCTAAATTACAAAATCACATCAGACTAAATATTGGCATTATTTCGCCGCAAACAACTTGCAGGGTTATAAATAATAGACATTTAATATGCATTATTCTAAAAATAGTTCAACAATTATTGACTACTAAATTAAAACGGCAACCCTATTTTGAATGCTTTTATAAGAGCAGAACCAGAATCGTACATTCCGATTAGGCCGAATAATACGCCCAAACCAATAATGAAATAGTCATAGGCAACAGTGGTACTGTCGAGCTGATTAGCCTTCAATTTCAAATGGAAGTACGCAGGCCAAATGAAGCTCAACATCGTACCAGTGAAACTGCCAATAAAGCCCATGAGTATCAGGAAATGAGGAATGAATACTGCCATGAGTATCGTAAACATTATCACACCGAGTCGCCATGCTAGACCCCAAACCTTCAGCTCGCCATCCAAAGCGTAAATTGGGGGAAAGACTGTTTTGGGTTTCCCTCGGAACAGAACACGTTCAAGCAGATCACAGGCCGCGTAATAAGGAAGGGGGTAGCTTAGCACAGCTTTAATCACGAGGAAAAAGTTTACGAGTCCCTTGAAGCCAGCAGATCTGAGGTTATTTGTTATAACCTGCTGGGTGTCGTTTTGGAATGTCAGAAAACAGAAATATCCAAATGTGGCTTTGAATGCAGCAGCAGCGATATGAGACCAATTTAACATCCACTCAAATTTAGATCTATCTTCCATGTTGCCCTCTAAGGTGGGTAAGAATATTTGGGAAGTATATGAGAAGACGATGACACCCAGACTGATGGGGAAGTTTTCCAAATCGAGGTTCCATTTCACTTTAGACCAACCCCATTCACCAATATAAAGAATGCAATAGCCAAGAACAATGGCGTTAATTATTAAGTGGCTCATGGTACACCAGAAAGACAGCATACTGACGCTTTTGAGGGACTTTAAAAATGCCAGAGGCAAAAGGAATATGCCTGTTAACATCATCCAGGATCGGGTGTCGATTGAACCATCAGGGAAGGTTCCAATCATCAAATCCCCACAAACCACAACGTACAAGATACAAGTCATCAGAAGTTCAATAATTTGTGCGATATTCACAATTTTAGCGCCATATTTTCTTCCGAAGCATTCTTTGGCGATGCTGACGTAAGAATCGCGGACTCGTACTCGTTGACCAGAAACTGGGTCATCTTCGTAGAGACAATCTACTAGAATCTTGCCTGTGTAACAGCAGATGTGGGCGATACCAACCATGGCGGCTATTGACCAGTATCCTCCTTGGAGCACAGCAAACGGCAACGATACAACGAACATACCCTGAAAAAACAGACTTTGAAATCAAGTACTGTTATTAGATTGTGTTAATATTATATTATATTTTACTAGCTGACCCGGCAAATGTTGTTTTGCCATGTATTTTCTAGGAAACATCTTTTTAGTTCAATAAAAATAACTATCTACATACAAAATAGGGGTTGATCGTGGAGGGGTGAAAATTAGGGGTTGTATGTATTTTTGTATGTTAAAGTAAAAATAAAATAAAAAAAATAAAAGTGTCATAACAAAGTAAAAACAAAAACAAAATTGTCTAAAAAATATTTTTTTATTATTTCATCATTTAATTAAATTTTATTAATTTCAACATTAAATTTTTTACATCATTTAATTTAATTAAAATTTACAAATTATTTAAGGATTTGAAAGATAGTAGCCGATTCTCAGACTTACTCAATATGCATAAAAATTTTCATAACAATCGGTCGAGCCGTTTTGGAGGAGTATGGGATTTTATATATTAGAGATTTTAAATACAGACATACCTGGATAGCATTTGTGACGTTCCAGGCAGCTTGAAACTCATTGATCTTCGCACCTGGGCTACCAGCACCCTCTTCGAACCCACCCTCTTCCGATGAGGCGTAAAAGTCAACGCTTTGCATGCTCTGAGTTCTGAAAAGTACATTGCTTTTTATAACGACTTGACTTTATGAGACATTGACCTCTTTCGTCACAAAAGATTGAAATTTAAATAGCTTGTATTAAAAACAAAATAATCATTATTACGTAGTAAAAAAAGATGTCTGAATCTGTTTCATTAAAAATTTTTTCAGCCTCCAGTGCCTGACACACGCCGTCGACTTTTTGTGTTTAAGACATGTCGGTTTCCTCACGACGTTTTCCTTCACCGTTCGAGCTAATGTCAAAATAAAAAAATAAAAAAATCTTTATTCAATAATAAGTTACATTTTTAACAGATATTGGAGCCCCTGAACTAAGTCTAGGGAGACCTGTACATCAGGGTACTCCGCTCTTCCAATGGTATAATGTTAAATGCGCACATAGAAAGAAAGTCCATTGGTGCACAGCCGGGGATCGAACCTACGACCTCAGGGATGACAGTCGCACGCTGAAGCCACTAGGCCAACACTGCTCCAGCAAATATAAGATTAAGGCGGTTTAATTTTTCTACTTGTTGACTTTTCTCGTTCACTGAAGTGGTTTTTACGCTAAATGAGTAGTTTAGAGCGTTGCAGATTTATTTTTATGAATAAGGAGGTGAAGGATGAAAAGGTTTTACAAGCCTTCAGAGTATTTGATGTTTGAATGTGTTTAATAAAGTAACAAATAATACCTGGGAGCGCCATCTTGTTGTGGATATGTGTTTTGATAACTGGTGAAGGAATCTTCAGCCTGAAGCTGTCCGCTCAGAAATGGGTTGCTCGGGTTCGTAGACTGGTATGACGGTGATGTCGTCTCGTTCATTGTTGATAGCTCACAGCTTTCTCCCATGTCTAAGACATAGAATTAAAAAGAAAAATCAAATGGAAATTTCAAAGCGTTGCGTTTTATAGTACGATTTAGTATTTTTCTTACCTGAATTGGCGAACCGGACATTTTGTGGTGGGCGCGGTGCAGTCCCAGGTCGTTCTGGTACCTGCTGCCTGACAGTCTGCATGGCCACATCCAGCACATTCTTAATTGGTGGCAACTTGAAACGCCCGACGTTAATCATTTTATATTCTTTTTTCAAAAAATTCTATATTTAAAAATTGACGTAACAGGAAGACGTAGACATTAATCTAATTCTTAACTATAATGGAAGACTTCGTTACACTAAAATTTTTTTATTACATTTTACATCACACTAAAACCTTATTTTCACTTTTTCTATAATCTGTGTAAGATTTATTTAGAATATGTTATTCGCGGTCATTTTGGGTTGGTTTGATATTTTTTTACGGTTAATGTAACATTTTTTCACGGGTTTTGTGGGAATAATGCGAGATGGCTGGATTCTGGAGATGTACCGTAACCGACGCGTGGGATGTGCGCAGGAAATCGATCGATAGGCTCACGGGAGTTTTCATATTACGATATTAAAGGGATAACTTTGATGTTAGAACGGAATGACAATTTTATGGTCGAATTACTTCGATTATGACATATTTTAGGCCAATGTTACCTATTTATATTTTTGAAACGCAATATAATTCAAAAATTCTAATAAATTTATTAATACATGTTGAATACTTATTAAGTTTTTGTAGCCCAATTAAAGTCTTACCTTAGGCATTAAAACATATATATATATATAGTTCATGTAATGTTAATCGAGAATATAAAAAAAACAATCTAGGCTTTATCATTTTTATCTTATTAAATAAATAGTAATGTCAGCAAAAGTAAGCAAAGCTCTTAAAAATAATAGTATACAATATACATATTAATTTTTTGTAGGAATCCTCGAAAATGCATTTCGTTTACAAGCATAGACAATGTGTGGGTAATATGTGAAAGAAAGTAAATAATTACTGTTGACGTAATCACCAAATAAGAAAATCACAGACCCCCCCACCACCTATATGTTTACGTAGTACTTGAACGGCCCTAATACAGCATTAAAAAATATTAATGACACTGACAATGTTGCGTTGCTCTGACTACTGTATATATTATAGTATTTTAGAATATGCTTTTTTTTCATGTAACAGGAGGCAAACGGGCAGGAAGCTCACCTGATGTTAAGTGATACCGCCGCCCATGGACACTCGCATTGCCCGAAGGCTCGCAAACACGCTGCTGGCCTTTTAAGAATTGGTACGCTCTTTTCTTGAAGGACCCTAAATCGAAGTGGTTCGGAAATACTTCAGTGGGCAACTTCCACATAGTGATGGTGCGCGGCAGAAACTGCCTTAAGAATCGCTCAGTTGTGGAACGACGGACGTCAAGGTGATACGGATGGTATTTTGTATTCTGCCTTGACGTCCGGTTATGAAGCACAGATTCCACTGTAATCTGGTCACCACATTTCTAAATGCACATTGCAACAGTTCAAATACATTTCCTTAGAAAGCTTTAAAAGTTATAAGCTATAGTAAACAACTATAAGTAATAGGTACATGTATTTTTGCACTTCTTGCCTACCTTATGTAATTTAATACTTTTTTTTCTTTTCTCACAGTGGTTGCCTGGAAGAGTAGATCGCTCGTAAGCGATAAGGCCGCCAGTTGCTCTCCTTTTTATTAAATTATGTCAATTGTACTATATTAATGTATATGCAACGAAGTGTTAATCAATAAATAAATAAATAAAGCTTAATACTCATTCTAACCTTCTTGGAAAATTTAACTTTCTTTGTAATCCTAGAGTTACTGGAACTAAAAGTCTTCTATACGTACCTACGGCTCGCTTATCTCCAACTTTTAATGGTCCATCTCGCTCTTACAACTTAACATTGTGTATTAACATTGTATTAATGATAATATTGATATATTTTACAACAATCTTCCAACTTACCGTAACATTGTTTATGCTCTTAATGAGGTTTGTTTCTATTTAGTTTTAGTTATTATTATTAATTTTATTTTGTGGTTTCTTGATTATTTTTTTCCCTTGCTAGCTTGCTTATCTATATACTAATACTAGCAGACCGGCCAAGCGTTGCTGTGGCTAAGGTTTTTGTTATATTACATAGTAGTAAACTATTCAAGGGCAACGGTAGGAGAACTTATGTGAAAGGTAGATAGCTTATGTGAAACGTTGGTACTTTTAACACAGAGCCATCTGTTAGAATTGTATCAAATAATAAACAAATATTTTCAATAAAATAATATGCGGGTATAAATTGAGATGTAAGCTATCCTATCTTTTAAGTTAGATCAAACTGCAGACGATGTGCAAATTTGATTGATATCGGTTCGGTAGTTTAGGAGTCCATAGCGGACAAACAACGTGACACGTAATTTATATCTATTAAGATTATAAAGAGGAAAGATTTGTATATACTTAAATACAAATGTTTGTAACGAGTTGGCTCAAAAAGTACTGGACCGATTTAAAAAAATATTTCACCATTTGAATGCTACATTATCACTGAATAATATTGGCTATTTTATTTGCAAGAAAAATAAGAATGAATACTAAAACTACAATAATATTACCCAAGGTGTAAAAAAATGCTTATAAAAAATGTTTCATCGCATGCGCTGCGACAACTATTGACGAAAGAAAAAAAATGTTCCACAATATTAAAGAACATATCAATATGTTAATATATATAATAACTAATTGTCCACCAGTGCGAAGCCGGGTCGGGCCGCTAGTGTTCTGATATAATTGATGTGTATACTTATTACGTGTGTAAACTTTGTGAAGACATATTTTTCAGCAAGTATAACTAGTAAAAAAAGTAAAGAGGAGTCACGGGAAAATCTATATTACAGTAATATAACATTGTTATTTTTAATTGCAATTTATGACTTTTATTATTTTTACCTAATTTGTTTTACACCTATTGTGGAGGCGATATGCTAGCAAACAGTTTGCTATTTTTAATATGTTTCACTTTTATAGTAAGTTTTATTTTTAACGCTAACAATAGAATTTGAGTACTTAAAAAGGGTGTGATTTAGTTTAATTAATAAACAAGAATTTGTTATATTATTTGATTTATTTTTAGCAAAGATACTACCGCAACAATTTGTGTAAATATTATTTATAAGCGTTCAAGAATTTTAGTTTTTTTATGTGTAGTACTCTGCTAAATCAAAGACAATACCAGCGCCCGCATTTAGATTTGCTATAAATAAATTAAAACGCTGTGTCAAATCCATCAAATTTCACCAAATTTATCTTTACAAGTTACATAAACAATAAATTGATATACATTTTTGTCAGAAAACATACGATATAAGAAAGCACCCATGCTGTCAAGAGCCCACAGACAACATAACTCTAGCAATGATTATAGACGCGTATGAGATCTATGGTCACGATCCGACTGATAAACTGGACCACCTTGCTCATTACCAAATTGAGATGACGAAGATCAAACGGGCTGCAGATCAGGTAACTAATATTACATGTGAATATGATATGTTTGGTCCAGGAACCACTGAATCGTTTTTAATAAATATAAGTATAGAGATAGATGGAGACCTGGATAACAGTCTTAGGGTAAGTTCATTTCTTCGGCCATACATGAGGCAAAGTGAACTTAGAAAATCTGCTCGTGGTTGGCAATTCATCGATAAAAACTAAACACTACACCGCAATACTAGAGACTCCAGATCCTATCCTGATCCCAAGACGTAATGTCTTGGGATCGAATAGTTGGTAAGGGAACAAACCCACAGACACCAACCTACAACCGAACCCCGGTCAACTTGTGTAACCAAGTGTTAAAGAGGTGCACTTCATATTTGACTTAATTTATTTTAAGTGGCAAGGAAGGAGCTAACAGGTTCAGAAGCGGGACTTAGCGTTGGAGACGTCACATTCATCCATAGAACATAATATCTCTTGTACAGGGGCCCTCTTGGGTCGGGGGCCCGTGGCATGTTGCCAGCCCTGCCACATTATTGTTACGCCAATGCCACCTTTAAAAATACAGATTTTATGCCATTGTTTCAGTACTTAATAAACGAGCATGTTCACATAGCCACCGACCATTTGGGAAGGTTCATCAATATGCATATAAAAGAATTGAAGGTAAGGTCGATTTGGGTCAAATATCACTATAGTCGGTAACTTAGCAAGAGTTGTCCTGGTAGGAAATTAAACAAATATTCTTAATAGAGATAACAGTGGATTTTTCTTTCGCGTTAGACACACAATCAAAGTTAAAATTAAATTTTAAATAAGACCGTCTAGAAGCTAAAAAAAATGTAAATATCTACCAATACCTAGCTGTTAGCTGTAGCTCAGTTTAGGATTTTTTTCATTTGAACAGTATATAAAAATAATTATTGATTTTCTGTTAAAAATCTAATCATTGCATAAATGCTAATAGGTGATCGGCCTGTCTCTAAGGTATGACAGTTTCACACTCTTGTTTTTATATACAATCGCCCAATGTGTTAATTGTGTAGAAGAAAAACAGTTAGTCAACACTAAATCAAAGCAGTCTCAAAGAATATTTAAAAAACATTTCCCCCTTTTCCAGGTTTTACTCATTGCTCTGGACGACGCAATAGATAATATGTTAACCATGTACGACAATCACGATACGATAAAGACGGAACGAGTAGCTACCTACAATGCTGGGGCAGGCGGGGCTGTCCCAAGCGAGTTTTATATGAGTCAAGGCATGAAAATAATATACATATGTGTAATTTAAGATTGATACACACGTAACATACTTACGTTTGTATAAGCAAGCATTCATGGTACCTCATAGAGACTGGTGCGACGCCATGTTGTCTTGAGAAGAGTTGTTAATTTATTAATATTCAATTTGCTTTTTTAAAGCCAGATAACAAAATTAAATGTTAGTTATATGTAGTATGTTATGAAAGATGTTATTTATTTCGACTATCTATTTGCGTGTTGTTTCCACGAGAATGTAAGTGCGTGCTCCTATTTCACCATGCCTCCTGCAGATAGAGGACAAATCTTTGTTTTTAATTTATTTTATTATTATTAATTACTTCAGATGTCATGTGGGACATGGTGTAATGGTTGCAGCTCCTTACAAACATTGTGTGAAACAAAAACCTAGGCGATTAAAAAGAGTGCTTCTACGCCCTTGATTTGAGAACTGGCAGTAAATGTAAAATTAGAAGGATTTTAAATTTTTTGACGTTCATAAGTGTACATTCTGTTAGCTATATTAATAAATGATTTTTTTTAACTTACTTGACTTGATGTCAACCCTAGATGGGGCAGAAGGCGTCCCCAGTGAGTCTCCATCGAGTTCGGTCCTAATCCCCGTAAATCACCTAGCATAGATTCTACAGTTACTAATAAATTCTGTTTTGTAATTGCCTATTATATTTTCAGAGTACTTTTGCGGCAAAAACGTATATCTATTTATATCACAGTTATATAGTGACATATACAATATGGGTAAAGGCGTGCCGCCGTATTGCAAGGACCGAGGATTTCATTTCCTTGGTTTTGTTCACTTTATGGATGATAATAAGTACTTCTTAGAGGAAGACCCTAATGTGGCATTTCAAATCGATAATTTCATACATGGGCTGGAGTGTCATGCTGGTGTTTGTATTTATAGGTAAGTTCAACAAGGTTGTATATTTCTTAATATTGCCTTTGGTATGCGCATAGTTCAGAGCAGTGTTGGCCTGGTCGACTGCATCGTGTGAACCTAAGCTAAATTTGTATGAAAAATTGTCGACATGAACTGTCACTGTCAAAATGCCTTAACATTAGTGTATGTACGAACACGTCGACACGAACTGTCATTTTCATACAAATTATGTTTTAGACTTTCTACAGTGCACCAATGGACTTTCTTTCTATGTGCGCACATAACATTCGTTCGAACGGTAAAGGAATACTTCGTCAGGAAACCAACCTTAGACATAAAAAGTCGACGGTATGTGTCGGGTACAGTAGGTTGATCACCTACTTGCCTATTAGATTGACAAATGATCATGAAACAGATACAGAAATCTGAGGCCCAGCCCTAAAAAGCTTCACTGGTTTATTGCTTCGTACAGGCATACTTGCTTTTTGTGCTCAATCCTTCGGTAACGCTTATTACATAAGTATGCAAAATAAAGACGTATAGATTATTTGGAAAAAGCTAGAGGATGAAGATGAGCCGTGAAGGTGTTCCGAACAATGGTACTGAAGGAAGTTAAATACAGCAGAATGGAAGGGACCACGCGGGAAAAGAAGAGTGGGCAGGCCTAAAAGAAGGTGGGCTGATGACTTGATAGAAATAGCAGGAAAAGACGGGCAGAATATAGGCAAAGATATAGACATCTGGAAAGGGTTGGAGGAGTCCATTTCCACAGGCGTACTGACATTTAGTTATAAGTAAAAAGTTGAAATAAAAAAGTGCTTTATTATTATTAAAGCATAAAACTCTTCTCATTAAATATGAATACCATCTTAATACTTTCATCTATTGTACCTAGATTCCCCTTCAAAAAAGGTCTTCAACACATCCGCGACGTTTCAACACTACCAAAGGCCATAGTGAAATGCGGTACAGAGGTATACAAGCTGCCTCCACTGACAGCTGCTTCTTGCATCATTACGTCAGGGTCTTTCATCTTAGACTTTAATATCCAGGGAATCCGCTTCCGCCATTATGATTATATGTTGGTAAGTCTATGAGTGAGAGTGAAGAGTTGAGTTTGAGTTTAAGAGTTGTAGCACCAGTGGATTGTTTTCATAAAAGGGGGCAAACGGGCAGGAGGCTCACCTGAAGTGATACCGCCGCCGCTCGTGGGCACTCTCAAGGCTTGCGAGTGCGTTGCTGGCCTTTTACAATTGGTACGCTCTTCTCTTGATGTACCCTAAGCCGAATTGGTTCAGAAATACTTCAGTGGGCAGCTGGTTCCACATAGTGGTGGTGCGCGGCAGAAACTGCCTTAAAATCGCTCAGTTGTGGAACGTCGGACGTCGAGGTTATACGGGTGGAATTTAGTATTATGCCTCGACGTTCGATTATGAAACTCAGCTGCAGATATTAATCCGAACAAAATGAAATTATTATTATTAATGAGTAGAAACATAGGGGAAGGGGGGGCATGATGGGGTATCTAAGGAAAATACCAAAAATACAGTATACTTACCTAATCATTACGTTTATTATGCTTATTTATTTATGGCACAATGTCTTATTAATCTAACTAAAATTTAGCATAGTCTTTGGGAGAGGAACTTATAACATTTTTTAAAAATAAATGATTTAATAGGAACTGTCGAAAAACCATCACCAATTCTTATTTATTACCAATTCTTGAAAGGCCGGCAACGCACTTACGAGCCTTCTGGCATTGTGAGTGTCCATGGGCGGCGGTATCACTTAACATCAGGTGAGCCTCCTGCCCGTTTGCTTCCTATTACATAAAAAAAAATAAAAAACTTGCCCCTTACCATGGGGTAATGAAAATGGGGCAAGATGAGGTAAGCTAATACTAATTTTATCCACAACGAAGTTCGAAAACGGTTTGCACTGCTTCGAGAAAAGGATAGTACTGCCTGCCGTGCCGCTTTATGGCTGGACTTGGCGGGCCGCTGTTACTTTTGGAAACCTAGACTCTTTCCAAAATAGCTTTTAAGGTTTCAATTTATAAGACGCATCTTTTATCATATATTCCAGTTTCTGCCAAACGGTCACTCTTACTACACTAAAGAGAAGTCATCACCTCTCGCGTGCGATCATCACGTATGCGAATGGAACAATACAAACTTCTACGGTGGTAAGATGTAATAGAATATATAAGTTCTAACCCACGGTTATATCTTAGCCTGTAAAACACAATCAAATTAAGAAATCTATACCTACTAATATTATAAAGAGGAAAGATCTCAAATCAAGGGCGTAGAACGGAAGAGAAGAACTGGCAATAAACTCTCCGCCACTCTTTTTAATCGCCAAGTTTTTTGTTACACAAAGTTTGTAAGAAGCTGCAATCATTACTCCGTGTTCCACATGCCAGCTTAAGTAAATACAGATCTACTAATTGCGCACACAAGTACTACTGGCGTTTAACCGATTCAGGTCTGATTGCAGTCCCTAGGTCAATAGGGCTCCTATTTTAATTATTCCACCATTTTGCCTTATTTGTTTCAGGACCATTTATAATACCAGGAGATCCTGGCACCGGTTTGTCTCCAGTACCGCCCTTCATTGAACAGACAACGGAAAGCTACACTGTCTCCACTGAATCACCACACGATTTCTCTAACATTACTTGTAAGACATTTATTATAAAATATACAGGATTAAATGGCGAATTACGCCGTGTCACGTGTTTAAAGCTTGGGTTCAATATTGCTGTAAGCAATAATGTCGGGACAATTTGACTATTTAAATAAATAGTAAAATTGTTTTATCTATACTATAATATTATAAAGAGGAAAGGTTTGATTTTTTGTTTGTCTGAAATGAATAGGCTCCGAAACTACTGGACCGATTTCAAAAATTCTTTCACCGTTGGCAAGCTGCACTATTCCCGAGTGACATAGGCTATGTTTCATTTTCAAAAAAATAGGGATGCTTACTAAAACTTGAATAATCTAACCCAAGGTGTAAAAAAATAAACAAAAAACTTCCTTCAATCGTGTGCGCTGCGAAAACTATTAATGATAGAACAAAATGATGTATTAAAATTATTCAGGACACATCACTATCTATAAAAAATGTCGCGACAGCATGTCTCTATCTTTTATAGTTACGTCACAATAAGCGTCCTTTTATGAATTTTTTTATTAAAATACCACCGCTAGAAAAGTCTCTTTATTCGTACCTAGGTATTGATCCTTATCAAAATAATTACCAACGTTTCACATAAGCTACAATTTAATGGCATAACCACCAAAAAAGCATGGTGGATTGGTGTTCTCCTGCCTCTTGAATAGTTTACTACTATGTAATATAACAAATCTTAGCCACAGCAACGCTTGGCCGAGTCTACTAGTTATTTATATGTAGACAGTTTAACATTCGATTTATGTTAATTAAACCAGTGCTCTATTTAAATTTGTCGTTTTAGAACTAATTTTTTCCATATACACAGGGCGGAACTTATGGTATCGTTCATAAATCATTTAAACCCAAGTAGGGGATAGTAAATTATTATAATTTCTTCAGGAATCAAAGCCAGGAACTCCAACTTATTATACAAGCTATTTAATTTTAAAGCAGTGTTGGCCTAGCGGCTTCAGCGTGTGACTCACATCCCTGAGATCGTAGTGCGATCCCCAGCTGTACACCAATGGACTTTGTTTCTATGTGCGCATTTAACATTCGCTCGAATGAAGGAAAACATCGTGAGGAAACCGGCTTGCCTTAGACCCAAAAAGTCGACGGCGTGTGTCAGGCACAGGAGGCTGATCATCTACCTATTAGATTGACAAATGATCATGAAACAGATACATAAATCTGAGGCCCAGTCCGAAAAATTATGTAGCGCCACTGATTTTTAACCGACTTTAAATACTCAATGGATGTTTATTATTCGGTTTTTATTTTTTAGATTCCCTAGATGGTTGCTGGTTTATGTTCCCACCGAACTACGGGTCGATTGCTGGAGTCAGCTATTTAGACCCTCTAACCGTCAACGAGTATCGATACACCTGTTCCGGTTCCGGAAATAATAAGGTACTTACGCATTCAATAGAGTTCGATTTACGAACGCTACTGAGCGTTAAGCTGAGGTTTCCTATAAAAGCGGTGCCGTTAACTAACGGCCGTCATTTTACGGTTGTTAAGCTTAGGTTTCCTAGAAAAGCGGTGCCGCTAACTAACGGCCGTCATTTTACCGTTGTTAATAACGGCCGTCTTTACTTTTTAACATAATGCAAAAAAACAATCATTTTCGCTCGTCCAGATCACGTTTCCACTCATTGTATTAATTAAATATGGGCACCGCTACATGCGAAAAACGTTGAACTAATGTTTATCACCGCTATGACGGCCGTCATGCAAATGACAGCACCGCTATTTGACGTTACGGTGACACAACGTTCTCTAGGAAACCTACTCCGATGTTATTTATAGACAACGTATGGGTGACGTCACCCAACGCTACATTACGGCCGTTAGATAACGGCACCGCTTTTCTAGGAAACCTAAGCTTTAGCATGAATAATAAAATTGTTGACATTCGACAAGTTGGTGCGTATGGGTGCCTAGCAATCTTGCTAATCACCATACGATTTTTTTTTTAAATGACAAGAAGAAAAGGCAATGACAAGTGACTGAATAAGTCCTTGGACCTCTTATCTTTAGTTTCTAGTAAATGCTTAACATCTAATTTATATATAAAACCATTTAATTCTTCTAACACTTCCAATCTTCGATTTTTCTTTAAGGGTCTATATTGGTATCCGCAATGGATGGGTGCTCCGCCCCACCATCCCTACCCGCAATCTGGCGATATACCAAGTGACATGTCAGTACCAGCACCCGGAGCATTCTACCCGCATTTAAGTAATTCACCTATCAATGCGCAACTACCCTCGCCGCACCAAAAATAAATATTTTTTGATAAAAAAGTGTTTTAATTAACTTTGTCACGTGCAAGCTGTGTATGTTGCTATGCCAGTTTATTTCTAATTGTGTTAAATGTATGTTTATTAATTTATTAATAGCGGAGTAGGGCCGAAATTAATATAAGTATATATATATATATAGAGCAGTGTTGGCCTAGTGGCTTCAGCGTGCGACTCTCATACCTGAGGTCGTAGGTTCGATCTCCGGCTGTGCACCAGTGGACTTTCTTTCTACGTGTTCATTTAACATTTGCTCGAACGGTGAAGGAAAACATCGTGAGGAAACCGACATGTCTTAGACCCAAAAAGTCGATGGCGTGTGTCAGGCACTGGAGGCTGATCACGTACTTGCTTATTAGATCTGAGGCAAAGACCAAGCGTCACTGGTTTTTTAATACACAAACGAATATACTCAAAATATAGTTTTTACGTTAAACAGTCAATATTGTTTCTATAACGAAAATAAGTATTAATTATTTATTAGTAATTTAAACATTATAGCTTCAATGGTATTTCCTTTTTAAAAATCGCTTTCTTAACATATTTATTGTTTTTAATTCAAGCATCACATACTTAGATTAAAACAAAAGTACGATGAGTGATTTTGGTTACAGCCCGCTTTTAATAAACTCAAAATAAGAAAGTACATTTATAAACGTCAACAGAAAATATATTAAATTGATTCTAAATTTACATTTACTACCAGTTCGCAATTGGGCTTAGAGCGAGCAAGAAGCACTGACAAGAAACTCCGCCACTCTTTTTAATCGCCAAGTTTTGTTACATACAAATTGTTTGTAAGGTAAAGCAGCCATAATTATTTAAACTGGAGCAATATAATGCCAAGGATTAGAATCATTTAAATAAACGTCAAATTTATAAAAACCATTTTTGAATAATTTACGTTTAAAGAGTTATGAATTTATTTAGTGCCAATTCTCTAATTTCGCTTGGGAGTTTGTTGTAAAAACGAATACAATTTCCATATAAGGAGTGGTTTATCTTCTGGAGGCTGGTTGCTCCTACGCTTAGATTAGTTCTGTTCCGAGTATTAAAATGGTAAAAGGGAGCGTTCAAGTATTACGTAACGCAATTTGGGGGTAGTCTTTTGAAACGTTGCAGTGCGTTACATGGGCGGGAGGGGGGTTATTTAAACAACGCGTTACGTAATATTTTTTATTTTAATAAAAAAAACTGGGGGATTAAGTACAGAAAAACGTTATGGTGCGTTACATGGGAGGGGAGGGAGTTTCTAAAATCTTTAAAATTTTCGTTACGTAATACTTGAACGCTCCCAAAGTCACTTTGTTTTAATATGAAGGGGCGATATAAATAATTAATACAATTTTTAATAACTTTTATTTATAGTTTCGTTATCATAATTTACAAACATAACGACGTCTAACCAACTCAGAGTCACTTAAGCACTACGAATTTAATAATACACATTGGTGTGCAAAACCAAAAACTTAATTACATTTTTCAGACACCCAGGGTCTAGTCATGTTTGACTATTGGACTTTTATATTGTTTATATTAAATTCTAACGAAAACGCATTGTGTCCATTTATATTACAGCGTCTCTGCTACACAGAACACTAACAATTTTCATACAATAATTTGACGTTGAAGTTTCGTATTTGTAACCAAAATATCTGAACGCGTAGAACATTTATAGATATTCTTAATGAAACGATATAATAAATGTAAATATTGCTCGTTAGTACACCTCGACCTTTGGAAAGGGACAAACGGTTTAGTAGAGCGTTATCTCTGTCACACACTGACGTTGTTCTGTTGGTCATTAAATTTTATTTTTCAAAGGAAAATAGTTTTTTTCAATTACCATTTCAAACAATAATAATGTATTGCACACCATGACATATTGCACTTAAGCAAGAATATTGTCTTGTAAACATTTTTAATTCAATTACATCTATTTTATGGCCCAAAATCTATAATTGTGACAGTTAACCTTTCAATTTGCATATGCTATAGACAAGTGAAAGATGGCGTTTGAGTTCATCTGTCAATGTCAAAAATTTTGGGCACATTTGTGACAAAAAACCGCCAGTACTAAATAAAAGCGAATTAATTATCACATTTCATACAACACAAATACTTATCAATTTTAATGTACAATTAGATTTTCTAATACTTATCGTAAAGCTTAGACTAAAGGGTATAACGTACTGCATATATTCAACGAAACTTACAAATGCCTTATCAAAATTTATCTTAAATTAATGAAACCCTCCAAAAAACAAGAGAAACAACCAAAAATGCTGGTGATAAGGGGATATCGAGTTAAAAGCATTGTATGCAATGTATGAAATATTTACCCATAAACTGAGTGGATCCTAAATTCAGTCATCATCGGAGAAATAACTATAAAAATATCAAAAACCCAAAGAAATATAAACTATACTTTAACAACCATAAAAATTATATTATAAATAAATGGAAGCATAAAATAAAAGTGCGTGTGTTCAAAATTGTAGTAAAATATATCGTCAAGATATATTTTTGACGCAACACGTCTCAAAAAATATATAAAATTCGATTATTTTACTGAAAATAAAAACCAAACGAATTTCATAATCGTTTTTATATATAATGTTGCAGCTCACTTAATAAGCCGTTTAATGAACAGCCTAGCCTTTCAACTAAATAGCGCCGTTTAACTAGCGGCCTGAAACATATTTAGCCGTAGCGTAGTGTTAACAAACAATTAATAAACTGGCTAATGCTTAGGGCCATTCGTACCATAGAGAGACCATGTGGCAGATAATAAAGAGATGTGACATCTGACATAGTAAATATAAAAAAAAGTAAATTGCTTAAGTAAATTGCAAAATTACATTAAACTTTGGAAAACACCATCAAAGTTGTGGTTTGCCGACGCCATATTCACAGTTTGAAGAGTTTCGTTTCGAGTTTGAGAGTGGAAATAAATTTAAATTCACATTCAGCAGGCTAGGCAAGTAAAGAAACATCATCGATACAAGTCATTTGCTTAGCTGTTTGATCAACTGGCTGAATATCTTTCAGGCCGCTAGTTAAACGGCGCTGTTTAGTTAAAGAGGCTAGGCTGTTAATTAAACGGCTTATTAAGCTAGTTGGCTGCAACACACAGTTATATTTAAGTCGGCCCAACTATGAAGCAATTTGACTTCCCAATTAATTCAGCACATTGTCAAAAAAGTCAATGAACTGTCAAACTGACAGGTTGGCAAAGACAATCTAGAAAGTTATTAAGCATTGATAATGGACTAATCAATTAAATTGATTATTAAATATATTAAAATACAACCGTTAAAATCTAATTTGATTGACAGGCGTAAATAACTGTCAGAAGTCGGCTATTAAAACCTACTGTACTATACACTGATCCTTATTAACGAATTAATTTATTCAAAATATATACGAAACGAAAATTAAAAAGAAAACCAGGATATGACGTAAATTTTTCCACAGAGACGAGTCCAATATCCATGTTCTATTTCCGATTGGTCTAATCGTCAAAAAAATGCGACCAGAGTCAGGCCTTTTGGGCCGTCGGTTCTTCGATTTCAAACTCTTTTTCCCAACTCTCATCTGAATTAGCGCTAGCATCATCATTCACTTCCTTATCACCAAAGTAGTCTTCAACTAAATTCCCACATTCGTCGGACTTAGTTTTATTCGGGGATTTATTTTTAAGTGTGGCAACTTTTATGGGTGTATCTGCGTTGTTATTGGCAACATCTTTAGTTTGCTTCTGTTTTTTCGATGTTATTTCCTTTTCGTATTCCTCTAGAAGTAAAATTTGCTGCTCCTCTGTCAGCTCGACGTCATTAGCGAAATCTTCTGCTCGTGGAAATAAAATTACATTTATTTCTCACTAACTAAAAGGAATGTAAATTATGATGCAATCTACTACTTACCATCTTCCCAGGCGACAACATTGTCTACGTCAGGGGTTTCGGTTAGACCAGAGAGAACTTTTTTTGGACTCCTGAAAAAATACAAAATCCATAGACAATTTTATATTATGAACCGAAGCTTAAAGAACCCGATGTACAATGCGATAGGTTCGTTTTTTTAATAACAAATACTGTGTGCGTTTTTTTAATAAAAAATAACAAATATTTTAGAGTCTATGCGGAAAGGGAACGCGGCGCTGCAATTTTTATTTTTTTCTCAAAATATACACACTTAATTTTTTATGTTAACTGTCAAACTACAGAAGGTGTAACAGTGTTGCCAATATTAAAAAAGTTACGACCGGCACAGACTCAATAGAGTTGTCGTTATATGGAAAGGAACACATTGTAGGGCCAAATTCAAGTAATTAAAGGTTTCATATGCGACAAATTATATAGGCAATGTCTCAATTTATTTATAATTAATAAAATGTAATAAAAATATCAATTTAGTATATGTAATATATGTGCATGCATATATGTAGTATTAAACTCTAAAGAGATTACTCACGTCTGTATAGGTGTAATTTCTTGCGGCAAATGAGCCAGTACCGGATCGTCAGATACCGAATCTGCGGGTGCTTTGCGAGACATGGCCGCCAGACGGTCTTGGAGTAACGCCACTCGGAATAGATACCTTAAAATAATCACCTTCATATACAGGTGTCCCATAAATTAACGTCAAGTTAAAGGTCGGTGAAAGGGCAGTGTTGCTAGTGGCATAAACTATGCCCAATATAGCAACATTAATAGGCTTTTTTCAACGCAGTCTGATAAAGTTAGAGGATTTAATAATAGGTTTTAGTAAAAAAACTCACCTCTCCCAAAACTCATCATGTGAGCAGGCGTCGGGGACCAATTTCTCATACTGGGTCTTGAGTATGGGACTGTTGTTCAGTCTCTTGACGGCTGCGACGGGAGAGATGACGTCATCGCTCTCTAAGCTCTCTCTCCAGGCTGTGAAGTGGAGCCTGTCTGGAGGTACTATGTATGTCGCGTCAACCCGTTGGAGGGATTCCAGTTCTTTCTGGAATAAAAAAAAACTTTTAGATAACTTTATTAAAAGTCAAAGTGCATTATGTGCCAACCATTTTTTTAAGAAAAGTTTATCTTTTATAGAATGCGTAAAATTCAAGAAAAATTAACAATTGAGTTGTAAAAAGTTTTTTTTAAATGCAAAAAACACATTTAATACACAAAAATATCTTTATTGAAATCTACGAGTTCTTTAAGCCATTAATTTACTTTAAAAATTAACTAATTAAACAGAAATAGGTTGCAATTTTTGTAATGCAAATGAGTGAAATATGAAAAGGTAATTTTATTAGTTAAAATTTTCAACATTACAACGGTTAGACGGTGCAATTAGACGGTGTTAACACTATTTGAGAATGTCATTAAAGATAGTGTTTATATATAAGTATATATATTAAATAATTGACGAATCATAATTGCTTTACTAAAGTGTTTTTTTAAATACACAAAAATAAAAAGTTACGTCTTACTGGATTATATTGCTCTAATGTAGTTTCTTAAGGCATATGGTCTTCTTTTTTTTAACCTAACCTTATAAGTAGAGAGCATAGTGGTGTCACCAGACGAGAGAATGACTTCGGTGTCGTCTTCATCATCAGGTTCAGGGTTCAAGACAGTGCTTACTTGTCCTGAAAAGGTTATTGTTTAAATGTTTATGTTTCTCTTAGAAAATAATTTATATAAACTACTGCCAGGTTCTAATAAGCATAAGGCTAGTTTGAGTATTGGTGTCCAATTTATTAAGTGTCCTGTTTATTAACTGTCCTGTTTATTAACTGTCCTGTTTATTAAAGTGTCCTGTTTATTAAGTGTCCTGTTTATAAACTGTCCTGTTTATTAAAGTGTCCTGTTTATTAAGTGTCCTGCTTATTAAATGTCCTGATTATTAAGTGTCCTGATTATAAAGTGTCTTGATTATTAAGTGTCCTGATTATTAAGCGTCCTGATTATTAAGTGTTCTGTTTATTAAGTGTCCTGATTTATCCAAAGAAATATTAATTAGAAACAAACAAAGTTTTACCTATAAAGCTACTGATACTTTTCTTCATAGCATTTGTCTGTGGTTCGGGTACAGCCATCTGGAAAATCATTTTAAATTTTACATGCAATTGTTGACTTAAAACTGAACTCAAACACATTAATTAATTAAATTGTCACTTTTAATCAAAATGACTTTGCAGTAAAGGGTAATTTTTGAGGCTTCTATACATGAGAACAATGCAACATGACATACTAAGTCAGTTCTGAGTGTGTACTTTAAGAAAGAGTACTTTAGTTAAAAAACTTCTTTAAGACTGATTTACTTTATAAAGGGTAACAGTGTTTGCAAATGGCAATTTGTCATTAGATGTGGGCGCATCACTCATTATGCAAAAATTTTGTTAATACAATATTTAAACTAAACTTATTTGCTAATTGGTGTTTGTAGTCATTGAATTAAATTCTTTAATTTTACACTAATTATTACCTTCCAAGTCTCTCCTATAGCCGTTGATGTTGAATTGAAGACATGGCTTGCCTCGCTCTTGACAGCTGTGCCAATCTCAGCCAAGTCTTTCTTCACCATTGTATATACTTCTGCGGACTGGAAAAAATAGTCTTTTTTAAAAAAAAAATATTTCACACACTTTTTCTGATTTAAGATATATAAAAATTATTACAACTACAGCTACGAGTGGATCTGGTCCTGCATTCTTACGTTTCAGTATACCCTCTGCTACTTAGCAGGTGGCCACTAAAACCTTGGCGTTCCCTTCTTATTACATAGAAAGGTTTCCGAGGTTGCTTTAGTATTGTTTTACAACTTGAAGAAGAAGGATACTTGCTTCACTTGACCTCAGAGTTATTTTTATATAAATTCAATTAGTATTATTGCGTGAACACGTAACACACTTCCGTATATTTCGCTCGGAACTTTTATAAAGGCTTTGTTGTTGTCCAAGGTTTCTTGATAAATTATTTGTTTCAGTTATCACTTTTTATACAATATACAAATAGGTTAAATCTTTGGTGCTTCAAATACACACCCAGTTTGAAACAACACATGATTTATTATAAAGACGCATTATATTTTATAATAATAAGAACATTAACAAAGCACCAAATCAAATATTTCACATGGTTAATGCTTACTTTTGGATATAGAACATTTTAGTTAAAAACACAAGATAACCAATGATAAACTCAACATATGATAAAATCTTAAATTTGTGTCATATCTGTTTATTTTATTCAAGTTGCATTTGGAAAATGAGGGCTAATCTTATCTTTAATCTAATTTTAAGCCATTTATAGATTAAGTGAAAATAGTATTCTGTATAAGCCCTTGGTTTATTGTTTATATCTTAAGCTCACAACTTAATGTGACTCTGTCACATGCCGAAGGCGTTGAAGTGGAAAGTCTGGTGGAGGCTTTCTAATCTTAATACATATAAATTACGTATCACGTTGTTTGTCCACTATGGACTCCCAAACTACCAAACCGATTTCATTCAAATTTGCACACCGTGTGCAGTTTGATCTAACTTAAAAGATAGGATAGCTTACATCTCAATTTATACACGCAATATTATTTTATTGCAAAATAAAATAATCACAATTCTAACAGATGGCACTGTGTTGATAGTATCAACTTTTCACATAAGCTACAATTTAATGGCATTACCACCAAAAAAGTATGGTAATCCCCATGACTGGTGTTCTCCTACCGTTTCCCTTGAATAGGTTACTACTATGTAATATAACTAAAACCTTAGCCACAGCAACGCTTGGCCGGTCTGCCAGTACATTCATACAATTAGCCTTCTATTTAAATGAAATAAACCTAAAGTGATCAATTTCCTACCTTACTCTTAGCGGATGTGAGCCATGTGTCCCACCAGTTACCGCTTGACCTATCTTCAGTTGTAGGTGTTGTTGCAGTACTGGGATTTTGACTATTCCTGAAATGTAGAAGCTTGGAGATTTATAAATGAGCTTTAATCATACATGTATTTCTTTATACATTCTAAAATATTTTCTTTTCTTTTTCTAGAATATAAAAACTTTAGAAATAATAACAATATACTTTATATGCCTAAAACTTTAATAAAAATAGGGTTTATATTTTATAGAGAAGAATTGTTTTTTTTTTTATTGTTGTATCACAATATACTGTTTGTTGAAATATTAGTTATGATTGAATGAATTGCTATGAATGAAACAACATATTGACATATTTGCATGCATAATTATTTACTTAAATGTGTGCCAATTAGGTGTATTTAAAAAGGGTGATAATTTAAATAAAAATATATTTCTAGATAATACCTAATATAAATTTAACACATGCTTATTTGTATTGGAATATCAAATTATATCATTGATAGGCGCAAGAGAATTTCCCAATAGCCGAGTTTATACTATTCTTATTAGAAAAATATAATTATTAGGAACCACTAACCCTCTCATGGCTTGCATTGCCTCAATCTTATCAGAGATTAACATGTTTTTATATCTATAAAAGTATGGATGACAAAACAAACAAGGTCTTTGTGTTTTCTTAGTATTGTATGCAATCTAAGATTATAATTAAAATTCAGGATTTAAGTAGGTTATTAGTTCAATTACGTGTATTATTTCCTGCTTGTAAATCAATGTCCCATACATTACTACAACACTGGTTAAAATCAGTTTGAAATCAGGACAATCTGTTTAGCCAGTTTTCATATTCTTAGAATTCAACTTTAATTTACGCATATTTAATAGGTGTATATAATTTGATTCGCACACATTAATCTTAGATTATTTATTTATGTAATAAATTAAGGCTTTGAAAGCATGTTGATAAACAAATATGTGAGTTACTTACATTTCAGCCATCACGCCCAATTTTCACTATATTGATTAATTAAGTTAAAAACATCGGTTTTCTGTATTTTTATGAGGATTTGTTTTTGTTATTACAAAGAATTTGGAAATAATTTTGACATAGTTTTGTTTGCGTTGACATTTGATTCTATTTTTCTTTATATCAATTACCACAGGTTGTCTTAAGTTCCATTCGGTTCTAAAAATCATAGATAATATATGGCCTCATATTTTTTTTATAATTTTACTCAAAATTAGATAATATAATATAATGTTGGAGTAAATTTAAAATATATTGGAAGTGATAAATGCTAATTATTTTATATAAATACTATTTGCTGCTTCTACTTAAAGGACATATTAACACTGCTCTCTTTAATATAACTTGCAACATTGCATTGATTAAATTCAAGAGCGGCAAATTTAATAAATGTGTTAGTACATATTTAAAAGTAACGTATGTAACTTCTTTTATCATTCAATATACGCCATATTATTAATCCATACACAATAATTAGCATTACGAACGTGAGATTGAATCTGTATAATTCAATAAAGTATTGAGCACTTCATTTTTATAATTCCAAGGGCTTAGTGCTTAAAAGATGTTGGCGTTATGATATAAGCAATGTTTGTTTTACAGGTACACTAGGGCACACAGCTTGATTGATGTTAGAAATATGGGTTTCTTCTGTACTTTATATGGGATAGAAATTTAAAGAAAGATCTTACTCGTACGCTTCAAATTATATAATTTGACTAATGTAATGTAGTCAGTCAGACTACATGTAAATAGTATTATAATAATTATATTAATACAGATAGATATTATCTATGGCAATAATCATAAACTTATTGGATTTAACCAACGGAAGGCATTCTTAGCACTAAAACTAGTTTTCACGAGTATATGCAGCGGACTCCGCTTTACTCGCTTTCTCCGCTCTGCTTTACTCTTTTGCAGTGGAAGTAATTGTATGAAATATATAATAAAACTAGTTCAGCGAGTTTCGTACGGAGTCCGTTGGAAACTCGCACAACTCGCTAATCTCGTATGTGACTCTTTCAACTCGCTCACTCCGCTCCAGTCTCCGCTTGTTTCCGCTTTGGTGGAAGCATATTGTATGAAAATTATCGTTACGAGTATAGCGGAGTCCGTAAATGGTTTGTTCCGCTCGCAGTGGAAGGCGGGCATAAGGATTAAGATTCCGTAACGCGAAGTATGTCATTATGACGTATGTCAAATTCCAATACATTTTTGAGGAACGGGAGTCGGACTACGTTTCTTAATTTTACAATGTCTCGTTTCTGAATCTCATACGCGTTCTTACCACATGACCTCAATGTTCATAGTTTATCTAGACTTATACTGCTGCTATTGACAGACTGTTCACAATGAGAAACAACTCATAAAAGCTTATGAAAATATTAGATGGAATAATCAATAAAATAGCGTAACAAACCTAAAAACTTCCGCGAAAGTCCATCATCGCAGGTGATGGCTGTTTGCCCTTTTCTACAAATAAACTATAAAAACCTATATTTTTGCCGAACGCGTTGTCCTAATAAAACTTGTGTTCGTCACTGTACCTGCATCCGAGCACTCCCACTGTTAGTTTTCGATCAGATTCGGCTCAGCTTTCTTCATGTTATTAATAAATGCTTGCGAAACATATCTTAACGGCTCCACACATACGGGATGTTTGACTTATAATTTTAAGTTACTTTGAACTTTTATATTATTGATTTAATTTCAAATATAAAACTATTATTGTAATTGTATCGCGTATGAAATTTTTGTTTTCAAGATAAATACAATACTTGAAAATAATCCGGTACGTTTTTGAAGACGGTTATAGCAATTTATTCTTGATTTTTTTAGATATTATTTATTAAAACTGTTTATTTTTATTCGCTAGAATAAAATATCATTAGCAATAAATGTATCTAACTCATAACAAGAGGTAAGAAATTTAAAACAATAATGATGATTTTGATATAAATGCAAAATAAAACCTCCTTTATAAAGCGGATAATCCTTATAACCTTTAATAATAACGTAGCGTGATCGACACGGAGTCATCTCAATCAAGTCGCGTCATCGTGAGCTGCCACGCCTCGCCGAAAGATGGCGCTCTACGATGTAAAATACGCTGTGTGTGGGAACAACAAAAGTGAGCTATGGATTACCAAAAACAATTACTTAAGTAATTCCACGTGATATTGATAAAATTGTAGTTAGAATTTTCAAACAGGTTAAATAATTTCAAGAAAGATCTTACTATATTGGCGATTATTGGCTTGTTTCTTTGCACGGAAACTATTTTTTAAGTATCTTGTAAAATCGTGTAAGAATCTTTGAAACATTGCTGTGGTTTTTGAGTTTACTAGAGTGTCATCGAATGTGTTAAAGTTCAAAGATAAAACATGTTTTAACAGTTCTTAATGATTTAATTTGTCCATCTACAGTCCTTTCAATATTTGTTAAAAATTAAGGAAACCATATATAAAATAAACAGAAGACAATTCCTCTTATAATCCCGCATTCCCGCTTAACATGCGTTTTTAGTAAGATCCAGACAATGTTACGGGTTTTAATTACAACTATGTATGTTAATCAAATTATCCACGATTAATTTTTTGATGATTTTCAATAAAATCGATGGAGAAACGATTAAGTAAGTTACGAGAAATAAATAAATTGATGTTGATTAAAAAATTAGACAGCCCGCCATTATTATTTTTCTTTTTTTGTCCGTATTATATGTCTGATTAAACTTATCCTATTGCTGGTCTGTGTTGATTATTTACTATGGTTTTCACACTCTTCATAAGTATTCTCTCTCACTCTTATTGAGATTCTTTTACAAGTCAAAACCAATTTATCGAAACTTTATGTCATATTTCGTGCATATACTTTAGTAGTTGTCAAATGCTTTTAAGTGTTGACAAAGTTTGACATTAATATTACATAAAAACATTTTATTAGACTAATAAAATAGCAAATGTTTTTATCAATTCAGTGCAAGAAGGAATGATTGTTCGAAGCGCTTCGCGATTGTTTTATTGATTGGTAGGAAATCGTGGCTCGTTAACTACGGTTACCAGGATTTAATGAATAACAAGGATTTTTGATAACTCACTTTTAATTTAGTTTTATTAAGTAAAGAAATAATTAATTAAGAGCGTCTTTTTGCCTTCTAAACATTGTTCTTATTACTTTAGTGTAACTAACAATTAAAGTAACTTGATCAAACTTAGAGGGTTAGAGGTTATTAATTCACATAAAATTGACTCATTCAACAATTTTTTAATTAAAATAAATTTTGAACTTTTATTGTGGTATATGATATCATAACTAAATTAACATTTTATTATAAAAAGTTCTTTTACGATATATGTTATGAGTCGTAATTTGATTAATATTTAATTTTAAGTTATTTTATTAATGGTACAGGAGGCAAACGAGTAACTTAAAGTTAAGTGTTTACCGCCCTTGGACATCCGCATGACCAGAAGGTTTCCAAATGCGTTGCTGGCCTTAAGGTTATAAGGCTCCTAAATTGAAGGCCCCTTAGGTCAGTTCAGATGTTTTCTCTCTACTATACGCTAGGAAGTATGTTTCGAAGCCGAAATACAAATATATATTATGTATCTGTAATATACTTAGTATCCTAGTAATGAGATTTTACTTTGTTCCCCGGCGCAACCATTTTATCTTTTACTACACAAAGGATTACATAGACTATGTATATATATATATGTCTTATTTTATTTTTTATTTGAGTATTGTTATTTTGTGTGTTTATGTGTGTGTGTTTTCGTATGTAATAAACGTTATGTCTATGTCTATAAACATAACAGGATATAAATTACACATCCTTAATGATGTGCCAATTTTATAACATTGTCAACCTACTCGGGCGCAACGTGGGTACTCGTGCGCATCTACGATTCGTATTAAAATTTGATCGTTTGCAACCTGCTCAATACGTTTATGATCCCAAAGCCCTTATTACTGCTTAATTCCTCGATATTTATTATACTCGTACAATGAACGAATCGTGATTTCTAAGACGGTAATTGTTGATAACTTAATAGCGTTCTATAGAACTGATATTACAATAAAAGGTGATAAATTAAATTAATGTTTCTATGTATATTGTAGGTACATAATATGGTACGGTAGTCTCTAGTCTATTAATGAAGGAAAGTTAGAAAAAAAAACATTATTTTACTTACTTTAAGGATATTTAGTTACAAAGAAAGTGCACTAGCTAGTCTTTCTTATTTGACAAAATAATTACTACATAACACTTACATAGCATAACTAAACTATTGTTGCAGAATAAACAATACATATTTAAAATGAGCACAAAGTTCTCCCTCAATTATTAATATTGCTATTGAATTTTTATAAGGCAACATTTATTAAGAAACAAATTGTAGTGATTTATTTCTATACATATTTATTGTAACTAAATTTATTCTGTAAATACATTTTTATAAACAACGGGAAACATTATTTATTCATGTATGCGAAGAAAATATATTATATAAATAAAATCAAGTTTCTGTACCAGGAGCGCAGCGGCGGCGGGAGCAAAGAATGTCGCATGAGGATTTATGCGAGCGCG